CTGTAGAGAGATTGCCGCCTGTCTAACAAGCAGTTTCGGGCAGAGAGGATTCGGGATGGATTCCAGAATCCATCGAAACTTATGCCACGAAAGAACGTGACTCTCTTGCCCAAACGCCTTCAATCCTCGCCACCGTCACTTGATCTCCTGTTATCTCGTCCTGTCATGATCTTTATCTGCCATTCTCCCTTGAACGCCTATTATTTCGTTGTCGTGAACCGCGTTCGCTGAATGACTGCGTTCGCTGATCGATGCGTTCGCTGAATGATATAGCCGAACAATTATTTAGTTCTTTTTCCACCATACCCTCGCAGTCCTGACCGTCATCTCCGCGTCGTCAGACCGGAGCCGTGACTTGGGCGAACCCGCCGTTTGGCAAGGAGCGCGGGAACGTAGAGGCGGGAAAAACGGACGAGCGCCGAGGCGAAGCGTCGCTGCCGCAGCAGCTCCGCGAGACGGACGAGAAGGGCCGGCTCTGGGTGACGTGGACGGCAAGGCGTGGTTCGAGGATGACGTGGAGTTCGTGCTCCACCTGGCGAGCGACGAGGAGCTGCGCGAATTATGGGATATTCTCTACGGCCGCAGCCTCTTCAGCCCCGTGTTTAAGTCGATCACTGCGGGGGATGGTTCCGCGTCTGCCGCGCAGCTGTTTAGCGCGGCTTTTGGGGAGAGCAGCGAGGGGCTGGAGAGGGAGGATCTAATTCAACGGCTGGAGGCCCGATTTTTCTTCCTGTCCGCTGATGCGCGAGACACCGTGACGTGAGTGAGGATGGGATTAGACAATACGGAAACGACCAGCACTGTCACTTCGACCACAACCTCTTCCCCGCTTCGCCTCCCTCCTCCCCAACCCATCCCCCTTTACCACTTCCCCCCCCCCCTCCCTTTCCGCCCCCTGCCCCTCCCCTTCCCCCCCCCTCACCTCATTTTTGATGTACCAAATGCCCCATTCTGTGGATGCCCCCCCGTTCATTCTCTCCTTCTCTGCCTGTCCATTGCCCGTCTCGGTGGAAACTGCCTCTCGTTTAGATTAGACCATCCATGTTTCCCTTGCGTCCCTTTCCTTCAATCACCTTATCTTTTCCTCACGTCCCTCCGTGTGCCCCCCTTTCGCTTTTGTCTTTCCCGCTTCGCTTTTTCCATTTGTTTTGTTTTCTCAGCGGCAACCGCCCTTCGTACCGAGATGTGCTGCTTACAGTGCGGCAGCGGCTGGGAGTGCGATGCAGTGTGTCGCTGTCCACGCCTGACCTAGAGAGCGAAATATTCCTGCACTTGCTCAACAACTATGCGGACACTATGGAAGAGTAAGTCTAATGAAGGGTGAAGCGGTAAGTGGTAGTGGATAACTGGTATCCTGAGAGGCAGTGGGCGTCAAGAATCAATTATTTGCAGGCCGCACTTGTTGTTCTTGGTGTTTTTTCTTTCCTCCTTCCTTTCTTTCTTTCCGATAATAGGCTGAATCGCTGAAACCTGCTTCCCTCAGCTTAAGCAGTAACAGCTGCAGCCTTTGTTTAACCTGCTCTATTTCTGATCTCAGTTTTGCATGACTAGTCTAAGCTGTAGAGGCGAAGTTCAGTAGCCAACCTTCCCTTTCCAATCTTCTATTGCCCCAAATCTTCTCAGGGACATCGGCAGCAGCAGCAGCACTAGCAGCAGCTCTGGAAGCCCATGGGCTGTAGCAGGGGAATGGGCCATGGGACAAGAGAGCAAAGCCGCAGAGGAGAACAGAAGAAGTACAAGAGACAGCAACTGGGACTTGGGGTTGGGGAATGAGGAGGAGGAGGAGAGAGGCAAGGGAGGGGGGTTGGGGTCGTGGGCTGTGGGGACTCTGCGCAGTGGTGTGAGAGCAGCGATGCGCATGGGGCGCGATGAGATTCTTGCTACGTTTCTTAAGGGCGGGTCGGCTTTAACCCTCACTACTGTCAAGAAACTGGTAGGCTTGTGTACATGCTGCTGGTAGGCGCTTGTATAGCACTCGTTCTATACTAGTCGAAGGAGGTTCTCTGCTCGTGTACGGAACTGGTTGGTTGGTTGACTGGTGATCAGCATCTAGACGGTTACGTGCTCGTTTTCGTTCCTCTTTCCGTGGCTTGCTGCGTCTTTGGTCATCTCTCAGTCACCTGTCTGTACCCGTGAAAGCCCTTGGTAACTTCACCACTTCGTCCGGTCACTCCAGTCTGCTTTCATACGCTTAAACCTCCTCGTTTCTCCTAGCAGTTGCCAAACCCTTCCACGGTCTTTTGCCCTCTCTCCCCATCGTCAACTATTCCTTTCTCCCCGGTCTCTTCCTCCTCTCTGCCAGCTGCTATCGCGCATCACTGGGCGGGTACTGTACGAGCGAGCCAAGTACGAAGTCACACAGATGGCTCTTAAAAGGGTATGTACCCAACATGGCCGACCTAACCTGAACATCCCATCGTCTTTGCCACCCATCCTGGATTCTTATTTGGAACTGCCTTTTTTTTCCTCAAACTAACTCGTTTCGCCCTTCTTCCGTGTTCCGTTCTCTTGCTTGACTGTGGTGTGGGCAACAGGGTGGGTAGCTTGTACTGTCAACAATTGAGTCTCGCCTGGCGTTCTACAGTGCCAAGCAGGTACGCGGATCCATTCACCTCATTATAACTGACTGACCACTGCTCCCACTTGCTCTTCTGAGACGTACCCATGTCTCTCTTTCCACCACCCTCCTCCGCTTTCCACGACGTGTGTGTTTTTTTCTCGCGGTTGATTGTCTGTGAGGAGCTCACACCTCAAACACAACCACGTGCATGGTTATTCCCTTTCCGTGCATGGTGTTCTGACCATGTGTAGGGTCTGGCAGCAGCAACGGCTCGGTATGTCAGCCTCAGAAGCGCCATGGCTTTACTCGGGCCTCTGTAAGTGTTCCTTCCTCCCTGCGTTCCCCTTTCCAACATACCCCCTGCTTTGTTCTTCTTGAGGAGCCTCCCCTGTGTTATCTTGTGCTGAGACCTCTGCAAGTTGTCGTCCCAGCTCTCCCCTTTCCAACCTGCATTGCATCTTGCTCCACTGGCTATGTGCCAACCTCCCACCCACCACCTCCTTGTATCCACCCTGCGCCCTTCTTGCAAACGCGCTTCCCTCTCTGTGTCATGCCATTTACTACTTCTGGCTTCTATCCTTCGCGTTGCTGTTTCCTTCGCCCGGCTGATTTCTTGTGAACACTGATTTGTTTTTTCATTTACTACTTTGTCTTCTCATTTCCCTTCTCATTTCCCTGTCAACGCAACACTGATACCCACCAGGCTGTGGGGTGCGTTCATAGCAGACGTGGTGGTGCAGTCATTGGGAACAGACTATGCTCGTGTGGTCAGAGCTATCTTCTCATTCGCACAGGTAGGGAGGGACCTCCCCGCACCCCAACATCTCCTCCTTATCTTCCCCGCCTAGCTTCCCTTCCCCTTACCACCCCGCTCCCCTCACCCTTCGTGACCCCGCCCTTTCTGATCACATTTCCGGCCTGACCCACCTATCCCTCCCCCTCCCTTTTTTGCTGTGTCTCCTGTCCTAATTCCATCACTTGGTTTGTTATGCCTTCTCCATTGGGCCATCATCTCTGTCCACACTTGATCGCCTTTCACGGTACCTTTCTCTTACCTTGTTCCCCCTCTGGCTCCGTGTTTTAACCCCCGCTTCTTTATCACTGTGCTGCGTGCCACTTCAACAGATCCGCCTCACAAGGACGTACGGTTGGACTCAAGGTTCCAGTGCAAGCAGTGGCTCGCTAGAGACGTAATGGAGTGACTATCGATCAAACAGAGACCTATTTCTAACTATTTGTATATATCTTAGACTTGGAAGGGTTGCCAAGTTGCATAATATGGAGCTGCTGCGCCAATATGCTATATGCTATTATACTTCGTAGCCTAAAAATATTTCTGAACAGCTCTAGGCGAAACGTTTGTGTTGTAATTCAGTTATGTGATGCATTCTTTTGAAGTTCAAAGTTGAAGAAGTTACAGTCAAGGAAAGTATACTCCAGCCACTACACAGTTCTCTTGTCGAACCACTCTGTGTGAAGCTCAAACTTCAAAAGTTTGAAACTTGTGCGGCTTGGCTTCTCTGACAATACACGAACCCACACTGGCTGGTGCTGTTGAGGCAAGAACTGTCAGCTCCGCAGTTGCTAGCATTCACTGGGACGGGAACCTAGAAGATAATTTGTCGTCAGCCTCTTGGCCTTTCGGTCCGTCCGCTTGCGCCTGTCCTTTAAGAATTGGCGTCGCAAACTCGTTCACCCAATTCACTTGTTTGAAATCTTCGTGTGTTAGTGAGTTTCTGGACGCCTCAATCGTCCGTATCCGTTAAGCGCTGCTGCTGCTACTCTATGCGATGGTTGAGATTAAAGGCGCGACGAAGAGTGCGATAAAGGTTGAATCCAGGGCGGAGCGGAAAGGCGCCATGGATCGGTTCGTCGTGCGAGGCGGGGCGCCGCGGACCGTAGACGACGGCGACGCGAAAGACCATCAAAAGAGCATCAGCAAGACGGGAGCAATGGATCGGTTCGTCGTGCGGGGGAAGCTACCGTTGATCGCTGGCGACGGCGATCACTGCAGGAGGATTATTCGGCGAAGGCACGTGCATCTTGCTACTTCTCTAGACTCCAGAGTCCCCCATTTGGATAAAGCACCACCTCAAGCTGCTCCTTTTCTCCTCGCTCTGACAGCATTTCCCTCCCGTTCCTCCTTCCTCCTTACTGCCTTCTTACTCGGCTTCACCCCTTCCTCTCCATTTCCTGTTTCCCTTCGTCCTCCACTCCCGTTCCTATTCCGTCTCCGTTTCCTTCAACCCTTCTTTCAACTCCCCCAGACACATTCCAACGCTAGAACGGCAGGTCTCTGGCATCCTTGCCCCGAGCGCCAAGCTCAGCGCGCTGCAGCAGCTGCTGCAGTCGTACACCCAGACGCTCGCACTGTGCCCGGACTTCCTGGAAACCCAGCAGGTGTGTCGAATCATGCATGCATCGACTTCTGAGGCGCCTCATGCGTCGGCTTGGGAGTTTGTCTTTTACTGGATGTGTGTAATTAATCGGTTCCATATCACTCGCGTCTCCTCAAGGGTAGTCATTCCGTTCTAATCGCCGTTTGCGTTTGTGTCCACAGGTCGGCTTCCCTCTCCTTGCCGCCACCTCTGCTCCCAGGTGAATTCCTTCTCCTTCTCCTTCTCCTCCTTCTCTTTCTTCTCCTTCTCCTTCTCCTCCTTCTCTTTCTTCTCCTTCTCCTTCTTCTCCTTCTCTTTCTTCTCCTTCTCCTTCTTCTCCTTCTCTTTCTTCTCTTTCTTCTCCTTCTCCTTCTTCTCCTTCTCCTTCTTCTCCTTCTCCTTCTTCTCCTTCTTTTTCTTCTCCTTCTCCTTCTTCTCCTTCTTTTTCTTCTCCTTCTCCTTCTTCTCCTTCTATTTCTTCTCCTTCTCCTTCTTCTTTTCCCACTTCTCCTTCTCCTCCTTCCCGTTTCCCTTCTCCTTTTCCATTTCCTTCTCCTTCTCCCTCATCACATCACAAATTCCAATCATAAGATGCATCAAATACCCCATCCACCCTTCTCCCCATTCCCCCCTCCTTGCCTCCCACCCACCCACCCACGCCTCTCTCCCCTCCTCGCCCCTCTTCCCACGTCTCCGTTTTCCCGTGTCTCCCTCTCACCTCTTCTCCCTCTTCCCTCGCCCCTCTCTTCCCTCACCCCACCCGTGGTGCATCCAGGCCGCACATCTCCTGCCTATCCTTCCACCCCTCGTCCTTCTCCGCCCCTCGCCTCGCTGCTGCTACCTCCACGGGCTTGCTCGCAGTCTACTCCTCCTCTGCACAGCACATCTCATCCGTGCATGGTATGCTTTATGAGTGAAGCAATATGAGTGGTTTAAGGCAACTGAAAGTCACGCATCTCCTCGCCTCGCTGCTGCCATCTCCACGTGCGTGCGTGCGTGCGTGTGTGTTTGTGTGTGTGTGTGTGTGTGTGTGTGTGTGTGTGTGTGTGTGTGTGTGTGTGTTTGTGTGTGTTTGTGTGTGTGTGTGTGTGTTTGTGTGTGTGTGTGTGTGTGTGTTTGTGTGTGTGTGTTTGTGTGTGTGTGTGTGTGTGTGTTTGTGTGTGTGTGTGTGTTTGTGTGTGTGTGTGTGTGTGCGCGCGCGCGCGTGAGCGTGCTTCTTTGCCTCCTCGCCTCGCTGCCACTACCTCCACGGGCCTTCATCTTGCATCCCCCATTTCCCATCTCTCATCCTCCCATCACCCATCCCCCATTCCCCATCTCCTATCTTCCTATCTCTCATCCCATCTCGCATTCCCGTCTCCCTCCCCCATTCCCCCATTTCCCCATTTCCCCCCGCGCCTCCAGACCTCTCTCCAGTGCTAGAGTGCTGCGTGGGAAGGAACGGGGTGGAGGGAATGGCATGGGGGCTAGATAGAACGGCAGGGCAGGTGAGCGGAGAGGAGTAGGAGGACGGGAGGAGGATGGGAGGAGGTTAAGGGGAGGATGGGAGGAGGTTGAGGGGAGGATGGGAGGAGGTTGGGAGGATGTTGGGAGGAGGGAGAGGGATCATCTAGAAGAGCTTTGATTCGTTCTGAACAGGACATGTAATGGCTTGGGAAGACATGGTATGATATGGCATGGTTTGGGATGGCATGGCATGGCTTGGGATGGCATTGCATGCCTTGGGATGGCTTGGCATGTGGTTTAATGCATGAATCATTCATGCGAGGCACGGCATGAAATGCGATCGGCACGCACATGTGCAATGGAATTCCTTGAGGACTGCAATACATGTCAGCTGTGTGTCTACATGGACGCCACGTGTAGATAGGTTATTTTTGAGTCGTTTCAAAAACAACATGTGCTATGGAATCCCTTGAGGACTGCAATGCATGTCAGCTGTGTGTCCACATGCACACCTCCCTCCGCAGATACTCACATGCCTTGTGTTTGCATGTGTGTGCGTGCTTGTGTGTGTGGGCTGGGGGGCCGTGGGAGTGTGTGTGTGTGTTTGTGGGGCGTGTGTGTGGGAGGAAAGTGAAAGTTTGTTTTTGAAGGGGTGCGAATGTGGGGGTGGGGTTGGTTGTGGAGGGTGTGTGTGTGTGCGCACGCATGCGTATGTGCACGCGTGTCTGGGTGCATGCTTGTGTGTATGTGTGCCTGCGTGCATGCACATACATATGTGCATGTGAACAGATAGCGCTTGCGGATTGCACTCCGTCTGTGCACCTCTGCTCCTTCAAAGAGGCTTCACATAAGTTCTCTCGCCTTGTAAGACCACCATGCCCCATATGGAAATTGGTTGTTCACACGCCTATTATTAATGCGCCTCACAGATCAATTCTCCCACGGATCAGTCTCTCATGTCCTAAGACTTCCCCCTGCCCCACCACCAAGTGCTTGACCCCTCTCCGTCTGCTACCTACTTTCCGTCCTCTTTTTGCTATTTATTTGCCAAATGCACGCATTCCGGAACCCTCTCCTCACTCCTAAACTAAGTCTCCTCAAACAAAACAGCTGAGATGTCTTACTGCCCCCATTCTTCTTTTACTCCCTGTCTTCCTCCTCTCTGACTCCTGTTGCTTCCACCTCCCCCAAACCCCCACCGCCCCATCTCCCTACCCCCTCAACTCCCCAACGGCCCACGTTTCCATCCCCCCCACCAGTCCCTCCCACCGTCACGGCTCCAGCTCCTCTCATCAGCATCAGCACCATCCTTCTCCGATGTGGCGTTTCTTCCTTTCTACTCCTCCTGGTGAGCTGACTTCCGAGTCGAGAAAAGAATGGGCAACCTTGTATCATTCCTGCGATTTTTCAAAAGTGATCCAAACTCAAAGGTCAGCACCATCCTTCTCCGATGCGGCCTTTCTCCCTTTCTCCCCTCCTCCTCCTCCTCCTCCTCCTCCTCCTCCTCCTCCTCCTCCTCCTCCTCCTCCTCCTCCTCCTCCTCCTCCTCCTGATGGCACACACCCATCTGATGGCTTTTTCTGTGATCTCGCACCCATGTGAACACCCCTCTATGCATGCACGCACCCATTCCCCCATTATAGTGTGGCAGCATGCACGGCGTCGCGAGCGGCACTGTGGGACGTCAGGGCGTCTCTCTCTTCTCCAGCCATGCTCTTCCGCCTGCCTGACGCCAGACAATCACCTGCCACCACCACTACCACACTCAAGTGCCTCGCACCTGACCCGGATGCTTCTGTACGGCCCTGTCATTCCATCCATCGATTCATTGATCCATTGCCCTAGTCGAGACTTGAAACATTGCATGTACCAAAATCGTTTCATTCATGTTCCCATCATCCATTCATTCATACCTTTAAGACATTTCCCCTCAGAATGTGCATTGTGACAGTAGCTTAGTTTGTGGACATTGCACATTTTGAGTCGTCTCTTAGAATATGTCTCAAAAGGCCTATCCTTCTCCATTCCTATCTCCCCACCAACAGGTCATCTACGGTGGCTGTTCCGATGGCGCCATCTGTGCCTGGGATCTGCGCCAAGGCACTGGACAGTTTTCTGAGGCGCCTAACAAACCCTTGCAAGTCCTTGCCCTCTGCCCTTTTCCACCAACAGGTCATCTATGGTGGCTGTTCCGATGGCGCCATCTGTGCCTGGGATCTGCGCCAAGGCACTGGACACTTGGGGAACCACAACTCTTTCCCGCACTCAGCATCGTCCTCACTACAGCAGTCGCTACAGAAGTCGCTTCCAGAAGGTGAATCTCGTAGGCATGGAGCATCGAATCACCACCAGCTGCTCAGCCAGACTTTGCCATCCCGTGATGTTTCGTCCAAGCAACTTACTTTGGCAGCAGCAGCAGCAGCAGCAGCCGCAGCAGGAGAAGCAGAAGCAACAGCAGCAACAGCAGCTGCAGTAGCAGCAGCCAGTGAAGCGTCTCAAGGGTCTTTTAAGAAAGGTAGTGCATTGGTAGGAGCGCAGGCGAACGGCAGCAGTGGAAGGAGTGGGAAGGGGAATGGAGGACTGAGTTTTGGCGGAAATGGTGGGGGGAGTGGTGGGGAAAGCGAAGGTATAAGTGGTGCTGTGGAGTGGGCAAGTGGAGTGACAGAGAGGGATGGTAGGAGGCTGGTGGAAGAGGGGTTGCTTGCAGAGGTTGAGAGGGATATTGATAAAGACGTAGGAGTGGTACGCGGTGCTGACGGGTGCCGGGGCAGGACAAGGGTTGAAGTGAGGGAGCAGGGGGCATTAGCTGCAGGAAAGAGCTTGGGTGCGCGAGAACAAGTAACAGAACGAGGTAAAGAAAGGGAAATGGGAAGGGAAAGGGGAAGAGAATTTCAGCAAGCTGGACAGGGGATTGGAGATGCGGCAGCAGAGTGTGCAAAGAGGGTTTCTGAGGCGCCTCAAAAATCATTTCAGCAAGCTGAACAGGGAAAGAGTGGGATTGGAGATGCGGCAGCAGAGTGTGCAAAGAGGGCTAAGAGTAACGCAAGGGAGTGTGCAAGTGAGGCTAACGGATCGGGGTGTGGCAGTGGAAACGTGAGGGAGGACCGGGGGAATAGCAATGGTATGAGGAACGGCAGCAGCAAAAGCAGCATGCATGGTGGCAGCATGCATGATGGCAGTATAAGTTATGCCAGAAGCAGCATTTTTCACCAGAGACAGGGTGGGGAGAGTGCTCTAGAAGCCTTGGAAGGAATGAGAAAGAAGGCCAGAGGCACGGGCACAGGCACGGGGACAGGCACGGGGTCAGGCATGGTCGAAGGTGGGAGTTTGGATATGATGAGCATTGACAAGGTATTCGACAAGGTGCAGAGCGGCTGTGCTGAGATGGACCTACTTAGAGGGGCGTTTTCCGATCGCCTTGAGAGAAGATTCATGGGCTTTCAGAAGAAAGGGGCTGCTTCTGTGGGTAAGGAGAGTATTTCTGGGCCGTTCACTCCGCGAGATCTGCTGGGATCGGAGGGTTGGAGTGAGTCCGTGTGGGGTTCCTCTCGGCATTTTAGGCACGGAGGGTGTGCTGGTGGTGGTGTTGGTGGTGGTGTAACCTGTGCGAGTCGGTGCAGAGAAGCAGTCGGAGGAGCAGCGGGAGCAGAAAGAGGAGGAGCAGCAGCAACAGGAACAGCATCTGTGCCAGCAGCAGTAGCACAAGTGCTAGAAGCAGCTGGTTGTGAATCGACTGAAAGGGAAAGAAGCGGTTCAAGAGAAGGCAGAGAAGGATGTAGAGAAGGAGAAGCAGGGACGGATGGAAGGCGTGTTGGCATGCAATGGCACGGCAGAGGTGCAACAACAAGGGCTCCGCAGCGACAGCCTGCTGCTCCGTCTCTCTTTGGAAGCTCCCCATCTGCATCTGCATCTGCATCAGCATCGTCTGCCTTCTGCTTTGGACGAGAGGTGCGCTGCGCTCTCCTTTCCTCCTTTCATAAAACTTACCAGAAACTCTAGCCTGTGCCACTGCCTCCATATCCTTCCTCCTTTCCTCCCAAAAGAGCGATGCAGTCAAACTCTCGTTCAGAATTGACTGTGCCCCTCCTTCCCTTTCTTCACTCGCTCCCGCCTTCCGTTTCCCTTCTCTTATTCTTTGATAATGATCCCATCACCCTCACACCTTCATCTCCCCCATACTCTCCAGAATGGAACCCTCCCGCTGCACCTCTTTTCCACCTCTCATCTCTTCGGTTCTGTGCCGTCGTTGCAGGTAAGGCTTATCAGATGCTAGTGAGTGATACGCTGGTGACTGCTTCGACAGTGTTCGATTAGTTCTTGATTGATTTGCTACTAAAGTCATTCGCGAATCGTGACACCCGTTCCTACACCTCATGACTCCAAGTGCCGTACTTAAATCGACCCAGAAGCCACATCCCTTAACCACCCTTCATCCCTTAACCACCCTTCGTCGCATATCCTCTTGCGTATCGTCCTCCTCATCCACATCCTCTTCCTTTAACTCTTCCATGCCCTCTCACCACCTGTCTTTTGAGCAGCAGCAGGCAGGAACGATCTCCTCTGCAGTCCAGCACCTGTCTTTTGACCCTGCATCTGCCTCCCGCCTTTCCTTCCACCTCAACAACGGCTGGTACTTGCCTGCTCTCCTCTCTCTTCCCCTCTTAATTTTATCCTAACTTCCTCTCGTCCCTTTTTTCTCATCTCTTACCCTAAACCCTAGACACAGCTCCATCCACCAGAAAGCTCCATCCACCCTCTCTCACCCATGCACCACCACTTCCACGCTCAGCTCCACTTCCAGATGAGGAAAGTGAGGCTGAGCGTGGAGGGGTGAGGAAAGCACCACCACTTCCACGCTCAGCCTCATCGATTCCCTCTGGCTGCACTTTTAGGCGCCTTATCAGCATTTATCATCCCCCCCCCCCCCCTCGCAAGTGCACCTGCCGACCTGGGCAGCGAAGCCCTGAGTAACCTAACCCTCTCTGTGCCGATTGGAGCAGAGTGCTGCGTGTGCCCTCTCTCTCTACCGATCTTTGAGACTTTTAAACAAATCTGCCGACCTGGGCCATCACTGCCTGGAAAGCACTGTAGCAGAACAACCTTCTGGTTGTGCCTGTGCCCTGTCTGTGCCTCTCCCTCTCCCACATCGCCTCCGTGCCTCCTCCTCCCCTCCATTCCCCTCCATCGCTCTCTCCTGTCGCTTTCCCCTCCTCCTCCCCTCTCCCTCCTCTGACTTCCTGCAGGAGTGGAGTCCTGCATGTGCCCTCGCTCTCCCTCTCCCACATCCACTGTCCGCCCCCACCCTGGGTGAACACACAGCCAGAAGTCGAGGAGGACGAGAGGCTATACGAGTACGACCACCCGCAACATCAACATCAACAGCAGCGCACGGTAGTGGCGCCACCAGTGGTGGATTCGTGGACTTGGAGCCTTGTCAGTCGCCGGGTTCCCGCTTGGCTTCCGCAATCGGTGCGCCTTGGTTGATCCCTATAACCTCTCAATCAGACCTGCAGCCAACTCTTGATGTCTTGCTCTCTTGCTCTTTAGCGCCTCTTGCTCTCTAGGGATCTTGCGTTCTTCCTATCTTGCTCGTTTCCTCTCTTCTCCCCCACTAAGTCCCTCCTTCCCTGCTTCCCATCAGGTACTGTGTGTCCCCTCGGCCAGGGATTCCCACCTCTTCTTCCTTGATCTAGGCTCGGGATCACCTCATGCCACCCCATCCTCCTCTGAATCCAATCACGGGTACGCCACCACCGTTTCTTGATGTGCTGTTTTGTCCTACTTTACTGCACGTGTTTGAATCGACTTGGTAGCTAACATGATATTTTCTTTCCCACTTTTGATGATGTCAGGATGACAATTTCAAAGGCAAGAGGAAACAACGGAACATCAAGATCGCCGTATATTGGTGCTGTCACTTCTTCGGTCGTTGCAGTAGCAGCAGCCCCCAATAGTCTGGACGTCATTGCAAGCACGATAGTGAGTACAGTTTGTGTTGGTTGGTGTTTGCATAACGGTTTGTCACCCTGAATTATAACGTTGAGTTTTTCCACTTTGCATGCAGGATGGTGCCATGGTGGTGATCTCCCCGGTTTTGCCAACATAAGTAGTATGTATTCTCCTTGTTGCAACATTCCATTATCTGGCCTAACAAAGTTCCGGTTTATGATATAATTACCCCTCCTCTGTACAGGATGAATGCTTTCCACCTCACGCATTTCGAAGGGCTTCGCCAATCACTTATTTGATGGCTCCTCGATTGGCGGATGAGCCATTCCGAGGGTGCAAATTGACCTGTGCTGGAAAATGCATTGATACCTGCTGTGGTCTACATGCGGCGAATAATTTTGGGTTCTGGGCAGATAGAAAATTTCACAGAGCCCTCACTATTACTACTGGAAATTTCAATCCGTAAACCTCGCCTCTTGTTGGTAATCGTAAAACCAGCATCCAGGGTTTTCATGTTGGCACGTGGCGCCAATTGGCAATTTCCACCGTCCATCGTGATCTCTCGTTTCGTATTCGTCGCTCGTTTCAGCTAACTGTGCTCTACGACTGGTTGAAGTCCTGAACGACAGCTCCTGAGATCTGTTACCACCAATCAGGAACATTTCAAGCTGTCACTTGATCCCGAAACTGTACTCCATGGAAAAATATTATGATTTTGCCAGAAAATGCACACTAAATATCTCGCATCGCATTTTGCCAGTGTGGTATTCTCTGGGACCGCTGGTGCTTCCTCCTGGCCCATCAGATAAGGGTCACCAAGTCTAGGACCCAAGCTCCCCTCTACCCGCGTCTCCCTCTTCTCCTCCCCCCACCACAAGCCTGGTCAGAGTTGGTTCTTTTTCAAAACGGCATTGCCACACCCTGTTGAAATCGACCTGACCAGATCTGTTTGTTACAGATCACCCTGCTCAACGTCCAGCCAGCACAAGTAGAAGCTTAAACCAGCCTTACATATTCGTCGACAGATAACGCAACGATGGCGGCGATATCGACGGCGCTTGTGCCGGCACAGGCAAAGGCCCTCTCTTTCCCGTTGGCCGGCACCGCGAGAACAGCCGCGTCGGCCGCTCGGCCTGTTGTGTGCGTATCCGCCGGCGGTTCTCGACGCAGACAATCTAACCTCAGCTCACGTAAGTCGACAACCCCTCTCCTGGGCGGATCTAAAACCCCGATCTCCGGTCACAGATCTGCCTCATCTTCAGACTCTCTTCGACCACAAGCAGCTACCGGCGGCATCGACGGATCGGGCAATGGCGGCAGCGGCGGTGGCGGCGGCGGTGGCGGTGGTGGCGGCGGCGGCGGCGGAAGCGGTGACAGCAGCAGCAGCGGTAGCGGCGGAGGGTTCAACCCTTTCGCGGCTTTCCTTAGAGGGTGGAACGATCGCATCGCGGCCGATCCGGGGTTTGCGTTCAAGGTCCTTGCGGAGATGGTCATTGGCGTGACCGCGTGCGTGATCGGCGACATGGCGGCACGCCCTAACTTCGGCATGAACGAGCTCGACTTTGTCTTCTCCACGCTCGTCGTCGGATCTATTCTGAACTTTACGCTCATGTTCCTCCTTGCGCCCACCTCCGCCGCCGGCGCCGCCGCCACCCTGCCCGGAATCTTCGCGTCGAGTCCGACGGGTCACATGTTCGAGGCCGGAAAATACTCCGTGGTCCAGCGCGCCGGCACGTTCGTGTACAAGGGTATTCAGTTCGGTTTGGTCGGTTTCGTAGCCGGTCTTTTTGGAACCGCGATCTCCAACGGTCTCCTCGCGGTGCGCAAGAAGCTCGATCCGAACTTCGTCGTGATGAACGAAGCGCCGCCGACGATTCTTAACGCCGCCACGTGGGCGCTGCACCTGGGGCTGAGCAGCAACCTTCGGTATCAGAGCCTGAACGGGATCGAGATGGCGCTCGGCGCGCGGCTGCCGCCCGGCGTGTTCAAGGGCGTCGTTTTCGCGCTCCGAGGGATCAACAACATCATTGGCGGCGTGTCGTTCGTCACACTGGCGAAGCTGACCGGATCGCAGAAATCGGGCACCGCCGCCACAGAGGACGCTGATGCGGAAAAGAAGGCGGCGTAGATTCGCGACGGTATGCAGCTTGTAGATCTATTGAGTGAGAGGAGAGACAGGGAGAGAAGAATGGAGGGAAGGAGTGAGGGATCAAGATCAGAGCGATAAGGTGAGAGAAGATTAGTCGTTATCAGTCTTTTTTTTGCGCGAGGGGTGAGGAGGAAGTGGTAAGGACAAAGGGGCATAGTGGCACCATCAAGGCAGTGTCGTGTGGTAGGTTTTGGAACTCGGGGTTTATGCCAGTTAGAATCAAGCGTTACTGCTGACGGAGTCCGTGGGATTGGAAGGCATAGATGTGGCTTGTTTCTCTGGTACGGGGTTTAGCAGGGTTTAGGAGTGTCTAAGTGTGCGACAAGGGAGCGCAATCTCCTCGATTTCTTGTAGCCGTTGATTTGCACTCTTGGAAGCATGAATTTTACTTTTGTTTTCTCCGAGTGGTCTAACATACCAAACAGTTTCAGCACTCTTGAATGAACACCTGAATTCTCACGGGTGTAGCAAGTTTCATTAACGTACGGCTCACTGATCTGTTCCTGCTACCCTCCCTTCATCCCTCTTCCCCTCTCTGCTTTCCCCCTTCCCCTCTCTTCTTTCCCTCTTCCCCTCTCTTCTTTCCCTCTTCCCCTCTCTTCTTTCGCTCTTCCCCTCTCTTCTTTCCCTCTTCCCCTCTCTTCTTCCCTCTTCCCCTCTCTTCTTTCCCTCTTCCCTTCCCACCTTAAACTCCCTCCTCTCCTCTCCTCTCCCTTCATATCTCCTCTGTACATCGTTTTCCCTAGTTGTCAACCTTCTCCTTCTAATCCTTTCTCTCGCTTTCCTCTCTCACACATGCACCTACCCAGGCGCACGTTCCCCCCGCACAATATCCCGCCCACTCCCATCCCCTACACTTCCCCGCCTCGCTCCCCTTTACTGTAACCCCGATTTCCATCACCCCGTACCCTGTCTCCCGTTTCCCCGTCGCGCTCTCCCCCTTCCCAACACCCCCTCTCTTACACACGTTGTCACCCCTACAATCACAACCCCCGCCGCCGCCTCCCGCTCAGGCCCCTGCCTCTCCCCTGTGTCCGGCATATGCTTGTGCCAAACTCGTAACTATTCCGTTTCTCTTGCACCACCATCCCGTGTGTGCTCGTTGTAGTCACTTCCTGTGTGCCAGCCGTCCCCTTCTGTTTTCGGCCCCTGTTCTTACCGCCCCCTGTTCTTACCGCCCCCGTTCCTACCGCCTCCTGTTCCTACCCCCCCCCCCCCCCCCCCCGCCCCCCCCTCACCCTCTGTTCCAGTCGCCTCTTGTTACTGTGAACCCAATCGTCACATGTTCCTGCTGCTTTGTCGCATCCCTGTCTGGTTTGTCCAGTGTTACCACCCTACCCTCGCCTCTGGTTCATTCTCCTCTCCCCGCCTCTCCTCTCCTGTCCTCTCCCCTCCCGTCCCCTCTCCTCCCCTTCCCTCGTCTCCTCTTTTCTACCTTCCATCATGTCTCCTCTCATATCCCTCCCATCCCTTCCCCTCCCCTGTCCTCTCCTCTCTTTTTTCCTCTCCTCTCCTCTCCTCTCCCCTCCTCTCCTCTCCTCTCCTCTCCTCTCCTCTCCTCCCCTCCCCTCTCATCTCCTCTCCTCACCTTTCCTCTTCCTCCTCATCACAAGCCTGGACTTCCAGACTGAATGTTTAATTACCGTGCCTTACTGCCCAGCCTGTCAAGCCTCTGTCCCTGCTGCTTGCTCCACTCTTATCCCTCTCACAGGTACTCGCACTCACCCACCCCTCAAACACACACTCACACTCTCTCCTCTCCTGCCTTTCCCTTCCTCCTTGGTGATCGAACATCACTCCACACCCACTCCCTTGCCCTTCCACCGGACCACCTGCTCCCTTGCCCTTCCACCGGTCCGGACCTTAGTCACAGTCTTAATTCGTGCAGACGTCATCTTTCACCCCATATACATGGCACAAACATAAAGTTATTATTGTCAAGAACATGATCTAATAGTCTGATTTAGTAACTACATTGGGGCTTTACAGATTCTTGCACAAGGGCTCTTTGGTTCAACTGGGAGGTATCACTACAGCAGGGCCTACGTTATCAGGATAATTTATCCTGATTCTCCTGAATTCAGGATAGGTGTTTAGTGCCTCTCCTGTAAAAACAGCACAATGCAAATGTCTGTCCTGTAGTATCAGTATAATGGTAATTTTTCATACTGGGCCCTCAGGATAGCGCTGTAGGTACAGCCCTGATGAGTCAGGATAGTGTCGAGACTCGTCCTGACGCGAATACTGCATTTTCCCCGGGCCTAGTGTACCCAACCACCGACCTGGTACAGCGTAAATTACGCTCCGTGACTGTCGCACTGTTTATTTTTGCCTGGGTGGCCCAACACCACACCGCGCCCAGCCTGGAACCACAATAATGCTGTAACATCTTCCAATCACAGTGCGCCGCTGACTTAACACGCTTGAAAAACACGGCCAACAATGCAAGATGCTGGTGGCACGTGCTTCCCACCTAGCCATGAAACTTGTCCCTTATCCAACTTTGCAAGATGCTTGTGCCAGCGCATACGCCGCGACTCCTGTGGTCGACGCGCCATGTGTCTGGGGTTGGGAAGATTGTGATGTTCTGTTCTGTCTCTTCCTCCATCCCCTCCAGCCTGTTCTCGTCTCTCAACCAAACCCCAGCCAGAACGCCAACAATCTTTGTTTTTCCCCGTAACTTGCCTAGCTGCTCGACGCCGTATGTCTGCGTTATTTTTGCCGCAAATTACCGTCCATGGCTGACCCATCGCCGGCGGGCGATGGTGAAGCCCCCGCCATACCTAGCCCGCCCGGCCCGACCGTAGGGTTGACGGGCCTGGATTTATTGCGTAGTAGGCCTGTTCAGCCTCCACCACCGCCGAAACCAACACTAGCTGATTCCGCTGCCGCTGCCGTAGCTGATCCCCTCCCGTCGCCGTCCCAGCCACCCGTGCCTTCTCCCGTGACAGCTGCACCGGTCGTGGTTGACAACGTCCCCGTGCCACCGCCGATTCGCACGCAAGGGGAGTGCTCTAAGGCGGCTGGGACGACCCGCAAAGGACCACCGAGCCAAAAACTCTCCGCGCAACGGTATCAACAGACAAAGCTCTCGTTTGTCCGTACATCTGATACCACCGCTGTCATTTCCGTCACCAGGCAACATCATGAACCGACCACCGAACCTACTGTCCTTGTTGAAACCGCCGCCACTGCTTCTTCTGACACCGAGATTCCCGACGTCGCCGAGGAGAAGTATCAAGAAGCTTTGCTCATGTTTAAACGACGGTGGAACGAGGACTTCCCTTGGCTTATTATTTGTCGAACTAAATTTGGTTTCCCCTCCATGAAATGTACAGTGTGTATGGATTATGGAGGAACAGGAACCAACTTCGGGAAAGGCGAGGGGGCCCTGGATGTGCAGACTCAGGCCATGCAACGTCATCAAAGGACCACGAAGCACAGAGAAGCCATCCGCAATCAGGAGCTGGCTTTGGCCAAAGCTGCCGGACAGCATCGCATCCCAGACTGCCCGACAGCCCGTGACGTGGAGCACGACGCTGTGGAGTCGCTGCTGGACACCATGCTGTTCATCACCAAGACCGACGCACCCATAGAGATGTGGGTGCAACTCGTCCGGCACCTTGCTTCCCGTGGGACTCCGGGCTTCCCGAAGAATGGCTACGGCGCGTATTACACAACGTAAGTAATATGCTGTTCATATCTTTCACGTAACACATGATCTACTATATACTAACACTATGTTCCCTAACCGTGTGTTCGCAGGTACGGTTTCGCGGAACTAGTGTCCGCGACAGCAAGCTATCTTCGTGCGAAGCAGCGGGAGTTCATAGACTCGAGCCCATTCATTGGCTTGAGCTGTGATGAGAGTACTGACCGCGTGCGGGGGAAGCATATGTCGAGAATGAAGATTAGGGGCCTAGGGTTTGACCTAGGCGAGAGTGACGAGAAGGAAAGTGGCGAGGGAAGATGCAAGCCAAAAAGGGGTTCACTAGTAGAGGGCATACAAGATATAGGCAAGGAATTAGGCAAATGGTACACCACCTAGCAGGAAACTAAGATAACTACACTAGACTACTGTAGGCATTTATATGAATGTATACAAATACATTTCAACACACCCCCTAAATGCATACAGTGGAAACCCGTGTGTAGCACAAAGTCTGCAGGGGTACACCAGGTGCAGTGGAAGAAACAGAAGCAAGCAAGAGCAGTAGTAGCCGGTGCAGGAGTGGCAAATACAACTATAGCACGCCCTCAGCCAAGTCAAAAGCAGTAGAAGGTGTAGGGGCGGCAGGTCGCCTGAGGAGCAGGCTCTGTGGCTGCAACATGCAGCAGGACAGCAGCGGCTCGACGGCAGCACCTGCAGGCCCCAGCAGCAGACAGCAGAAACAAGGGCAGGTGGCGGCAGGGGCGGCCGCAGGAGGTGCCACGGTAGCAGCGGGTGGCAGCTGCAGATGCTTGACTGTTTTCCCACCACCCTCTCTTACCCTCCCCCCCACAGCAGCACAAGCGGCAGTGAGAGAGAGAGGAGGGGTGGCTGCTGGCTTTGCAGAGTCTCTCTCGCCACCCTCTCACACTCCCCCCGTTTCCCTTCACCCTCCCCCCGCAACCTCTCCCCCCCCCTCACGGAGGACCCCGCTGAAGGGAGGGGTAGGACGGGCTGCAGGCAACTCACACCCGCCACCCCCACATCTCCCTCCCCCCACGGCGGAAGCTGCGGAAGGGAAGGGGGGGGGCGGCGTTAGCTGCTGCTCACGCAGGTGCTGGCGACGGGCGCTGGTGCTGGCGCACACGGCCGTGCGCGGCTGCGCACGGTCGTACGCGGCTGCGCGCAGCAATGCGCGCCCGTACGCAGCTGCGCGCGGCTGCTGCTGTGTTCGTGACAGAACGGGGTGGGGCAGGTCGGGACGGGGCGGGTAGCGCTGGGCGGGTGACAGGGCGAAGGAGCAACGAGGCAGTACGAGCTGCCCAGCTCGTCGCCATGACAGCAGAAAGCTTGCCGTCGCGCCCGTCACGTCAGTCGCAACTAAGGGCGCGACGGCCGCCATGAAACGAGGAATACGTGGTGGGCCCATGGAGAAGTTGAAAACAGTAGGCCAGGATGTTACGTGCTCTGATACCATGTCGAGAATGAAGATTAGGGGCCTAGGGTTTGACCTAGGCGAGAGTGACGAGAAGGAAAGTGGCGAGGGAAGATGCAAGCCAAAAAGGGGTTCACTAGTAGAGGGCATACAAGATATAGGCAAGGAATTAGGCAAATGGTACACCACCTAGCAGGAAACTAAGATAACTACACTAGACTACTGTAGGCATTTATATGAATGTATACAAATACATTTCAACAGCATATGATCGTCTTCATCACTTTTTTGCGTGAAAACGAGGTTACCACTGAGTTTCTCACACTATTGACAGTTGACAAATGCGATGCAGGATCCCTGTATGCAGTGCTCGTCGGTTACCTCGACAGCATCAACCTCCCCCTTGCTAAGATCGCCGGGATTAGCACCGATGGCGCTCCAGTCATGCTCGGCGGAACCAACGGACTGACCGGGCGACTTCGACTCTGCATCCCTCATGTGGTCTCGTGCCACTGCATCGCCCACAGGTGGGTGCCTCTGCATCCCAGATCCAACATCTGCCGCTGTTTTACCAACTGACTGCTTGACGCCGTGTCCGTGGCTTTTTCTTTACAGGGAGGCACTTGCCGCGAAAGATTCTGCAGAAGCGCTCCCAGAGCTCGCCATGGTTGACGCTCTCATCCGTGCTTTGGCGGAGCATCTCGGCCGCAGCAGCACCTCGAACGCTGCATTCAAGGAGCTCCAGGCCGTCTTCACCCGGACGAACCTGGAAATGCAAGGGATCCACGCCGTACGGTGGCTAAGCCGCGGTGACGCGATAGCCCGGTTCGTGAAGGTGCTGCCGGCGGTGATTGTCCTTCCGGAGCAGCTGGACTCAACCTGTTACCACATGGTCACCAGCCTGAAGTTCCACTTCTTTGTGTACTTCCTGGCGGATGTACACGTAGAGCTGAACTCGCTCAACATGCTCTTCCAGAGGCGCGAGGTACCGTTGTCTGCTTTGTAGCACTATTCACTTGATAGGTGTTTGATGCTCACGGATGTGTTTCACTACTGTGCCCTCCCTGATCCAAAACCCGACCACAGGTTGACTTGACGGGGGTCCACTCCCAGCTAAGGCGTACAAAAGTCTTCATCAGAGAGCGCTACATCGACTGTGGGCAACAGTTCGGTGCAGGGGCGAGCACTCTACTGTCGCCGTTCCTTGCTCGCCACAGTGCACCATGCAGCAGGGAAGTGACTGTGCAGGGAGTGGACGCCGACGGGGAGGCAAGGGAGCATGAGTTCACCCTGCACGAGGAGGCGATTCCCGGGTACTTGGCGAGCGCTGGTGACATCCAGTCCTGCATTCGAACGTGTCGCTCGTTTGCGACTGAGCTGCTTTACAACCTCGACTTTCGGCTTGGCGACCTGACAAATCTCAACGCCGCAAAGCTCTTCATGCCAAGAACCTGGCCGCGTGGGAAAGAGGCGAGAGACGCGGAGTGCAAAGAACACATGGAGAAGCTGGCGGTGATGTTCCATGCTCGCGTCGGAGATGATATACTGCCTGGTGAGATAACTGTTTTGTTCGCCCACAAACATCGCTGTGTATCTTGTACCCCTTAGAAGCGCGATTGTTGATGCTGCACTTGTATGTTCCCTTATCATCCCATCATACAGGTGTGAACAAGCGCGAAGTGCGGAAGGAGATGCGCACGTTTTTGTCTGTGCTGTCCGGGGCGCCAAAGGAGGAGCAACCCTTCCATGCGGGGTTACGGGCGATCCTGTCAACTGCGGACTGGCAGCGGACCTATCCGAACCTGGTGCGGCTGTGGGCGGCTGTGGCAGTGTTGCCGCTCAGCACGGTGGAGTGCGAGCGCGGATTCTCGCGCCAGAATGTCATCAAGAGCTGGCAGCGGACCAGCTTGTGCGATGCGAAGCTGGGCGACCTCATGACGCTGAGTCTACTGGAGTACGACATGGAGTGGAGTGAAGTTGTGGCACTGTGGCGCAGCATCAAAAAGAGGCGACCCACCAAGCGCAAGGCAGCCACGGTGAATGTATCGAAGAGGAGTGCCACAGGGTTCCGGGGGTCACTTGCAGAGAAGCGTGACCACCACGCAGAGGATGGGGGGGATGCAGACAGTGGGGGGGACAATGATAATGATGCTTTTCAAGATTTTGTGGAGGAGGAGGAGGAGGACGATGAATGTTGAAATGCATGTCTATTAAAAAAGTTTCCAAAGTGGCTCTTAATTAGAACAAATACAGCCTTTACCGTCGTGCACAGGATAAAATGAAATGTAGCACTGACGGGTCAAGATAAAGTCATTTGTAGCACTGACCCTACAGCAAACCCATCCTTGCACAGTCCTGACATTTCAGGACAAAATAGGGTTTCTTAAAAACTGCCCTGAGTCCACAGGGTACCCTCAAACGAATCTGAGGCCCTGCACTACAGATACAGTAGTAATTTCAAGCCGGTGCATCAAAATATATTTCATCAAAATGCACATGCTGGACAACTGATGACCACTCGCTCTCCTCTCCCCTCTCATCTCTACAAATTCCTTACTGTTCTGTTCCGTCCCTACATGCCAGAGCATCGAGACAGTAAGACTAGGGGTAAATATTACTATATGTAAATACAGGTTTGCGCTGAATAAATCGCATAGCTGCAGTAAGGCATCTTTGCACCACAGTAAGGCACCACTACTTTCGACACACACATGGGCCAAATCCAAATAGATGTGTTACTGCACATCTACAGAATCATCTTCAGTGACTGCTACACTCCTCCCTTCTTCCACATTGCCAGTGCCCTGGCCCAGTGCACTCCCTAGTGCGGCTGCAGCAGGGGATAGCAGCACAGCCAGCTCGGCTAGGCCAGCCGAACCACCAGCGCCGCTGTAAATAGCTGTTGCTGTCTCACTGCCGCTTCCCCGAACAGCGATATCTCCTTCCATGACTGCTTGTACACCCACAGTGTTCAGGCTGCTGTTCACTGCACCGGAGCTGCCTGTAACGAGGACGCCACTCATTGCATCCATTCCCCCAGAAAGCAAGTTGGCGAAGCTGGTGCCACTGCTGCCGAGGCTGGCGCCGAAGCTAGCTCCCAGGCTCGGAGAAAGCAACATATCCGCGGCAAGGGAACAGAGAGCCTCGACGCGAGCCTTGGGGCCGAAGAAGCCAGACAGGGAGAGGACCGACTGGGCACCTCCTGACAGCAGAGCGGTGATGGACGGCTGAGATCGCGAGAGCTCGACAATGCGCACGCGTTGAGATGGGTCGATGCCAGCCTTAGATTTGGCGACCTGCACAGCGGACCAGAAGCCTCCGAGAGAATCCACTAGGTTGGCCTTGTGGGCAGCCTGGCCTGTCCAGACTCTTCCCTGTGCCACTGCCTCCATATCCTCCTCCTGCAAGGAAAGGGGGGTATGGGGAGGATCAGAGTACAAAAAAAAAAAAAATGGATTGTCAGTCCTTGGCTTCTGGCCTGGCCTGTCCAGACTCTTCCCTGTGCCACTGCCTCCATATCCTCCTCCTGTGCACAGAGGAAACGGAGGTGTAGGGAGGATGGGAAGGGAATTTAGGAAAACAGGATTGTCAGCCAGGTAGCTTCTTGCCTGGCCTGTCCAGACTCTAGCCTGTGCCACTGCCTCCATATCCTCCTACTGGGAAGCAAGGAAAGTGAGAGCAGTAGGGGTGTACGGTACACATACAAAAGAAAAGGTAGATTCTGTGAGTCGGTGGCATCTTGGCTGAAAAGGAGTTGTGCGGAGAATGTGAGTACAGTAGAAACAGTAGAGCCTGTGAACTGTTGGCATCGCGATTGCCACTCCTTGGCCTGCCTTGACCTAGCATCTTACACTGTGGAAGCTGCCATAAGCGCTCTAGCATGGTCGCTCGGCCTTCTTTCTTAAGACATAGGTATCGGGCTGGAGCTGCAAGCAGGGCATGGCCTCACAGGTTCATAATAAGAGGTGCTTTTGGGTCAAGGGTGGGTGGCAGCTAGGTAGGGCTGGGTGGGTGGGGGCATACCTGCATGGAGCGAGACAAGGCTGCCTTGTTCCTGAAGCGCTGGTATGCAATCTTGGCCCCCTTGGCAAAGTACTCCTCCTCGTCAGGGCTGTATGGTATGGATGCAGTGAGGACGAGATGCAAGGGAGGCGAGTAATGAGGAGCCTTAAGAAATGCGCCTACAAATTGCGATCTTGGCCCCCTTGGCCAAGTACTCCTCCTCGTCAGGGCTGTATGGTATGGATGCAGTGAGGACGGAGATACAGTGGAGTCAAGAATCAGGTGAGCATGACACAAGAGGCATGTGGGGTTATGGTAGCATCAGAACCTTGGTGTTGATTTGAAACACCAAAGCGTGGTGATTGTATTATATTCAAGAAAGAAGACGGGAAACAAACATCAATTTGGCAGCAGAGTGAGGACGGGCTGGGGCTTGGGTCTGGAACTGGGACAGGGTAACTCCTAAGAATTGCGAAAAAAGAAGGAAGAACACTAAGGTCGCTCCAGTTGATTAAAAAATGCGAGGCACTCACGTGAAGGGGCGCTGATCCGCATTAAGCTCTGCGAATCGGCCGCGTGAGATGATCTCCTTGTTGAAGCCTATGCGCCCGTACAGCTCCCCCAGACTGAACTTGCCTGCCATAAGAACCCCGGACGCAAGGGAGAGATTTTCCCCAGGGGGTTGGGGGAGAGTGGAGGAAAGAGGGGGGGGAGAGGGGGGGAGAAATTGAGTTGACTCTGAAGTCAGCTTCGGCCGCGGGAGATGATCTCCTTGTTAAAGCCTCAGCGCCCGTACAGCTCGCCCAGACTGAAATTGCCTGCCATGCCACGCCAGGACATGAGGCAGAGATTGTGCCAGGAAAAACGGGGAAGGGAGGAGCGGAGGGAATTTGCAGACAACTCTGAAGCCTCCAGCCGTGGGAGATGATCTCTCTGTTGAAGCCTATGCGCCCGTACAGCTCACCCAGACTGAACTTGCATGCCATGCCAAGAAAAAGAAGATGCAGAGGTTGCGGGTTTAGGGGTGAGGGGGAGATGTCTGTGTTGACTAAGAATTCACAAAGCCTATGCGCCTGTACAGCTCGCCCAGACTGAACCTGCCTGCCATCATGCCAAACCAGGTCACGGGGGTTTTTTGAGAATTCTCAAAAAACACGCGCTGCCTGCCATCATGCCAAACCAGGTCACGGGGCAGAGGTCATGCCATGGGAGGGAGAGGAGGGGAGGAGGGAAGGTTGGGAGGATCGGGGGAAGGGACATGGGGAGATGAGAGGGAGGGTGAGCAGGAAATTGTAACGGATGCGGCATGTGCGGCATGGCCCATGCGCTGACCTTCTCACAGCTAGCCCGCGCCTGTGACGACGCCAATGAAGCCGGTGAGAGTGAGGGGCTCGGGAACAGTGTGCGGAGCAGTTATGGCCATTTAGTACCCGCCACTCGCTGCCACGTCCGACATGATTTGAGCCAACTCAAAACCAGCCCTCACCTGTGACGACACCAATGGATCCGGTGAGCGTGAGGGGCTCGGCGACGATGTGAGGAGCAGCCATGGCCATGTAGTACCCGCCGCTGGCTGCCACGTCCGACATGCACGCCACCACTGGCTTCACCTTGGCCAGCTCTTGGATCTCATTCCACATGCTGGGGTGGAGGGGGTGGAGAGAGGGGAATGGGGGGAAAGGAGGGGGGGGGGGGGGGATGGGTTTAGTCGACTCGGTAAGGGTTGGCTTCACCTTGGCCAGCTCTCGGATCTCATTCCACATGCTGGATGAGGGAAAATGGCAGCTCTCGGATCTCATTCCACATGCTGGATGAGGGAAAATGGCGGGGGCGGGAAGAAAGGGAAGAATGGAGTTTGTGCATGGTGGCTCGGAAGCACATGTGGTGTATGGCAGCGCGACATGCTCGCCACCGCTGGTTTCACCTTGCCAGTTAGACCGTTTCGCGACTTTGTATATCCACCTCATTCAGTCCGTTAACCTTTTTTTGACCCCACCTATCTTCGTAACTACTCTGACTCAGCTCAGGCTGACTCATAGGTCCGAGGCAAGGGCGTCTCCCCCAGGGCTGTCAATCCGCAGCACGAGTGCCTTGAACTGCTTGTTCTCCTTCACCATCCGCAGCTTCTCGATGATACTCTGGCCCTCTCGACACATAAATCAGTCAAACTCATCCAGCCCCCATTGACTCTGCTGTTCACCTCATTCGTTCTGTTTGAATCTCTATCACCCCGTCAACGGCTTGAATCTCTAGACCCCGTCGACCTCAGCCAACCCCGCTTGACCCTGTTTGACTTACAGGTCAGATGCAAGGGCGTCCCCTCCCGGACTGTCAATCCGCAGCACGAGTGCTTTGAACTGCTTGTTCTCCTTCACCATCCGCAGCTTCTCAATGATGCTCTCGCTCTTCACGCCGCCCCCTCCCATGCCCCCGCCACGCTCCTTGCCCTGCGATATCGCCCCCACTGCACGCAGCACTGCGATGCGCTCCTTCCCGCCCAGCCCCACGGTCGAGGGTGATACTTTTCCGTACTTCCTACATTGGGGGAGGAAGGAACAAAGGGAATGAGGATTGAGAAGAACGAGCGTAGAAGCGCCTCAAAAGGCCGCGCTCCTTGCCCTGCGTTATCGCCCCCACTGCCTGCAGCGATGCGAGGCGCTTCTTTCTTCCCGCCCAGCCCCACGGTCGAGGGCGATACTTTTCCATACTTCCTATGGTAGGAGAAAAACAAACCGGGAGAATGAGGAGGAGGGGTCGTAGGGCAGGCACAGTTGTTGCAAGAGTGCTTCTCTTACCAAGCGGTCTGCCTCGTTCAATCAGCTTTTAGTGCATCCACCGCGAGCATTCATTTCGAGGCGCCTCAAAGGGCGTTATGACAGTTCTGCTACACTTCGCGCCTCCCTGTATACACACCCACTTAAGATCTCCATACGAAAACCTCTCTCACTGAGAGACTCCCACATGCAGACTCATTCAGCCTTCCCACGAGAAGGCAAGACAGGGCAGGGCAAGGCAGTGAGTGAGAGACAACACTCACTTGGCGCCACGGATTGCAGTCGTTTTTTGAGTCAACTCAAAACACAACTCATTCCACGCACGCTAAGGCAAGGCAAGGCAGGGCAGAGCAAGGCAGTGAGTGAGAGACAACACTCACTTGGCGTCCACGGATTGCAGAGGCTTCTCCTTGTCCTGCCCCAGCCGCTCCTTCAACAGCTCCTCCACCTGATAGCATGCACGCAGGCACACATACACGCACACACGCACACATTAAGGTAAGGCACACGCATGAATCACTCCCACGCACAGAGTCACATGTGAAAGAAACCGAAGGGGCGAATTCGACAAGTGGGTCGCAGATTCCAGCATACACACATCTCTTGTAACAGACATGCACGGTGAGAAGGTGGAGGGGTGCTTGGGGCGGCAACTAAACGAACAAAGGAATAGAGAAGCTGAGTGTACGGCAGACTGCCGTACCACACCACACCACACCACACCACACCACTCGAGGCCATGCAGCGCACCTGGATGCCGTAGATGACGTCAGTGAGGAATCCCCTGCTCTTGAGCTCCTCCACCTCCTGTACTCCGTCCTGCAGCAGCTGCTGCACTGCCTCCTGCCCCACCCCTGCTAGCACACGTGAGGGCAAGAAAGGACACAGGGGGGGGTACAGGTATAGTATGGGCGTGAGTATGGGACAGGCGGAGTACAAGCAGAGGCAGGCAGGGGTGGGTCTAAGACTGAGGATGAGGGAAAGGGGGATACTATACCTGTTGGCTCTGTTGAGCTCCTTCACCTCCTGCACCCTTTTCAGCCAACGCACCTCTGTTTCCAGCTACGGCAGCTGTCCACGAGAAGTGAAAGTCGTCAAATAAGGTGGTGAGCACTGAGCATCAATTGCCTCCCAAACAGCTCTAGAAAAACATTCACAAATGCACACCTGCACGCACCTCTGTTCTCAGTCACGGCAGCCGTCCACGTGGAGTAGAAGTCGTCGAGAATAGCGGTGGGCATCTCGCGGTTGGGCTCGCTCATGTCAAACTATCCATGCATCAACCCATACCAACCGCACACAACCAAGTTCCAACCAACGTACCTCTGTTCTCAGCCACGGCAGCGGTCCACGTGGAGTAGAAGTCGTCGAGAATAGCGGTGAGCATCTCGCGGTTGGGCTCGCTCATGTCTGACCGTGCCAGCTGGTCGCCCGCGCTCTTGTACTTGCCGATGCGCTTGATTTGTGGCTGCACTCCCGCCTTCTGCAACACGCCTGGCCGATCAGGAGGGGAGGCAGGGAGGGAGGAGAGGAAAACGGGGTGCAAGGGAATCGATCAAGTGACTGATCTACCAGGAGTTTTTTTACCCCGCTTTCTGCAGCACACCAGGAGTTTTATGGAGAGTGGGTGGGATTTTGAGGAGTTCTGCAATTATTTGAACGCTTCGCTTACTTTCTGTCCCGCCTTCTTCCGCCACCCAACATCCGCACTTTCCCTCACTCCCCCTGCTTCATCCCACCACCCGAAGAAAGACCCTGCATGGCCACCGGGACTGCACTTCCAGCATCGATCACTCTTCATCCCCTCCCTCGTGACCGCCTCACTCGTCCCCTCTCCCTCTTCCTTCCAATCTCAACTCTCCCCCAGCTCTCTCCCCCCCCGTTCGTCTTACCCCCAAGGAACTGCCCCTGCACGGCCAGTCCGCGCAGGGAGAGGTAAGCGCCGGGGGGAGCGTAGATCTCCTCGCACGCGGACGCAATAAAGTACTCTTGCTCTCCGCCCACCGTCATGTACGCGATACAAGGCTTGCCTGGTGGCGCAGACGGAAGGGGAGGAAGGGGGGGGTGGGGAGAGGAGGGGACAGGAGGGGAGGAGGGACGCGAGGGCTGGGATGAGTGATTTGTTTAGAGAGAGAGGGTCGTATGCGGAGTGAAGGAACGCGGAGACATGATGCACATGACGGTTTCAGAAAGAGGTTATTGACTCCAAAGGAACGCGGCGTCTCATCTCACGCGCCAGAGGAAGGAGGAACGTGACAACGCAGCTATACCAGCAGTGTTATAAGTACAGGCGCAGATGAATATACATATATAGGCTCAGCGCCACGCACCTGACTTGCGAAAGTGCGCCACGTGGCGAGCAATCTCCTGCAGCTTGCCCCAGCCGCACTGCAGCGGGTCCACGTGGAGCAGCAGCGCGGAGACACGTGGATCCACGGCTGCCTTGCGTAGGTTGTCGCAAATCGCGGGGAGGGAGAGCGACGGGGAGAAGGAGGACCCAACCATCTCGGGAATCTGCGGGAATAAAGAAGCGGGGGGGGGGGGGGGGGGGGGGGGGGGGGGGGGGGGGGGGGGTGGGGGGGCGGGGTGAGTTGGCGGAAAGGGAAAGCGGGGGTGGCGTCGGTGCGGTGGAGGAGCTCGGGGGGGTGCGGGGACGGGGGAAAGAGAAACATGAAATGAGGAACAACTTACAGAGTGAAGAGAAGATAAGGGGGAGTGAGAGCGAGGAAGAAAGAAGAGGAAAAGAGAGTCAGCGAGAGAAAACGGGAGGAAGAGAGGGTGAGAGCGAGCGAGTAAGAGTAAGCGCGTGAGACAGAGAACAAGAGAGGAAGAGAGAGTTAAAGGATTTTACATTGCCCTTGAGTCGCATGTACAGAACCGAGTTCTTCTTAACGCGTCGCCACGGCCACTCCACAAGCATCTTCAGCTGCGCGCCGAGCTTCCGGAACCCCGCCAGCGGCACATACTCAAGCTCGATCGGCACCGCTACATCGCCGCTCGCGCCGCCTTCGCCGCTCGCGATGCTCGCGCTGCTAGTCGCGCTGCTGGTGCTCGCCGCTACCCCGTTACTAGCCGCCCCGTTAGTCGCGGAAACGGTTTCGGTTTCCGAAAACGCGTCCGTGTCGGAGTCTACGCTTCCGGAAGTGCCGGTGGCTTTAACTTCCTCCGACTCCGCAGGACCCGATTCAGGGGTCGACGCGGCCGACGCGCTGACATGGCGAAAGGAAGAATGAGACGCGGAGAGAGGCGCATACGCGGAACTGCGGAAGGATGCGGAGATGGCGGAGGTACTGGCGATGGCGGAAGACGCGGAGAGACTTGCGGACAGGGGGGCGGAAGAGCGATAGGAGAGGCTGGAAGGGCGCGCGAAGGATGCGGAGAAGTAACGGGCAGCCGAGGAAGTTGCGGCGGAACTGGCGGCGGAGGCGGCCATGGGGAATGGAGATGCTGCGGCGGCGCAAGCAGGTGCGTGGATGAGCGCGGAAGCTGTAGCAGCGGAAGTCATGACTGGCGCAAAGTGCTCGACTACGCCTACGCTGCGAGCCCAGTCCGTGAGAGAAGAGCGAGGAATACGACTGCAAGAGGGAGCAAGAAGAGCGAATGACGCGCCGAGATAGCTTGGTAATGACGAACGCCAGCACGACTCGTTGGCGCAGCGCAGAGAGATCGATCTTATAAGGAAGGATCTCGAATCTCGATGTCAGAGCCTGGTACTCGTACCCTCTCTTTGTCTCTTTCTTTCTCTCAGAAGGGGATGAATGAAGGATTCTCGAAGAATCCGCCCAGAAATATTTGATGATTGACGCGTGGGATTCAGTGGGAGATCGGGCAACGATGCGACTCGGAACCGTGATGACGAGAGGGAGCGAGCCAGCCAGCCAGCCGTCCGTCTGGGAACTAGTAGTAACTAGACACGTCGACACGTGTAGTGACCAAAGGGGTTGGACTGGACTTCACATACTAAGAAGTGGTTTGGTGTGGTTTGATATGGTGGATGTGGAGGTGGAACCATCCTGGAAAACGGATGGGTTGCGTGATAAAAGAGGAAGTGGTAACAGCACTTAGCGACCTCTTGTCGCTTGCAGGATGAGGCTTCGTCAATATCTCGCTGAGTTACAAGAGCAGAGGTGTATGGTGATCACGTCATTTGCAAGCTCGGTGCATGACCCATCCCCGTGCCCTTTCCTCCAAGGTGATACGGCATACCAAAACGCCACGTCCGATCAAACATCACTGGGACGTGTGGCTGCGCCACGTGGCCCCGTTTCTGCCACGGTTCTTTTGCGACAAGCACGAATGTTGCGAAAGCATCCAGACTGTTTTTAGTACTGTTACCAGTATGATGTTTGTGCAGATCATAGCCCATGACATTCCAATACCGTAGAAGGTCATGGGCCATGGTCTGCCTGCTGTCATGGGCAATTTAGGGTTGGAGGCATACGCAATTGGAGGTTCTGAAATAAGGCAAACTGTCCGCGTTTGGCTCCCAGCTTTGCTATTCAGGCTTCATATTACAAGCATCAACTCAAGCTATCACCTCTGACCTCTTCATGGATGAACTACATAGGACTGCCTGTGACAATGCTATCCATGAAAATCAGGCTGCATGATCCATTTGAGAGTAAGCTGGCGAGCAGCCTGCCTTACAAAATCATGTTTCTATTCGCCACACCAATGAACCAGAGACAAACCTGCTACTTATGCAAAGCAACCAGTAATTAACACAACGCACCTACTTGGCACATCCCACACCGTGAATGTGCAATTGGAGCAAATTACCTAACAGAAATCACACTCTGATTCACTCAGCCTCAATGTCAATAATACGGATATTGTCATCCCGAGATGCCCTACCCCCCTTGCTAGCCTGTCCATTGATATTGGGGTTCCACACAACTCCCCTGCAGCGCTGGCATGCAAGCACTTGTGCACGTGGCCCCACAAAACGTTGGCCGCATGAAGGGCAAACACCCTAGAGCACACAAGGGAGCACAGCAGGAATACGCAGAGATAAGCAGAGTGCATGGGTAGAAGTTGCAATAAAAGCAAGCAGGAGAAATAAAAGGAGAAACTGTCAAGGCCTGAACGAACCTCAACAATGGTATTGCCTGCCATGCTTCGGACAATCCATGGAAGCAAAGGGATGAGCCAGAGGGACCAGAAGAACAGTTGAAAGAGCCATCCAGATAAAAGCAGCCAGCAGAAGGCACCAAACTGCGAGAAAAGAGACAGCCCAGAAAGAAAAGCATTCGCATGAGCTTACCAAGGCGAACAGAAGAGTTAGAAAGCCAAACCATGCCGTTAGATAGCGCTAAAAATCAGGGATGACGTCGGAACAAAGGAGTGAATCATCGAGATGCAAGAAGTACGACAGGGGTTTCCGTAAAACTTACGAAGACAGCCTGCCCAATAGGCGTCTCCCTGAACTCATTCAGCTGGCGCTCATACTGCAACAAAAATCAGGGTGGGATAAAACAAGTATGGCAAAACCGGAAAGCAAACAACTTCAATATTCATGCACTCCGCGCTGGTATCCACAAAAGCCCGGAAAGCGAAAACAGGTAAAAAAATACGTTATTTTCCATGCCATCCACGAGCTAACCTCTCAACCATCAAGTTCTCTACCCTCTCAACCATCAAGTTCCATGTACTCGAGTTAAACCCAACGTCATCGCATATCTTATGCCAAAAGTATATACTCTGTGCTTTTCTACCTCGATACCACTTGCTAGTCACTCACCTTGGGCCATTTCTGCTTCAGATCTTGAGACGCTGCACGAAACCTCTGTCGTACACGAAGCCTCTCGTCCACTTCCCGAAGCTGATTCGCCGCACCTCCTAGAACCTCATTCGCCTTCTCCTTCACGCCATATCGCCTGTCAATGTTTGTCGCATACCTCTCCGCCTCAAAAGATAACTCTTCCAAACGACTAGCAGCGCTCTTAGCAGCTTTCTTGATTTTTTTCTCAAGATCGTTTTCACGAGCAAAGCTTTCGACCTTTGACTTAGCCTCCCTCGCCTTCTTCTGCGCAGCTTCAGACAGGTCTCGGAAGAATTTCTCTGGCTCTGCCGCTGACTGGACAAGCAGCGGCTTCCAACATCTGCTGCTTGCACCTGTACCGCGGATGTTGTAAGGACGGACTTGCACGCCGAAGCAAGAGCTCGAAAGGTACGAAACGGAAACGCTGCGAGTTTCAAAATATTTGGCCTTGGGATCCGATTGGAGAGCTATGGTGGTGCAAGGTACTCTAGAACTAATTACAGACGTCATGGTTCCGGCGGTACAGATGACGATCTCTGGCTGTAAGGTGGAGCACCACAACAAAGCAGGCGAAATTTACTCACTCAATTCGTCAGTTTGGAAAGAGTATGCCAGAAACCCTTCTCAAACAGATTTTTGCGAGGGATCGAACAGATTTCCTGAAATGCTTCACGTACTCGTATTGCAAGGATGTCCTACAGGAATCTGATGTTGCCACTGATTTCACTCGCAAAAATCACGAGATGCACAATACATGCTTGCTTACCTCACACGCTTCTTGCTGTTTGCTTGACATGGCAATGCGGGAGGAATCTGCATGGTGGGTCTGGCTGGGACCCTGTTGGCGACACAGGGGCAAGGTGCAGAAGTTGAAGGCATCCCCGGGGCAGATTCAAAGGGACCACCAGGTGGTAGTGTGCCAAGGAACAATCGACACGTGGCTCGGGCAGAAAGGTCGAGTGAAGGCTGCAAGAAGTTACTCCGTAGCCTCGCTGTTTCAGAAATTCGGGCAGTGTGAGATGGATTTTCTGGACAAGGGCTGGCGAAATGACGACACGATCGAGAAGTGCAGCAAGGGACGGATGAATCGGACGGAACGGAACCAATTGGGTTGCTTGAAGGCTGCGAAAACCAATGACGGGCATTGGCGATCGCTTTGCTTTTGATTGGGTCACAGGGTTCAGGTAATCGTGTCCAATATTATGGGAGCCTCGCTCGCGAATCAGGTGAAAGCGCTCAGCAGCACAGCTCGTGAGGTGAGGAAAACAAATTAGGGCGTAACTCATTTGGAGTTATGGGCAGGTTCGGGACATGTGAGTTCTTAGACGACCAATAAGGTGCAGTTTTTGTTACACTACTGGAATATCAGTGGTCCTCTTATGACCCGAAGTGTACAGTGTTCTTCCGAAGCACCCTTATGATCCGAAATAAGATACGCCCTTAGTTAATCCAGCCCAACTCCCTAAAATGCTGGGCCACGTCATTGCCACAACAAGTTCGGTCCCACAAAGCAAAGTGGTACAAGTTCGCGAGTTCGTATTGAAGGGGATCGAAAACAATGTGAACAGTTGCCTTAAACTAATGAGTAAGGAAAACTACGCGACGGGCTGACACCTGTCGCTGCGCTCCTGCGCTCTGAATTTATGGAGGGTAAAAGGCCAGCCAGGAGTTGACGCTGCCTACTTACGCAGAACTCTCCTGTGCGGGCCTCCCAACCCCGTGGTAAAACCACGAACAACTGTAAAATAAAAAAGGATTCTCGTGATGAGAGGGATACACTGGGGTAGTGTATTCATACTACTACGCTGTTCTAACAAGAAATGCATGGAGTGCTACAACTTCTGATATCTAGATACACGCATACACTCTTCAATATTGCGATCAGGCTATTTTCCCCCTAAATTTCTACCTACAGCCAACCTTCATGTTCTCACCTCCCAGCGACCTTACCCCCTAGCAGAGCCTGCTGCACTGCATCTAGCACGCGCTTTGACCGCCGACAAGAGCCTGACAAATCGTCCACAGCTGGCAGCACATGATTGGTGGCGTCGCGTGGTGTTGACGCATTGCCAGCTGCTACAATCGCCTGCAGTAGAGCCATCCTCTCGGCATGCGAGGCAGCAGCAGCAGGGATGGCGTCGAGAATGGCTTGCAGCCATTGCAAGACATTCCCCCCACAACACACTTGCAACGCCACCAGGAGATCAACCACCTGCAAGCAGAATAACAAACGGGACATTTTTAGCATCAGCCACCAGCAAAGCGTGCGCCCTTGGGACACCTCAACCTCGACTTTTCAGGCGTCTCAAAAGGTTAACACACCTCAAAATCACCGTATCCCCACGCTCCTCACCATTGCCAGACTCGCACAGGCCGCCAGTAGCAGCGGCGAGCAGCAGGCGGCAGTGCGTGGGCCCCTGAAACGTCTCAAAACCGAGTTTTGAAACGCCCCAGGACCACCTTACATCCATCCACGCACCTCATCATTGCGAGACTCGGGCAGCCCGCCAGTGGCAGCGGCGAGCAGCAGGCGGCAGAGAGTGGGGCCACGCGGGCCCACGGCGGCCTCTATGTTGGCGCGGAAGGGACGGCCGCGCTCCGAGAACGGGAAGTCTAGCACGTCCTTGAGGAAACTGAGAACCGACTTGCACGCCTCCCTGCAAGTGACGGATGGGGATGAGGCGAGACGAGATGAGATGAGCAGGAGGGCGTGTGAGCATGCAGTGGCTGGGAAGCGTAGAGGCTAGGACGGGGACGGCCGGGTGCCTCCCTGTGGGGGATGGGCGGCGGGAGGAGGGGCCGAGGAGGAAGGCGTGTAAGGGTGTGGAGGCTGGGGTTTTAGAGAGTGACTCAGTAAGCTCTCTGATACCATGGCCTGCAAAGGGACTGCCATGCGCAGCAAGGAATGCTGGCTGGCATGGGCATGGGCACGGATGTTCATATCAGACATCTCGAAAATGGCTAGAGAGTGACTCAACAACACACACCTGTGCTGCACGAAAAGGCCTGCAAGAGCACTGTCGAGCACAGCAACGAAGGCTGGCGTGGGCACGAAGCACGAACAAGTAACTCTAGAAACGCCTAGAATTTTGCCAGAGAGGGAGAGACACACGGAAGCCCGCACCTGTGCTGCACGAGCAGGCCTGCGAGAGCACTGTCGAGCACCGCAAGGAAGGCTGGTGTGGGCACAAACAGATGCCCGCAGTACCGCATGCAGCGCGATGCAAGGAGGAAGCAATCGTCCGCCACATCCGGTTTCAATGTGAAGTCCTGCAGTGATGGAAGGCAGTGTGAAAAGACAGTGAGGAAGGCAGCACACATGTGAGAGAGGGCATGAGAAAGTGGGAGAGGGCGTTAGGTTTAAAGAGTTTGCAGCGCGACGCGAGAAGAAAGCAGTCGTCCACCGCATCTTGTTTCAACGTGAAGTCCTGCAGTGATGGAAGGTAGTGCGGAAAGACAGCACGTGTGTGAGGGGAGCCAGTTAAAAGCAGTCAACGGCCACGTCTGGCATAGAAGGATTTCGAGGAATTCCAGGATTTCTGCATCTGGCGTGGGACGGTGGTTTCAACCGGCAACACAGTCCACACTCACCCCTGTCTGTGTACAATATGGCACATAACTCGACAAATCTCAACATAACTCGACAAGTCTCAACTCAAAACACACCAGCAAGTCTCAACCACGGACTCATGCTTAGAGGGAAATCGCCCTTAGAACATGGATTCTGGACGTCAAGCGATTGCAGAGGAGGCTACACCATTTCCTTCTAGAAGCATAAAGAAACAACTTTAGGGAGCCGCAAAGATTGAGCTAAGGGCCGCACAAAAAGAAGCTTACGTCAAGGGATTGCAGGGACGCGGTGGTGCGGGCGAATAGCACTGCGATGAGCTGCTGCAGGTACGCTGCACAGTTTACGTCCAAACCAAACACCTGATGGGAGGTGAGGTGGTGGAGGGTTGGAGAGGTGGAGAGGTGGACGCGTGGAGGAGTGGACGAGTGGACGAGTGGACGAGTGGAGGGTGGGGAGGAGCTTCAGGGGAAGAAAAGGGAAGGAAATGATGAGAGGCACGCAGCCGGCAAGGGGGTCTTGCTTGCATTGCATGGACAGTGCATAAGGCCTCTCTTCAACCAGCACGAGATGCACTGCACTGCATTTTGGAAGCATATTCGCTTGAACCAAGAGCATGGGGATGAGATCTATACTGCTGGAAGTTTCCTTTCCTTGAAAGGCAAGTCTGAGGAAGTTTTTTTGCAGGTTGGATGAAAGAGAGGTGTTAGCTGCAGATGAGGTGAGGTACCTTGATGATTTCACTGGCCACGTATAGCAGGCATGGTTGCTGGTGCTGCTCGTATTGCACCTGCAGCTCCTGCAGGAGAGGCGCTAGCACTGGCGCCATGGCCGTTTTCCCTCCCCGAATCTGCACACACGCATGCATGCAAACATGCACATATGCACATGCACAAATATATATGGAGGAAAGGTAATGCACAGCAAGGGATGAGAAGCAACAGTTTGCACATCACACATTGGCATGCACGAAATGCAATGCGGGCAAACACAAATTCACACGAAGACACAGGGATTCTGATAAGACGAGCGACACTACGAACAAGGACAGGGGAGGGAGAGAAGAAGGGGAGGAGGAGATGACGAATGCAGGGATGAGAGAGCATACATCACACGTTTCACAGACACACGGGCACGCCCACTCAACCTACACACACCCACACCCACTCTCACACAAATACACACCATTCCCCCCTTCCAACCCGTTCTCTCCCTCCAATCCCAACCTCGCACACACACCGCGTATTTGCATGCTCGACATAGCCTTTCCATGACTCGCATGTCTGTGGGCTTTCTGCAGTCACACAGACACACAGACACACAGACACACAGAGACACAGAGACACACACGCCCAGTAGTGGAGGAAACAGAGAGCCAGGCGTCACAACAGAGAGTTTGTATCACACAGCAGCGAAGCGAAAGTGCAAGAGAGAAAGAGTGAGGGTGAAGAGGGGGCGCAGGACGGCTTACTGAGCGAAGACAGCCTGGAAGAGAGGCCATAGTTGTTGAAAGGCGTCTGCTAAAGGCTGGTTCTGACTGACGTATCTGCAGAGAGGAAGGCAGGGGAGGGGAGGGGTGGTGGGGTGAAGAGAGTGGAGCGGATTGCGTCAGAAGAAGAGAGGAAGAGAGGAAGAGAGGATGAGAGGCAGTTCAGAGATTGCAAGTGGTGCTGAAGAAAGAGCAAGGCTGGCACAGTAGGAGAGGAGAGATGAGAAGAACAAGAGCACAGCATGGCAAGGGATGAGAAACAACCGTCCACACGAGCACCTTAAAACAATGACAGCGGCCGCAGTTGCGCTGACCTGAAAATGTTGGCGATTCTGTCTATATGCACCACATATTGCGCTGCTGGCATGGATGCGGGCCCTCCTGGTGCCTGCGCTGCTGCTGTCACCACTTGCTGCCAAACACAGAGAGCACAGAGCAGAGAGCAGAGCACAGAAAAGGAATGGAGTTTAGAGAAAGGATGGAGCACACGTGGCGATCGGGGTGTGGCATGACGAAACGACGGACTCGCCCCTCACAGACGTCCCTCCCTCCTACATACTGGATTGGTCAAACAGAAACACGTGCCAGGGAGAGGCAGGGAACGAGAAGCATCCCACCACACACAAGACACTCTGTCTATGATGAGGGGCACCACACACACACACACACACACACACACACACACACACACCTGAAGTGCTGCAGTGAGAGGCTGCAACAGCGCGGAGACTGCCTTGGGGCACTGGTCTGGTGGTAGCACACTCACCACCACACTGCGAGATGTATGTGTGTGGTTGTGGGAGATTGGAGGGTGAAAAACAATGTTACGATGGTGTGGACAAAGAGGTAGTGAGAAGGAAGGAACAAGGAAATGGGATGAGAGTGGAGGGCATTGGGATGGTTACAGTGCAGCTAGGACATCCGGGAGAACGAGGGCATGGAGGGGATACAAGCGTGAGAGACAAAGGGAGATATATTGCAGAGAGGATCAGAGGCAGAGAGGTGGAGAAGCAGGGAGGCAGGGAGGCAGGGAGGCAGAGAGACAGAGAGCAAGTTGGCTCTTGAGAACTCTCAAAGCACAATCTGCATTTCATCTTTTGGCTGCAGTGCAGTGCAGTGCAAGAGCAAGAGCAAGTTGAGTCTTGCGAACTCTCAGACCGTGCGAACCTGAGTGGCAGAGAAGCAGAGAGGCACCGATGCAGATAGAGCATGCGTACCTGAGTGCTGCCACGATCTGTAGCTCGTCCTCTGGCTGCAGTACAAGAGCACAATGGCTTCCGAGGACTCTCATAAAAGTTGGTTAATGAGAAGCTTCAGAGCACGCGTACCTGAATGCTTCCACGATCTGCAGTTCATCTTCTGGCCGCCGCATGTATCTGGTGTCGGGTGCAAGCGCTGCATCCGACACCATCACTCGGTTGTACAGCTGCAGCAGCGGGTCGATCGATCGACGACAGCAGGTGCTGCCTTTGAGAATTCTCAAAAGCGACTCAGATAGAGCACGCGTACCTGAGTGCTTCCACGATCTGGAGCTCGTCCTCTGGCTGCAGAGCCAGAGCAGCATCCGACACCATTACTCGGTTGTACAGCTGTAGCAGCGGATCAATCGATGACAGCAGGTGCTGCCGTGACGCTGCGACGAAGCAAGAAAGAGACAAGGGCGTCAGGTAATAGAAGAGTTCAGTGGGGTCAGAGGGGGGAGAACGTGGACGACAGTAGAGAAGATAAAATCCATGCAATCAACGGGGTCAATCCAGTCCGCAAGCCCAGAAGCGGCGGAACGACACCCACCATCGCAGATGTGTTTCAGTGCGAGGGCTGCAGCGGGAGCAGCATCCTCGCCAGCTCCCAGCGCGTTGGTGAGGAGAGTGAGCAGTGGGGGCAGCATCGAGGGCGCGTTGGGCGCAGCTGCTATCCAGTCACAGTAGGCCGCTATGGTCAGCGACGCTGCAGTCGAGAGAGGGGGGTTTGGGGGGAAGGGGGGTTGGGAGGAGATAGGGAGCAGTTGAAATGGAGGGCGCGTTGGGCGCAGCTGCTATCCAGTCACAGTATTCCGCTATGGTCAGAGACGCTGGAGAGATGTTAGGAGGAATTTGATGGGTTGAGAGGCGGTGAGAGGGGGTCAGAGACGGTGAGAGGAGATGGCAGGAAATGAGAGGGGGTGGAAGGGGATGGCAGGAAATTGCACGAAAAGCGGATGTCGTGCGTTGAAAAACGATGGCATGACACTTAAACTAAATGGAGGGCTAGTTGCTGTGCCCATGGCATGGGGCAGGCATTACAAGCATGGATGTGAATACGGATGTTAAACGGGTGGCACGCGCATCGGACAAGTGACAAGCATGCTTACCAGTGTACAATAACTGAGGCTGAGGGGGCAGCATGGGTAGCAGTGCCATGAGCTGCCAGGCACAGTGGGCAGTGGGGATGAGAGCACATGGCAGGGGGCGCAGGCAGGGAGAAGCTTATCTTTGAGGAGCCACTATCGACCAAACAAATGAGCTGCCAGGCACAGTGGGCAGTGGGCACAATGAGCCCCCTCCAGAGTCAACACAAGCAGAAGAGCTGTGAGGAGGGAGGAGCGGAACTAGGGCGAAGTGGACCTAGGGAGGGGCGCACTTGGGTAGGGGCGGACTTGGGGAGGGGCGGACTTGGGGAGGGGCGGACTTGGGGAGGGGCGGACCTGGGGAGGGGCACACCTGGGGAGGGGCGCACCTGGGGAGGGGCGCACCTGGGGGGGGACGCACCTGGGAGGGGGGGGAAGGGGACCTGGGGGGGCCGCACCTGGGGGGGGGGCGGACCTGGGGGGGAGCGCACCTGGGGGGGGGGGGGCGCGGACCTGGGGGGACGCGCACCTGGGGCAAGATGGTTTGCTCGCGCAGCAGGTGCGAGCCCGCAATGGCTCGGATGCAGTACAGTGATGCCTCCAAGGCCCTCCAGTCGTACTCCTGCCCCCGTGCTGCTCCCTCTGCTATCTGATGCCCCTCACAATGCACCCGCCCATGCCCATACCCATGCCCATGCCCATGTCCATGCCCATGCCCATACCCATGCCCATGCCCATACCCATGCCCATGCCCATGCCCATACCCATGCCCATGCCCATGTCCATGCCCATGCCCATACCCATGCCCATGCCCATGTTACGGCAACGCACAAAAAGGGAAAAGAAGAGGGCTTGAGGTAAAGAAAGTCATGGGCATGGACTGAGCCAGGAGCTATAGCTTACCAGCTATGGAACTGTGCTGGACTGAGCTGGAACTACCACCACACACTAAACACTCGGAAACAACAGAAGATAGAGTAAGAACACAAGAGAATAAGTACATGAGCTGCTGAGGGGGCACCTGGAAGAGAGGTTGAGCAAGCAGCTGTAGCAATCTCTCTCCACCCAGCACGTACAGAACATCTGTCAACACATCAGCCACAGCTGCAGGGGTAATGCAGGAGAGAAGGGGCAAACGGGAGAGAGAGGTGAAAACGAGAGTTTTTGGAACTGCACGTTTGGATGTGGAATATGCAAATCCAGTGTTGAGTTGCACAGCACAAATTTGAGGCACTGCACAGTGTTGCACTGAATTGCACCACACCGCACCGCACCGCACCGCACTGCACTGCACCGCACTGACCGTAGCGTGTTTGCTTGAAGTCTGCCTTCTCATCACTACGCCAGTTCTCGTGGCCAGGGGGGTACCGCACTCTGAAGCTCACCTGGAAAGTGGCGGGAGGGAGGATTGGACGAATGATGGATCATGGATGGATGAATGCATGAGGGGACAGATGTTGCTCTAAGGCGCCATGCACCACAGCAGGACAGAAGTACAGCAGGACAGCAGGACAGCAGGACAGCAGGACAGCAGGACAGCAGGACAGAAGTACAGCAGTTCAGCAGGACAGTGGCACAGCAATACGCACCAGGGATACAAGGAGTTCAAAGATGGGTTTGAAGAGCGCAAGCCGCCTCTCCCTTTCTGCATGCGCTGCTGCATCCGATGCCACGTTCTCCTCATGCCGCGGCCTGCAACGAGATGAAATCGGATCAGCGCAGAGGACAGACGACGGCGATGTTCAACGAGATGAGCATGGGAAAGAAGTATCATATAAAATATTGGTGAGGTACGTACCGCGTGGTGAGGTGAGAGCCGAGCGCATGCCAGAAGTTGAAAGTGGTGGATGCGATGTCAAAGTCTGGGTGCGAAGTCACTTGCACCAGCGCCTCTGCTATCATCATCGACTCAGGCGACCCTGATGTTTGTGGAGCCAAGGCCACCCCACAAACAGCACACGCACGAACACACACACTCACACACACATAGCACACAGATGCCAAGGCAGAGGAGAGGAGGGTGTAGGAATTGCGAAAAAAAAAAAAAAAAAAAAAAAAAAAAAAAAAAAAAAAACGGAGGACGCCTGTCAGGCAAAGAATCTGCATGAAGCCAGCACAGGAGAAAACACAGGCCACTTCCCCAGCAACAGCAAGTGGCACCTGCATATCCGACCATATTTGCATCCATCCCCCCTTTCCTTAAACCCATCTCTAATCAACCCAGCAGCAGCTGTACCTTGAGCAATAAGCCCAGAAAGCCCTGAACCCCGGTGCTGGCAGAATCCGCAACCTATCCCGCCTGCCTGCTGCGTTCTGCCAAGACTCTCTCAGTCAATGATGGGAATAAGCTGTGCTCTCACCGCTCGCAATTGGCTGTACTGCCACCGCCACCACTCCCAATGCCTCTCTCACCACTCGCAATGCCTCTCTCACCACTCGCAATGCCTCTCTCACCACTCGCAATGCCTCTCTCACCACTGGTAATGCCTTTTTCACCGCTGGCAATGCCTCTCTCACCACTAGCAACAGCTAACTACCCATTCGAGAGTATCCTCTCTCTCACTGCTGGCAATGAGGTCCACATACGTCTCGCCAATCTCTGCAAACAGTCGTGCCGCGCCTTGAAAGGGGCCTCCAAACCATATTCTAGAAAAGTCACTCTCAATAGCTCCCTCTCTCACCGCTGAGTTGACTTTTGCGTCGACTCAAAAGTCACTCTCAATAGCTCCCTCTCTCACCGCTGGCAATCAGGTCCACATATGCCTCGCCGATTTCTGCAAACAGTCGCGCCATGGCCTTCATCGTGTCCTCGTCCTGGGGGATGGAGCATGCACAAACGGGAGGGAGAAGCACAAAGGCGTGAGTGTGTGGCACTTTGAGTTGAGAGCACTTGTTGCCGCTCGACTCGCATTACCTCTGCTAAGCATCTCTACCCAGCCCAGCCCAACCCAGCCCAGCCCAGCCCAATCCCTTCCTTGCTTCTGGCCTCAGCACTGCCCAGCCCCACCCCTCCTCCTCACCACCTCTGGCTCCGCGTCTGTCTGCCCCTGCTGATGCGCCTGCACCACTTTGAGCACTCGTTGTCACTCTACTCGCGTTTCCTCTGCTAACGAAAAAAAAATTCCTTCTAGCCCCCGCCCAGCCCAGCCCAGCCCAGGGCCCCCCACTCACCTCCTCTGGCTCCGCGTCTGTCTGCCCCTGCTGATGCGCCTGCACCACTTTGAGCGCAGCAGAGAAGCGTGGCAGCAGCGCCATGATGCGCGGCACTATCAGCTGCACCAGCTGCATGTTCGCTGCCAATGCCGCCGGACCGCCAGAGACTGAGAAGCGGATCAGCTCACACACGGCTGGGGGGGTGGGGGAGCGGGGGCGGTGGGGGAAGTGAGAGAGCAGAGCAGTTTCAGCACACTAGAAAAGAATTACAAGGAAGAGAGGGAACTGTTCGGGAGGTGCCACGCATCTCAAAACAGTGTGCATACATGAATTGGACAACAATTCATTCTCACACAGACAATGAACTGGACAGCTGCTGAGGCACCCGGTGAGAGTGAATGCACTGCACACCTTTCAACTGGCCTACCTTCAACTGACGGCTCAAACATGTCTGCGGATTGCAAGCCCTCCAAGGCAACAGGAACGAGTGGATGCGCCATGAGAGTCGCAGCAGATAGACTGAGGCACGTGGGAGAGAGGTGGGGGTGCAGCGTTGGGGGGTGTGGAGCGGTGTGGAGGGGTTAGGTTCTGAGAAGGCTATTATGGACAGGAATTTTTATCGACCAGATTGAAGTGGTACTTGGTCTGCAGTTGAGTTAGAACAGCCTTTCACAGCTGCAAGAATGAATGACTGGGGCATTAGAGGGGAAGCGGCAGCTTGGTGGGTGACATGGGAACAGAGAGCGTTGGGAAAGCCAGTGGGGACGGCAAGGAGACTGCGAAAGCCAACGCGCCAAAGAGATTCGGATGCCAGGCAGGAGATTGGGTGAGGAAAGACAGGTGGATGACGAGGAAGTTGAAGAACAATACGCAAAGAGGAAAGTGAGGGCGCGAAGAAGGGTGTAGGCAGGACAGAACAGGGCAGGGAAGCACAGGGATGGGCTGAGAGGCAGGGGTGTGGTGGGAGGGTGCTTGAGCACACTAACCCGTTGCTGAAGCGCAGCCAGGCCGTGAACGCATGTAGTGCCTGGAGAGAGAAGCCATGCAGGGAAGTACAGGGAGCAATGTCCAGTAGGTGTTTGGGAGAAGGATGATGGACGGGAAAGGGGGGGACGAGGGTAAAGGGGTTTGGTGTTGACAGGGGTGGACAAAGGTGAGCGTTAGGAGTTGACACAGTGATATCAGTGACAAGTGAATGTGTGAATAAACGGGTGCTGTTACACGTATGTACATGCGTGCATATCAGTGCGTTGGAACGTGCACGTGAGTGGGGTTGGGTGAAAGGAGGGTGTGTGTGTGTGTGTGTGTGTGTGGTTGTAGGAGGAACATAGTGAGAGACAGGGAGAGAACGCACTGCCTCAGTAGTGGCGGGATCAGAGGGGTGCGCGGCATGGCAGGCAGCGAGGAGGGTGAGCACGTCCGGTGCACACGCCACCAGCTCTGCTGAGAACTGCCTCCTCCTCTCCGGCCGCACTGCCAGCTTGTGTGCTCCCACCTCCTGACAGAGGCGATGATAAGAAAGGAGGGCAAAGAGAGGAGGGAGAGGAGGGAGAGGAGGGAGAGCAGGGAGAGCAGGGAGAGGGGGGTGAGGACGTCCGGTGCACACGCCACCAGCTCTGCTGAGAACCGCCTCCTCCTCTCCGGCCGCACTGCCAGCTTGTGCCCTCCCACCTCCTGACAGAGGCGATGACGAGAGAGGACGGCAGGGAGAGGAGGGGAGAATCGAGGGTAGGGAGTGCAAGGAGAGGGGGGATGAGGGCTGACAGAATGAGGGCGTGATAAGGGGAGAACGGCAGAGACGAGCATTGGGAGGGATGGATGGAGGCAGTAGAAAGTGCGGATCTCAACTTTCCAGTCCCCCTACCACTTTCGCGAGTTCTCAGAGTGACCCCTGTCTCCGTCCACCTCTCCCTACTCTTGCCCACCTGTACAACCACAGTCAGTAGTTCCACCAAGGCAGGGGCAAATTCAGGCTATTCCGCTGGCTTTCTATTTCACCCTATAATCAATCAATCACCATTCTATCTGCCACCCCTCTCCCCCCTCCCCTTCCTCCCTCCTTTCTCTAACCTGCACGACTACAGTCAGTAGTTCCAGCAAAGCAGGAGCAGATTCCGGCTGTGCTGCCAGCTGCTGCCGCAGCCAGTACACCACGCCTCCTTCCCCCCACTCTCCTGCTGGCGTGTGCGCTGCTAGCGCCGCAATCGCCAGACACAGCTGGGGTTGTGGCCACGGGTTCGCGGGAGAAGGAGAGAGCAAGAGAGAGGATGTAGGGATGAGAAGAAATAATGGAGAGGAGCGGGTGTAGTAACATGGAACATTCTAAGCGAGGAAGGAGCAGGCATTGCAGGCGGCCGGTGCATGGGCCACCACACAGGGGGGTATAGTGCAGGCATGAATTGGCTCTCCAAAGGGTATAGAGCACCCAGCATGCATGCCCGTGTGCCCCTTTCTGTGCCTGTGTGTGCGGCTTTGGTGTGTGCGCGTTTCACCGTGTGTCAGAGCCAGTTCAAGGCATGGCAGGCGGCAACAGTACCTGAGTGCGCACTGCGGCTGGCCCGTTTCTGAACTTGGCTAGCAGCCCCTGTAGCAACGGAGGAGACGGGTAAGAGGGTTTATAGAGCGACTTCATATGTGTGGTGGTGAGCGAGAGAGTGGGGAGATGAAAGATGCTCAGCATACGTCGCCAAATGAGGGAGGCAAGCCGGGTGAACATTGGCTAGGGAGATGAGACGAGATGGTCGGGGACCAAACAAGAGGGACAGGTAATCGGCAGGGGGGAAACTGGGATGAGAAGAGCAAACAAGCAAGAATATTCTTAAGGTGCAGGGAAAGAGCGTACAAGGAGTGAGGCACGCAAGGAAGGCGTTGAACCTTGAGGGAGCTCCTCAAAGTCTCTTTGAACCTGACACATGGAAGCAGTGGGAAACAGATACACTACATTTGAGGCGCCTCAGAAGTCGTCTGTTCATCCAGGAAAGGGAAGCCAGCTAGGTGCTGACAGCTAGATGCTGATTTGTTCTAGACTAGTGTCTCAAGGAAGCTGGTGGGTGCCTTGAATCACCATCCCAATTTCAATAAAGGACTGCTTGAGAGAGAGTGAAATATCCTAGAGATATATCTTCCAGACTAACCTTGGTTCGCAGAGTCTGTGCGCAGAAGTATCTGACCTCCATGCTGCTGCTCTCATCGTGCAGCAGCCGGTCCGATATCTGCGCAGCGTTTGGCGCCAGGAGAGCGGAAAATGCAAGAAATGAGGAACGGAGAAAAAGGGAGGAAGGGGAAGGGGAGTAAGGACGAGGAGATGAGGGGGCAGGAGGTGTAATTCCGTTGCAAGAGAAACGGAGTGGCAAAACGGAAGGGTGCAAATTCGGTGCAACAGCTGCACTACAATGGTTGTGAGCGGCAGAATGTGAGAAAGGGAGAGAAAATCGGGAGCGCTCCCCTACTCCCCCCCCTTTCTCTCGCTGCCCCCCCCCCCCTCCCCTCCCCACTTATCAAGCCTCCATGCTCTGGTGAAACGAACCCACGGAACATTTGTAAGTATTACAGAAAATCGCCCCCACGCTCCCTCGCTGCCCTTAACCCCCTCACCTGCCACGCGTCCATGCTCTGCTGAAACGCCTCGAGCCATTTGCTGGCCTCTCGCCGCGTGGATCGGTCCGTCGTCTGGTATAGGGCCTCCAGCACCCGCAGCAGCGTCGCCGTCGTGTCGCCCGCCGCTTCCGGAGCCGCCATCTCTTAACGGATGCGACGGGAATGCGACGGAATGTGACGGAACGCGACGGAGAGCGACGGAAGCTGAGAAGGTGGCGTGTGGTGGTGATGCGACGAGCAGGGACGTCGGCGAGCGACGTGTAACCGACGAGATATGTGATATGCTTCCGAATAAAACTTTCCCTCCACCAAAAATACGGCAAACGGTGTCACTGCAACACTGCCTTTGAATGCTTGCGGATGTTCCTAACGCGATTGCTTGACTCGGCGGCTGCTGCTCTTGCCACTGGTGATGATACGGCTGCTACTTCTGCTGACAATGTTGGTGACAAGCCTGGTGTTTCCCTTGTTCTCTGACGCTTCTTGAGCCGAAAGGTGGGCTTGGGAACGCGTCTCGGCTCTAAGAACGCCTGATTCCGGGATTATTGAATACCTTTGGCCAACACGTGACCAAATTGCTGATAAAGGTTGGCTAAAACAATGGATTCAAATCGGACTCCTACCAGGCAGACTGTAAGAAGCTTGTTATATTGGAAAAGGTAAAAGATGAACTACGGAAATGATTCTCTCGGGGAACGTCAAGAATGAAAAGGGTTTCAGCACCAGAGGGTTCAAATGGTACAGTGATCGAAACTGATGCAAACGGCAAGAGAGGAATGGCTCTCAGACCGGCAAAAGGAGTGGCTAACGAAGCCGCCGGCTACGTAACTCTTGGAGCGCAATGACAGCGAATCTAAGTTCTGAAGTTCCTCAGCAAGGTGTGTAAATCTACGGTCGTAATCAGCAACTGGTATATTGGCCGTCAAATTCAATCACCAGGCTTTGCAACGAGCCTGCATCAAACTGGCTTGTGGAAGCGTGAGCTTCAGAGGCAGATCAGGAGGATCTGTCTCGATGGGACGAATTCCAAAACACACGACGCGCTACGTCTCTTGGAAACAGCTAAGCCCTCATGTGGCATGTTGCCGTGTCGTTGCTCAACGACATTCTGGACCATAGAGCGGAAGCTGGGACCTGGATACTGGCTGGGCATTGATCAGATAGCACTGCTGAGAAGGCGGGAGATGAGGTGAGATGGGATGAGATGAGCGGCCAGAAACAGTTCCGGCATGCTGATCATGTGGGACGACAAAAAGCCACGCAATATCCGAAGGTTCGAATGCTGATGATCTCTAGGAACAGTTTCGAAATAAATGAGCTTCAGATTGCGACCGTCCAGTTATGGAAGAGGGAAGAGTTCTGATTGTGGGAACGAAGTGGAGCTACATTCATAGCGCGGATTCGGAATGGGTGTCAGAGGCGGTTGCTGTCAGTCGACTCAGGGCGCGAACACCATTTTTGGCGGGTGCTGTCTAACCTCTGTTATGGACATGGCATTCGACTGGATAAAGTCATGCATTTGTGCAGTCTCCCCTCAACAACGTGGATTAGCGTGTCACCTCCAGGTTCGAACAGGCCTATCGTTCGAACAGGCGAAATGTTACATGCTTCGCCATGACTCGTAAGCACCCTAACGACGTGTCGCGTATGATCGCAAGAGAGGTTGCAATCTTAAGCGACGTGGAATGGCGGTGTAGCAAGACAGAACCCAGTACCGAAACAGAGTGTATAGCAGGGATATGTTTGGGGTTGGAGAGCCAGCTGGAAGTACCGAGTGGGAGGGAGGCGAAGGTAGCAACTGCTCATGCAGGCAGACCGCGAGTACAGTGATGGGTGAGGGTGACAAGGGTTTCACACAAGCCGAGGGAAGTGGACAGCTGCTGTGGTTGTATGCGGCTGTGATTCATTCTTGTACATAGGGTGGGCTAAGACGTACGAATGAGATTGATTGCATGTCGGATGTAGGCTGTTTGCGTGTGGATGTGTGCAGGAGCAGGGTCACGACCAAGCGTCGAAACAGGTGTAGGATGAGCTAGCCGATACCAAACCTGTACATAGCTAGCTAGCTTCAATCACTAAACCGCTTCTTTGTATGTTTTCTCGCTATACTGGAGTGGTGTGCGCGTTCTTGTCGATCGCTGAGCTAGCCAGTGAGAGAAGACTGCCGATGGGTTAGTGGCTTGCAAGTGGCTAGAAGGGATGGATATGCGGAAGCAGTAAGGGTGGAGTACACGGCCGTGTGAGCAGGAATCCCCGGAAGGGCAGAGGGAGGAAACAGGAGGGAGAGTGAGTGTGCGGGAGAAGAAGGGGCGGGAGTCTAGGAGCGGCAGAAAGAGGGGGAAGAGGCCTATGGCATCCGACACGTCGCTAACCAGAAGTTTCGCCAATTCGAACAGCGCTGTCACATCGGTCATGCTGCCAAATGTGTTGCACGTTCGAACAGCGCTGTTCGAACACTGAATGACAGGCGCCCCTCTCTCAGCACGGACGACACCTCTGATTGGACAGCACCCCGCATAGTCGCTAGCAAAATCGCTTCTCACAAGAAACTGTCGCAGTGCATCGGAAAGGGCAGTGTAGCTGGGAAACAACGGCCATTATCTCCGATACTCAGATTTTGCCTGAGCGCCAGGGCTGACTATTCAAAAAAATCCAGTCTGATGTTCTGGGGGCTCTGAAAATATTTAGTCTGAGGCATATTTCCCAGAGAATGGCCACTCTGATTTTTCAGGTTCCGCAAAAACACAAGTCTGAAGTACTCAGAACACACTACAACCACTGCAGTACAGTACTGCCACAAATGTAGCACGTGGGGCACAACGCTAACCAGTTTCCCTCGCTGACACCGCGTAGCTGCAGTGATGGTCCCGCGTGAGTGGAAGAGTGAGCCAAGTTGGCAGATTTCTAAGGGAAAAGGGTGGCAAAAGTTGCCAAGGACAGATTCTGCGCGTGACAGCGCCATGAAGTGTGTTCGTACACTGGCAACATATGACGTAGCGGAATGTACGTAGAAATCACAGATCCGCATTTCAGGATCCGTACTCCCTGTAGTATGAAGACCCATTATCGGCTAAGTCAGTACTCTGAAAATCTCGGGATCCAAAACCAAGTAAGTCTGAGGCACTCATGTTTGAAAATCTTACAAGTCTGAAAAATCAGGATCCGTAGGAAAATACCCTGAGATTTCAGACAATCATACTATTTTAGTCTGACAAAGTCAGCCCTGCTGAGCGCGTTCTCAGGTGTAATCAACCTGGACTTTCTCAACGTTGATTGGTCGTCGCTTCATAGTCACATTTCTCACGCTGGTCGAACTCATTAGGAAGTGACAAAAACAAAACCATCCAGTTTACCCTCCCGACTTGGATAAAAGTACGGAAATTTAGGTAGTAAGAGAATGAAGCCCATATAATTCACTTGGTAGTGCTCGGTAGCGCAACCGACCGCTAAAGAACGCTACCGAAAGCACTAGACGACGCTACCGAGAACTATTCGGGCATGGCAGAAAACAATAAAACCCCTAGGGAAACTGGATGCATTTTCGAGAGGGGTCAACCCTAAACACGGGAATGGGCATTGTTTTTAGGGTTGATGCCTCCCGAGTCGCATCCCTTTCCGATTGGGTTTTAATTTTTTTGTCAAGTGGGTTGCAATATGTTTTCCAAAATATTGGGCGACTTTTGGTATTTAGAGGGTTGATCCTTCCCGGAAATCATCTAGGTTCGCTACGGGGGTTTTTTTTTTTCCAGCGCTGGAATTATTTATTTTGAGTGACTGTATACAAACATGAGCCATAAAGGCTCCCTACTATATCGCGAAACCGTGATTCTGTTGGTGATTACACCTGAGAACGCGCTCAGGCAAAATTTGAGTATCGGAGATAATGGCCGGGGAAACAACTAGATGAGCAGCAGTAGAGGAGTACGAGGAGACATTGTGACTGGATGGGCGAAAAATGGGTCGAACTGGAATGGCAGGCGACTAAAAGTTGTTCTTGCGACGCTTGGCGACGTCGTCCTTTTACAGGCGACGTCGCATGTTCGAACAGGCTGCGTGTTGGAAAAGAGAGGGTGTCACCTCTGGTGACGAGCTGTCACATTTATTAGGGTGTTCAAATTTGTGTTCTGACACTGTTCGTACAGGTGACACGCGCTTAACATTCTACATAAAACTGTATTGCGAGATTTAGAAACCTTTCACAGAGCATTGGTGCATGCCGAATGTTGGGGCAAAAAGGATCCAACTAAGACTCTTGGCCCACCATTCATCAGATCTTGCGTGTATGCAAAAGGTTACTAATTGCACATGTAGCCACCCATTTCACCCACGTTTTGGATAAAACACCTGACAAGGTACAGTAAATTCCCACTGTATCCCATGCTTACTTTCTACAGCAGTCAGAAACCTTTCAGGTCTAATTCGTCCCCTTAGCGCTGCCAGCAGCAGCAGGAGCAGGAGCAATAGCAGCAGACGTTGCTCCACTGCCCGTTTTCCCCTGCTCTCTCTCTTCCGCACTATCATCCTCATCCAACTCCGGCAGAGGCGACAGCGGCTGAGAGGCCCCACCCCCATGCTCCTGCTGCTGCTGCTGCTGCTGCTGCTGCTCCTGCCCGCCCAGCAAAGCCCCTGTGATGCTATCATCTTCACTAGAATCTACCCCTCCCCTGGCACCACCAGCACTCCCAGCGAGCCCACGCCGAGTTTCACTAGCCGTTTCCCCAAGGGGGAAGTGCGAGGGGAGGGAGTCGGTCGTGCTGAGGCGCTCAAAGGCTAGCGCAGCAGTGCGACGCAGGCGGGTGGTGTAGAGGAGATAGAGGCCGCCCGCGAGGAGGAGCAGCGAGTAGACGAAGACAGTGACAAAGAGACCGCTCCAGAAGTCTGTCTCCTGGATCATCTGGGGTAGGCGGCCTGGTGGGGTTGGGGGAGAGAGAGGGGGGACCCAGGGGTGGGCGGATTTAGGAGGGGGCGGAACCAGGGAAGTGCGAGGCGGAGAGAGTCGATCGTGCTGACGGTATCTAAGGCAAGAGCAGCAGTGCGGTGCAGGCGGGTGGTGTAGAGGAGATAGAGGCCGCCCGCGAGGAGGAGCAGCGAGTAGACGAAGACAGTGACAAAGAGACCGCTCCAGAAGTCTGTCTCTTGGATCATCTGGGGTAGGCGGCCTGGTGGGGGTGGGGGAGAGAGAGGGGGGGGGGTGTACCAGAAGAAGGTGGATTTAGGAGAGGGCGGCCCCACCACAGGAGGGCGGATTCAGGAAAAGGTGGAACAGGAGACGAAATCCATAACGAATAATAAACGAGGGGGTGGTGGGGGCTGTGAGGAAATGGAAAGGGGTGTTAGGGTGAAGGTGGTTAGACGGGAAGTGGGAACAACAGGTGGAACTGAAAACGTGCAACCTGTTGCTGACCTGTGAAGGTGAGTGGGTTAGGCGTGATGGGGTTGTGGAAATCAATCCATGCAAATGCGAAGTCTGCAGCACCGGGAGGTGGGAAGGGTGGGCAAGACAAGACGAGGCAGAGTTGAAAATTCTGAGATGCGGAGGAAAGCAACAAGGCTCCAGAGAAAAATAAATAGGCCGAGCTTGAGAGAAAGTAAGTACAAGAGAAGTGTGGGAGAAGGAACGGCCGTGGGGAAGCCAGTACTAGAGGGATGCAAGAAAAGGCCAACAAGTAGTTGAGGGATGCAACACCAGTGCAGGCAGAGTTCGGTCACCAAGTAGTTGTTACCAGTACGGAAACGATCAGTATTCTGGTCATCAGCACGTCATGTTTTCCCATACCTGTGTCCACAAGGTAGAATAACTCCTCGCCGTTGCCTCCCTTGCGCATGCTCCGCGCCTCCACATAGATGGATCCGTTAGCAGCAATGTCGTAGGAGAGGAAGGCGTGCTGTGCGTGCTCGTGTTTGGCTGTGTCGTGGCTCATCACCTGCAGCAGCAGCGCTCCGTCCCTGCATGGATGGAGGACAGACGGGGAGGAGAGGAGAGGAGGGAGTGGCGCGGCGAAGAAAAGCGAGGAGGAATGCGGCGAGGGAGCAGACGAGACGTGCAGCATTCCATCAAGTTACCTGCACAGGTTCCGCTATGTGTAAGAAGTGCCTAAATTTTGATGTGCCGATAGCTTGATGTGCAAAGTGCCACGGTGTGTGTGTGTGCAAGAGGCTTGGCAAGGATGCGGGTGGTAATTGGATACATCATGGTTCGGCATTGGCAGGAACGGCCCTGAAAACGGAAGGTGACTGGCAGGCTGGTTTGGATTGAAGAAGAGATAAGGGGTGAAATGAGGCGAGAAGAGGAGAGACGAGGGGATGAGAGACGAGGATAAACGAGTAGAAGAGGGAGAAGAGAAGAGAAGACGAGACAAGACGAGGCCATGCTCTCACTTGTGTGTGATGGGCTCTGCTTCGGCATAGTGCCGCCCCATGGGCACCACATGCAGCTCGTATCGCCCCGGGCCTAACCTCCAGCTTCGGAACTGTCCCGCGCCTATGATTGGTGTGCCGGACCTGCCCTCTATGTGGGCTCCGATTAGGCTGGGCAGGAACAATGGAGGGGCAAAACGCAAGGCGAGGAGGGGGAGGAGGAAAGAGAATGGCATGAGAATGGGTTTGAGCTGATGGGTGGTAACCATGGAAAAGCATGAACCCGTCGTTAACAAGCATGCAAACAAACATGCAACCATGCAAAGAATTTGGACGGAACAATGTTTGAGTCGACATTCAGAACAATACTCCTCTCAACACACACCCCGGCAGCATTGTACGGGATGTAGACGAGCGCTAAGGACTTTTGAGGAGCCTCAGATACTTTCAGCAATAACCCCCCCACCCTCCACCCCCCCTCTCAACACGCACCCAGCAGCATTGTAAGGGATGTAGACGAACGCAAAGGAGGCCTGAGAAGGCGGCGCTAGATCATCTGCACTGTCTGTGCTGTCCTTGCGCACCTGCACCCACCACGCGCCACTGGCAGACAGGAGAGCACGCGGGAGGAGAAGAGGGGAAGAAGGGCGAGAGTGGTGTATGTGCTCATAAAATTTGGCTCATAGAGTAGTGGAAAACGTTACACAAAGACTCATTTTGAGGCGCCAAAAAAAAAACAAACAAACAAATAATCTCAGAAGTCTCGTGTAAAAAAACATCGATAACAGGCTCACTCGGAGGTGGGATAAGTGCTCATGATGTTGAGGTCATTGTTCTCCGGGCCGGAATAGGAGCTGCACGGATAGGGGAGACATAACAAGGGCGGGAGCAGCAGGTGTTTGAGTCAATTCAGATATCGACTCGACTCTGAGGAGGGATAAGTGCTCATAATGTTGAGGTCATTGTTCTCCGGGCCGGAATAGGAGCTGCACGGACAGGGGAGACATAACAAGGGCGGGAGCAGCAGGTGTTTGAGTCAATTCAGTCATCGACTCGACTCTGAGGAGGGATAAGTGCTCATAATGTTGAGGTCATTGTTCTCCGGGCCGGAATAGGAGCTGCACGGACAGGAAAGACATAACAAGGGCGGGAGCAGCAGGTGTTTGAGTCAATTCAGATATCGACTCTGAGGAGGGACACGTGCTCATTTTGTTGATGTCATTGTTCTCCGGGCCGGAATAGGAGCTGCATCAGGGAGAACATGGCAGGGCAGGAGCAGTGGGAGGAGGCAAGCGGAGACTTGTCAGCAGCGGGAACAGGGATGGGCGACACAGACAGAGGGAAGCATGCGCGGGGGACAAAAAGGAGGAAGGGGCTGTGTCACTCATTTGAGCAGGAAGAGCATCCCTTGGGATGGATGCGCGTGTGGCAGGGAAATCAGAGAGAGTGGCGCCCATGCGCTGTGCTGCCATGACATGACGGACTGCCTGCACCACTCACTTGAGCAGGAAGAGCATCCTCTGCGATGGATGCGCGTGTGGCAGGCTCGACAGGCCCCCACCCACACTTGATTGAAGCACAGAGGAGGGAAGGCCAGTCTGAACGCCACTCACTTGAGCAGGAAGAGCATCCCCTGGGATGGATGCGCGTGTGGCAGGCGCAGAGTGGCGCCCATGTGCTGCCATGACAGCACCTCGTTGGCATCAGCAGGCAGGGCGGAGGAGAAAGAACCCCAGCTGGTCCAGGAGGAGCGAGACGAAGGCCGGTACGCTGGTGGGTCTGGTGCGTTCAGGTACCCGCCGATCCAGCCTGGAGGAGGGATCGGATGGCGGGTGGCGAGTGGCGGGCGGCGGGTGGCGGGCAACGGGTGGCAGGTGGGGAACCTCGCCTATCTTAGAGAGCAGAGCGAGCAGCAAGAGGGGGAAGACCCCCAGAAATTAGGTGACGATAGAACAGAGACAACTTAGAAGATGAAAGAACCAAAGAACCAGTGCAAGCAGAGGCACCGACCTTGATAGTAGGGGAACCATGCAATAGCCACGTCGATACTTCCCTCCTCCTCTGCTCCCGCTTGCCCAACTGTGACTGCACTTGACAATGGGAGGCAGAGAGGCGGATGAGAGGGCACAAGGGGGCAGCAAACGAGGAGGGAGTGAGAGAGGAGATCCTGTATCCAGAGATAAGGAGATGGAAGGAGATTGAAGGGGCAAGGCATTGATAGGAAAAGGAGATGTGGGGACGGGAAGTAACGGGTAGAGAGGGAGAGAGGAGGTTATCATGGATAGCACCGCATGTTTGTACCCCTGCTGAATTAATACAAAGGACCGTTTGAGAGGAGGGATGGCATGGGATGAGTCTTGTGACGAGAGGGTGTGGTGGGTTGAGGTGATGGGAGGGAAAGGGTGAGCGTCAGACGGACATGTAAGAGGATAGCATGTGAGAGCATGGGATGGAATAGGATAGCAGAGAGAGAATGGGATGTGAGAGGATGGCATGTGAGAGCAGGGTATGTGATGTGATGTGAGAGAGCATGGGTGTTCAGATGAGTACTCACTGTCGAGATTGGGCTCCTTGTTTGTGAACGTCCCATCATCCATGCTGCACGCATGGTTAAATGTGGAGGAGGTGGGGAGGACATGGGTGGAGATGGGGCGGAGATGGGGTAAAGATGGGGCGGAGATTGAAAGGGCAAGGCTTCGAAATTTGAAACGGCACCGCAATGACGGGAAAGGGCAACGTGCAAAGGGGAAGTAACGTACTTGTAACCATAGGCCCTTGATGACGTGGCACATGCCTGTCGACGCCAGCACATGGAAGCACAGGGGCAGCACAGGGACAGCATCGCAGAAGCACAGAAAATAAGTCGTTAAGCTGGGCTAGTGGGTCATGCAATGTTTGAGTCGAGTTATTATTTTATTAAAAAAGAAGGCATGAGATTACTGTATGTCATGACAGAGTGGTGGTGTGTGCGCATGGTGGCCCAAGCTTGTATCGTAACTCACCGCACCTCCTCCCATCATCACGGTTGCGCAACTCAGCGCACATCTCACCATAGAGGTATAACACACAGCCCATCTCCACCCAATGGCACAGCACAGCCCATCTCCACCCAATGGCACAGCACAGCCCATCTCTCTCACCACTGTGCCGTAGAACACTGGCTTAGACCTGTTCCACTGCTGCCCGTTCAGTGCCGCACTCGCAGCGCCACACTCACAGCCCAGCCCATGTCACCACCGTTCCACAGTGCACCACAATCGCACAGCGCAGCCTACATGTCATCTAATCTCACCACGGTGCCATAGAATACGGGCTTGGATCGGTTCCACTGCTGCCCATTCAGCGCCACACTCGCCATCATCACGCCCATGTTGATGCTCGGACTCCACGCCTGCACCGCACCAGGGGCGGCAAGGGAGGAGGGGGGCGGCAGCAGGAACAGGAGCAGCAGGAGTAGCAGGAGCGGCAACAGGAGGAGCAGGAGCAGCAGCAGGACAGGAGCAGGAACTTTAGGGGCAAGCTTCACATCAAGATGGGAGATGTTGGCGACAACACCATTCATTCTTGCAACATCCTCCTAACCTCCCCTCAACATCTCCACAGCAGGCAACCCCTCTCAGCCACTCATACCTCTCTTCCCCTGGCCCGCCTCCCCACCACCCGCCTGGTCCTTCCCTCGTCTAACCTCCCTCCGTTCGTCCCTTTCCAATTACCCAGTCGCCCACCCAATCTACTCCCCACCCTCCACCATCCCCCCTTCCCTCCCCCATCCCTTCCCCCTTTCCCCCACCCACCTGCACGGCAGCATTCTCCGGGTCATCCGTATCAAACCCGCGCATCTCCATCAGAATCGCCAGGTTCGGCTGCGAGTACGGCCGCCTCGGCCCGAGCCTCGGCGACAGGTCCCCCGGGTTCCACCGAGCCACGCTGAAAGGCACGGGGCCCTGGCCCTTGATATCAACGGCTAGGAGGTTGCTATTGGTGGTAGAGCCGTCTGACAGGTGGTGTGATGCGTCCATCTGTATTACTGCGCCCGTGACTGACGACGCGGTGTATGGCGGCGGGACGGCGGCATGGGGAGCGTCGCGGGGGGGTTGTGGCGTGGGGGTGGACCACTTGCGGGGGACTGGGGGGCGGGGGAAGAGGGGGAAGAAAGAGGGGGAGACACGGGGAAGAAAAAAGAGCGGGATGAGGAGGGAAGCGGGGAGAGGGGAGGTGTGGTTAGGGAAAAGAACGGCAGCGAGGATTGAAGGAGGCAAGGATGAACTGGGAACGCGCTGGCAGACTTTTGAGGCGCCTCAGAATCCGCGAGAACTGAGACAACTTCTGAGGCGCCTCAAAGAACGGCAGCGAGGATCGACGGAGGCAAGGGAAAACTGGGAACGCGCTGGCCGTTGGGGAAACACGGGGGGGTTGGGGAAAGAGGGGCCTTGAAGAGTCGGAGACCGTTTGAAAAGTCGCGTTCTAGCTCTCTCTCTCTCCACGCTCAGCGTACCTGAATCAGCGTCGACCCCTCTTGAGAGGCATGTCAGAGATACTAGCGCCAACGCTGTCGTTACCGATGCTAGCACTGATATAGGCCACCCCATTTCCGTCACGCATGCAGATTCCGCGGTGCGCTGAACTAGAGATTGTTTGTTTGTTTTTTTTTCTTCCTAGGCGCCTTGGAGAGGAAAATCCGCGCTGCGCTAGAAGCGGCCTCGAGAAGGGAAACTTAACGTGGGTCCGCAGGAAAATGCTCCTAAGCGCTGAACCTTCTAATCCCTCGTTCTTGAAATTGATCAGAAGCAGGTGGTGTCGTCAAGGCTGAGGACGAATGTGGAGGATGGAGAGGACATGTGTCTGCACGTAATCAGCAAAGATAATAAACGAAGAAGTTGCCGTCACATGGGAATACTAGGCATGACGGTAGACGACGGAAAACGTTCTTTCATCTAAGCAAGCGGCATGGTCCGTGCACTTTTACGGTATGTTGATGCGAAACAACTAAGAGTCAGTGCAGTGCTTGCGAGTCGCAACTAGCACACTACCGTACCATCCGCAATCTAGGGTGCTGTTGTTTTGAAGTTCCAGGATGTGAGCAAGGATGCGTTCACGTTTAAAGCCGCGGTGCAGATATCTTAGGAACAGTGACAAACAGTTTTTTGTCTTGTTCCTTCCTGGTCGCCAATTGGCTAGCGAGAGAGTAGATTGTGTTGCGATGAAGAGAAAAAGGAAACAACTGATGCGAACGTCGCCAACCTCGAAAGTGAGGGGGAAGGGGAAGGGGTGGGGGGAGGGAAGGGGGGAACACACACGACAACGCGAAATTCGAAACCCATGAGTATGCCGTCACCTCTACATTGCATAACGAAAGAGTTTGTATTTAAAATAAGCTGAGTACCACACAAATATCATATTCTGCGACTCAAAGGCACATTTGAGGATTTCAGAACGATCAAAGTTTGGGGTGGTTGTTTCCCTTTTCTTTTTGGGTGCAACGAATGTACACATGGCAGGCAAACATGAGTGTCTTTAAATCCTACATGGCATCTCCAAGATGAGCCAGACTTCACACCCCTCTGATCCATTATTGATGCAGCTGTCCACCGATAGCAGGGGGGGAGGGGGGTAGGGAAGGACACCAGCCGAAGAAGTGAAAAATGTTTGATGGGGAAATTGAATGGAGGGTTGGCAGAAACAGTGGGGTGCACGACGACACAAAGTGATGGGGTGGGTGAAGGGAAGTAGTTGGGTGGGTGAAGGGAAGCAGCGGGGTGGGTGAAGGGAAGCAGTGGAGTTGGGAGCGGTGGAGCAGAGGGTTGGATGTCGTTACGCCTGCCACCGTGGGGTCATAGTGGAAAGGGAAGGGTCGGATGAGGGGAATGGGGAGGGACAGGAGAGGGGGGAAAGGGATGGCCGGGAGAGGGGTGAATGGTGGGACTGAATAGGGGGAAAGGGAAGGGATGGGAGAAAGGGAAAGGAAGGGTTTAGGAATCGGGGGATGCCTTGAAAGGACAAGGGTAGGGTAAAGGGTGGATGGTGGGGGAAGGAGGGACGGACACCGATGGAAGGAGGGACGGGGACGGGGGGAAGGTTTGAATGGTAACGGGGGAAAGGAGGGACGGCGGGAGTGGGGGAGAGGAGGATTGGTGGTGGAGAGACAGTGAGAGCGAGCCGCTTGCTACCGTCGCGCCTTTGCTGCCTGCAGGGAAGGGCAAGACGCCAAGGGACCGACGGACAAGGGGAGTTCGGGAATGGGGAGGCGTGAAACTGAAGGTGTGGCATAGGAGGATGTGCCATGGGGGATGGTGGCAGGGGGGAATGCCCTGGAACAAACAAGGGGGAAAACGACGGATGGGAGTGCGAAAAAGCGAGGGTTGGGTGAGGGGACAAGGGGACGAATGGGTGCAGGGGGGAGCAGCGGGGGGGGGGGGGCTGAATAGTGAATAGTGCTTTGGGTCAATCTCTCACGCTTGAACTAGGACAGGAATGGGATAGGACAGGGGAAGGAGAAAGCGACAGGGGGAATGGGATAGGACAGGGGAGGGACAGGAGAGGAGGGAAAGGGATGGCCATCAGAAGAGTGAATGGTGGGATGGGATTGTGGGAACGGGAAGGGATGTGAGAGAGGAAAAGGAAGGGTTCAGGAAAGGGGGAAATGAGCAGGAAAAGCAGCGACGGTAGTGGGGGAAAAGGGACGAATGGGGGCAAGGGGACGGATGAGAGCAGGGCGAAGCAGTGGGTTGGGAGAGGGGAAAGGAGGGAGGGAGAAGAAGGGGAGGGAAGGATAGGGGGACAGGGAAGAAAGAACAGGGGGGAGGATTAAGCATCAGGAGGAACGAAAACGATGAAAGGGAGGGAAGGACTAAGGGGAAAGGGAGAGAATGACAGGGGGAAAGGGTGGGAAGGACATGGAGGAAAGGAGGAAGGACAGGGGGGAAGGGATAGAAGGAGTGGGGGAAAGGGAAAGAAGGACAGGGGCCTATAGCATGTCGCTGCACGCTCCCGCCTCGCCCGCCACTCGCTAACGCTCGCCACCGCTCGCCACTGTCGCGTCGCTGCTCGCTGTCACGTGCGCAACTAGCCGGACCATGTCGTCTCGTGACCGAGCTGTGCATCGACCTCAGGCGATGCTCGCCACAGTAGCACCTATTCCGACCATCGATCGCTGTTCTTCCCACCCTTTCCCCCTGTCCTTCTCACCCATTCCGGCCCTGTCGCCATCGTGCTTGCAGTTTCTTGCCGCCATTGCGTTTGCCACACACATCCCCTTGCCTTCGCCGCATCGCTACCAATCTCGCTCGCTAAAGCCGCTTGCGAGGTTTGGACGCGTGATGCTTAGGGACCGTCGGAACAGATGCTTTGCCCCGCTGCTCGCTAACGACATCCCGCTGCTCGCTAACGTCGCCCTGCTGCACGCAGACGTCGCCCCGCTGCTCGCTACTGTCGCCATCGCAGCTCACTATCGTCATTGCGCTGTTGTCGCCATGCTGCTCGCTACCGTCGCCGCTATGCTCAGTATCGTCGCCCCGCTGGCTGCTGTCGCACCCAATCCTGCCTGCCACCACGTCGCTCCCAACTACTTCCCTTCACCACGTCGCTGCTTGCCACCGCCGATTCGTGAGAAATAGAGGGACGGGAGAGGGACTACAGAACGAATACCGCGGAGGAAATCGCGCGCAATGCGCTACGGGTACAGCCGCGGTGGTGTTTTTTGTGGTACGAAATAGCGCAGATATTCGAGCGCACACTAAGAGGCGAAGAAGAGCGATAGATCTGGGGCGAATGGCTCTCAAGAAGCCCTACGGGAAGGCACTTCAAGTTAGTAGTAACCTAGCCTAGTGCGAGAGATTGCTGAGTTTGAGCAGTTTTGAGTTCAAGTTTCAAGTTTGATGCCTGGCCACCCCTTCATGCTGTGGTGCGGTGCTTTTCCGCAAGCCCTCCCCAGCTTCCCCCCCACTCATCATGCTGCGAGGCACTTTTCCGCACGACCTTCCCCCGCTCTCAGAAAGCTCTGCCAACCCGAGACTTCCAGTGTATACTGGGTAACGCGCCTTTCAAGCTATAATACTTTGAACTGGCGCAGCGATATCTGCACCGCGGCTTTAAAACATACTCGGCTCGTATAGTTGGAACGTATCTCTGCAGTTTGGAATATTGGCGGTGTTCTCTAGGTCCTATTTTCGATTATAAACCCAAAATTGATGAACTGTGTTCACCCTTCCGTAGTGTTTCCCAGGTTATGTAAAACGTGGAACGTCCAGGAAGGGCGAGCTCAGGTACAAACATCCTTTCTGTTGCCATCTCGGCCATTGCAACGCGCAACCAAACCTATATAGGTACGGTATCACATAATACATCCGAGATGATTAAAACCGGAGGTCCAAGAGTTTCTAAGTTAGGAAGGTTGAAAGGGGAGAGAAAGGTGACTGGCTCGCGAGCCAGGGTGGTGTCGAAATCGGTGGTAGCGGGTCGCTAAGAATGAAAAAGTCGCGAGTGTAACCAGATATGGAATGCTACGTCAGAACTCGTTCGCTGACTGTTTCGGACGTGTTTCGCTGACTGCAAATGTGTTCGCGAATTTGTCACCACTATCGTCCTCGCTTGAACAGTACTTCGCTTGGCGAAAATCGTCCCAACAATTTGCGAGGAGAGCTCGGTATCAACTGGGTCACACCCAACCAAAGTTAGGAAGGTTGAGGCAGTTTTGGGCTGTTTGGGACTCCGGTTTTAAGCTCATATAGTGAATAATATCCATGACCTACTCAACGTGAAAGTCGCACCCTGATTGTAGTATAAAGCAATGTTATCTGCAAGTAGCAAAAACATAAAGACTTTTGTGTGACTGTTACCCAGAAAAGATACGTCACAGGCACCAAGAGGCAGCGGCAGGCAGGAGGCAGCGGCAGGCAGGAGGCAGCGGCAGGCAGGAGGCAGCGACAGGCTTCCGGTGTGCGGCAGATCAGTTTCGAATCCATGCCAGCGCCATCCGTGCCTACGTCCTCTCCACCTCCATTGCCCTCCCTTGCCTGCCCTCCCTTACCTTCCCTCCCTTGCCGTCCCTCCCTTCTCTCTGCCTCCACCCTTCTACTCTGCCCTTCCGCCCGACCCCTGCCCTTCCGTCCATCCCTCCCCCTCCGTGCCCTTCCTTCCTTTCTCTCAACCGTTTCTCCCTGGAATGAGAGGCTGCCTCACCCTCTGACTTTTGAGTTGCTCTCCTCATCCCACTCTGCTTCTCTTCTTCCTCCTGCCCCTCCTCCCCTCACCGGGTTACCCTCACACCCTCCTCCAACCCTCCAGCCCTCCATGCTGCTCCCCTCGTGCCTGTTGGTCCATTCGAGTCAACTCAAGAAACATCAATTAGTTCGTTTCTCAGCTTCTCTTGTCTCTTCTAAAAGGGTCCGTCAGTCACCTGTCACCTGTGTCACCCACCCCACTCGTTGCCAAGGAACCACCTACTAATCCACCACTCAATACTCACCTGCTCTCCCAACTACCTGCTCAAAACTCACCTGTGCTCTCGGGAAGGTAGGGGCGGGTACAGGGTGTTAAATGCGGTTACGGGTCAGCTGCTGCTACGGTGCTCGCTGAAACTCCAGGATGCGTCTCCTGTTGTGCCCATGCTGCTGTTAGGAGGGTGAAGGAATGGAGGAGGTCATTTTAAAGGGAGCTAAAGAATCCTCCGGGATGCATCCCCTGCTTTGTTCATTTTGCTGCTGGGTGGGTGCGAGAATGGGGAAGGTGGGGAAGGGGACCAGGAGGGGTGCGGGAGGGTTGAGGGGTTAACTGGGTTTGGTGCTTTCACTTTTGGAAAGTCCCAGACGTTTTCTCTTTGCATGCTTATGTATGCACTTGCTTGATCCATTGCTACTTTGAATTTGTACTCCCCTATCCCAACTCACCTCCCTTTCTCCGTTTATGTGTCAATCCAACCTCCGCTTCCCTCCTCAAAAGAAAATTCTGCTTCGCTTTACCCGCTCTCTCCTTGGTCCTCGCAAACCTTAACAGTCACAGGAGGGGGAGGAGCGGGAGGAAGGGGGAGAGTTGCAGATACCAGCTGAGGGAGAGGCTACCCCTTCTGCAACTCCCCGTGATTCAAGGCCTGACGGGTTGGCAACAGAGGGGCTGGAAAGCGGATCAGATGCAGTAACAGGAGAAGCTAATAGAGGGGATAGTGAGGAGGAGAGGGAAAGAGGCAGGGAACGTGAGAGGAAAAAGAGGGAGAGGGAAGGGAAGCGGATGGTGACGGTGTAGTGGTGGTAGTAACATTGTTTCTGATGGCGCACCTGACAGCAGCAGCACAGCGAGCCAACAACCTGAAAAACAACCTGAGAATGCACCTGCTAAGAGGAATCAAGCCAGGCGAATAAAGCCCCCGTCTGCACCAGCCAGCACATCTTCTGATCTCCATGCCATGCTACGTCCAACGTCCCTGTTGATTCTTCTGCCACCGCCGCTACAGATGCCCCTCAGGACTCTGGATCCTCTCCCACTGCTCCTAACACCCCGTCAGAAGCAGACGGGCCAGATGGAGGAGGAGGAGCAGCAGCAGCAGCAGCAGCAGGTGGGCCGAATCTGCTTCCTCTACCCCCTGTAAGGGTGCTGCTGCAGCAGCTGCGTTGGCAGCAGCTGCCAAGTCTTCTCTTAAACACGTCCTGGCAGGCGAAATTGGCCGGGGACTGTGGGAAGCCCAAGGGTTGGCAAGGGGGTTGATTTGGCAGATAAGGAAAGTGCTATTGCGGCTGCCGCTGCTGGTGGGGGGACAGGGACAGAGGGAGGATTAGGAGGAGTGGCAGCGGGCAGGAGCAAGGAAGTCGGGATTGGGTGGGGGCTCACGAACAGTACTGGCATTAGAATCAACGCCAAGGTAGCTTGAGTTTCAATAATGGATCTGGTACAGGTGCAGGTGGGATGAATTCGCCTGCTGTTGCACATAGCCCTGCTGCTGCTGCTGCTGCTGCTATCCAGGCAGTGGATTCAAAGGCAACTCCAGCTGCTCATGTCCGTGGTGGTACAGAGCAGCAGCTAGGAGCAGGAGCAGCAGGAGAGGCAGGAACAAAAGAAGCAGCAGCGGCAGCAACAGTGAAAGAGGAAGGATTTGACCCGTATGAGTCGCTAGAAGGGACCATATTTTGTCTTGTTTGCTTCCTCCCCCCTCTTCTCCATCCTCCCTCCTCCTCCCCCTCCCCCTCCCCCTCCCCCTCCCCCCTCCCCCTCCCCCTCCCCCGCCCCTGTCTAAACGTCTCAATAGCAAGAACAACAGCTCAGATAATGATATACGGTTTCTCATCCTTTAAATCCTTAAAAAAAGGATTCACAGCAGGTATGAAAACGCCGTTCCATTGCCAAGGATAGTTAATAAAAAAAAACAAACTCATGATCGAATTTCACATTGCTAAGCATAGGCAGCTCATCCAAGGACAAATCCGTACCGTAATACTCTGCATCAGGCTGCGGCGTTTCCTCAATGAAGGATTCAGCTTCAATGGCAATAACGGTATCCATCCAAACGCGAATAATGTTCTTGAACATCCCAGCACGATGTTTCAACGAATTCGGATCAATAACCTTCACCGATCCTTTTTCGATAAGACTATTGAACTCCTTTAGGTTGGCGGTTTTTACGTTGATATTGAGTTTGCCCTTTGGATGCTGCCTCAAATTCTCCTTCGTGACAACATTAAGAGGCTTTTCGCCTTGCTTAATGCGCGCTTCATTCATTTTACCCGATCCTTTCTGGCCAACCGCGCTGTCTTTCATGGCTTGAAACCCTTCCCGGTCAACCTTTGCCTGCAAGGTCTTGAATTTTAGCTTTTCCCCGGCAGGTCGTCCGGCGTCCTCCAACCGCTTCTGCTTCGCGTAGGGTCGTTGATGGGATGTGCTTTCCGAAAAGCAAGTTTCGCCGGTTGGCTTATTCCCTTGTTTGTAGCCGGGTGGGAACCTTTGGTTCTCCACGGCCCGGTCAGCGACCTTCTCGGGAACAGTTCGATAAACACGAGTTTGAGCAGCCTTCGCCTCTGCTGTTTTGGCCATTGCAAAACCAGCAGCTGCTCCAGCTATTCCGCCAACAAGCCCTGAACCGACAATGTCTCCCGCAGAGCAGGACTGACCTTCGATAGCAGAATTAGCAGCACTTTCCGCCATTCCTGTTCCAGCTCCAACGACAGTTCCAACAGCCGTGGCAGCGCCAACTCCAAGGGGAGCGACCACACCGCCAGAAGCAACCACGATAGCAACACCAGCCGTGCTGACTCCAGCTTTAGCCCAAGACTTTCCGCAGCGTTCCCTCAGATGATCCGCTCGATCGTGGTTTCCGCTGCCGTCTTCAATGGCAGCTTGGATTCCCGAGCCAATGCAGCTGTTCTCCACATACTCCTGGTCCCACCTTCCTTTGGCCTTATGAGCTTCGCCAGCAATGCAGTCACCCAAAGACTTGCCAGCGTACGATAGCTCCTGAAAGACGGGAATGTCACTAAGCAACCCGCCTCCCGTTAGCGCGGAACCCGTCGCTCTGCCCATACACTGGGCATATTCCTTGGCAGTCTCATGGTTTCCGTGGATCTCGTGGTGAAGAGCAACGCAGCCCGAACCAATTACACTGCTCTTGGCGTAATCATCCCAGCACTGGTTTGCTCCATCGAGGTTACCAGCAATAGCGTGACCAAAACTTTTCAGAGCGGTGAAGACTTCTTGAAGGGTAGGAACTTGAACCATTCTGTAAAAGATTTTGCAAGTGAAAAGGATACTGACCTGAAGACGACCCAGCATTCGCGGTTTTTATAGGCTGGGACCTTACGGCGTGAGGGTCCGAGAAACTCTTGGTCCGCCGACGAAGGGCTGGTCCGACGGAGCAGCATCAGGGCGTGTCACATCTTTGTTTTTGACCGTCCAGACTACTTTCGTCCGGTTGTTTAGTAACACATTGGGTTAACTGTCGTTGAACACATGATTCAAAGACGACTTTTCTCGATTAAGGTTACCCTACAAGAGTCCGGACCGAGAGTCATCGGGAGGGTCAAACACGAACAATGTGACACGCCCGTCGCACTCGATTGAGCACCCATCGCATCACAAATTCAGGTGAACACGTCAATCTATGCCTTAGGACACTCAAAATGACGTGTTTCACCTGCATTGGTGATGCGATGGGCGCTCATTCGCGTCTTGGAGTCTCTTCGCTTGGATTGGAATGAACTAATCAACATTGTATCAAAATTTCTTTACCTAAATAATGACAGAATAGGGTTATATATGGGCAGAGACAGAACATATATACAATGGTCCATAGGTAGCTCAAATTTCTAGTAAGCTGAAAAGCAACGCGATTTATACCGAACCCAACCGACAAGGAACCGTCTCAGATCCTTCGAACACGCGCTGTACCTCTCTGTTACTTTGTGCCAGCCTGGACCCGCCTCGAACACCGCAAGCATCTCACCCAACCGTATTGAAACGGACTCACTATCTCACGCAGCTTGCGCAGGTCAACTATCCCTTACGGGATTTGAACCCGTGTCTGCGCCATGAAAAAGCGATGACCAAACCAAACCAAACCTGTCAGCCCCAGGGAGTCCACTCCCGAAAAGCAGAACCTACAGCAGCAGCCCGTGAAGCACACATTCTCTGGCTAGCATTTCTCGTTCCGCTATCTCTGCTGCCGCGCGTACATTGCGACGAAGCTCGCATTCGAGGCTAAGAGCCGTCTTTACGCGCTTGTAACGGAAGATGCCGCTTCAACAATTGGCTTTGTGTGCTCCTACTAGACTTCAGCCGCCGGTTCCCACGCACACTCGGCCAAATCCCGTGCACACACGACGTGCCAGGTGCTCCGTACGACTGTTACCGTGCAACTCAATTTCGCCAGCTACCACATTCGGCGCGTGTGTTGCGAGGCAATTGCGCTCCAGTAACATTGAAGACAGCAATGCAGCTTCACGAACGCCTACCGTCGGATCTATCCGGGCTGCGGATCGGACCATCAGGGTGCGAGCACAAGCCGTCACTGTTGCCGATGATTCTAACCCGTCTGCGTCCTCGCCCTCCTCTCCCTCCGTTCCGCTCCGCGCGGCATTCTTCGATGTGGATGGGACAATAACGAGCAGCAACGTGGTGGCCGCGTTTGTAGCACTTCGTCTGCGAGACATGCCGCTGCTGCAGAAGGCGGTCTGGGTGCCGTGGTTCGCGCTCAATGTGGTGCTATACCTAATTCTAGACCGGATCGACCGGGGTCTGTTCAATCGCACGTTCTACCGCAACTACAGGGGAATGCTCGTGAGCGAGAAGGAGGCCATGGCGGATTTCGTGCACACGAATTACCTCAAATCAAAGTATGACAATGGATGGAGCGTTTTGTGCGGGGAGGCTGAAGAGTGGAGAGAGGGGGAAGAAGCACGAGAGAAAGACAGAGTAGCATGGGAGAGGCGGGGAACGAGTCCGACAGGTTGGTGAAGGAAGGATGGGAGGATGGATGAGAGAAGGACCTTTTGCCGTTTCCTGTTACCTGGTGAAGGCATTTTCTTACCGCTGAATCAATAATTCCTGGTCAGACTTGTTAAATGCGCTTTGATTTCCTTTCATCCCTTGACCTATCCCTGTCCCTTTCCTCTGCGTGTCAGGGTGTTTCCAGGGGTGCTGGAACACATTACTCGCCTTCGCACTGATGGCTTCCGGATTGTCCTTGTTACTGGCTCCCTTGATTTCCTCATTGAACCCCTTGCTAAGGATCTTTCTGCAAGTATGTTGCCGCTTCCACGTGCTACTCCTCTTTCTATCTTCTTTCTGCCTTCTTGACGTCCCACTATATGTATTATCATACGCAGGTCATGAACTCAAACAGACATGCACACTCTCACCTCCTCCCGTTTCTCTCTCATCTCATCTCGTCTCTTCTTTCAGGCTCTCGTTTCGCTGACTCTCCCTTCCGTTCTCGTCTCTGGTGTCTGCCAGGTGCAGTTTTTGCTGCGAAGCTGAAGGAGTCTGATGGCAGGTTTACAGGGGAACTGGAGGGTGAGGCGGTGAGCAGTGCAGAGAAGGCTGCTGTGATAAGAGGGTATGCAGAGAGGGAAGGTATTGCGTTGAAGGACTGCTATGCATACGGGGACAGCTACGCCGACTTCCAAATGCTGCTTGAGGTGAGTGATGGTGAATGCATCTCCAAACTGCTACACGTCTGTATTCGGGCGTATTGAGTGGTATGTTGCCCTCAACCCTTTTGCCAATGTTGAATTCCACAACCCTCCAGGTGGGTCAAGCCTATGCAGTGCGGCCAGATGATCGGCTGCTTGAGCAAGCTAAACAAAGAGGATGGATAGTGGTGGAAGATTACAGCCAACTTGGTGGAGTGGAGGCAGATGTTTGATATTGTCCTCTAGCTAATTTTATCGCTTAAGGTTATTCCAGTCTGGTGGGTGATAATTTATGTCACATCACTTCCTGAGCTATTTGCTCTTTATCGCGTACCGTGATGCATCTCGTCGTCAGTTGCTTGCCACGTAGATTCCCGCTGGAAACTCGGACCTTTTTCTAGCGAACCATCTGTTCCCGGAGTCTAGGGTTTGAGTCCACTCAAATATACAGAGTCTAGTTTCTATCGAACGAATTATTCCAATCGCTGTGTCTTTTCGACTTCCTGGAGTGCAGGCATCCTTCAAACCATGTGACTGCGGGCTGTTGGACAACGAAAGAAAAAAACATCAACACAGGGAAAAGAAGTCGCAGCGCGCTGAAACCGACGTTGGGGTTTTTTCCGAGGCTTCTTCTCCCGCCCCTCTCTGCCCTGGATATCTTTGAAGTTGACGTGTTAATGCTGGTTCGGCAAGTATTCCCCCTCCTTACCTAACCATCCCAACCTGCCTGCCTTGCCGAGGTGCCCAAATTTCACCGAAATCGAACCCAAAGTCATTCCAAACCTCGGACCGTCGACTTTTCCGAACGTAACCGTACCTAAAGCGCACCCACCAACCAACCAGCAGTCGTTGTGAGTCATCAAAGCGACTGACATGATGGGCCTCCGTGGATGTCGGTGACATTCTCAAGACGCTGGTGGGGGGTCATTTTCGTCACAGTTCGACAGGCAGACTTCGGAGTCTGGATTCTGGAAGCAGTGATGGCGGGGGTCTGATCTGGTCTGGTTTTCTGTCAGAGCAATTCACAGCTCAACAGTTTGATGAGTGCGCAACACTGTCGAAAACTGCAGGGCCGTTGTTGCCCTGGGAGCGACTTTCTGGTTGTAGCAGCAATAAACTCGACCCACGCGACGTGCACGAGGATCAATAAGAGCTAATACGCACAAGTTTACTCTATTCCTCCGTTCCACTTTTTCAGCGAACAGCAGATTACAGCAAGTTTCTGGCTAGTAGAGGCTGCGTCCACAATAATTCGGGAATGTTAACGTTAGCATGGCTCGCACGACAAGCTCGCAGAGCGGCTCAATTCAGCCGCAGCGAGGCCTTCACCACCACTCTCCTCGCAGCAGCTCGAGCTGTCACCCTGTCAGCACTGATTCTCTACCTCCTCATCACCACCTCCACCTGGCTCGAGCCCGAACGACGGCCACCAAATTACCCCGTCCCTCAATTTCCGCAATTCCACGTGGACCCCTCCTCGGGTCGCATTCGCGACGCGTACAACCGCGAGCGCGTGTTTCACGGCGTGAACGCCGTCTTCAAAGGCCCGCCATGGCACCCGCCCGTGCTCGACTCGTTTCACCCAGAGCTTTCCTTCTCCCCGGCCGACTTCGCAATTCTCCAGACCCTAGGCCTGAACGTGGTGCGCCTGGGAGTCATGTGGCCCGGCGTGCACCCGGCGCGCGGGGAGACCAACGCGACGTACCTCCACGTGATGAAGCGCATGGTGCGGCAGATGCGCGCGGCTGGAATCTACACCCTGGTCGACTTTCACCAGGACGTTTTCGGGTCGCGATTCTGCGGGGAAGGCGCGCCGTCGTGGCTGTTCGACGAGCAGACGGAGTCAGTTGCAAGTCATGCCAATCAAGGCGGCACCGGCACTACTGCTAGCCTTGGCAGCACCAGCAGCAACTCTAACGGCATCAACTCTAACGGCATCAACTCTAACGGCATCAACACTTCGAACGTCAACAGCAGCAGCAGCAGAAGTAGTAGCAACAGCAGCACTCCGCAAGACACAAGTAGCAGTGTAACGAGTGTGAGTCGCAGCAGTGGCATCATAGACGGGGGAGGCGGCATGCTGCCATGCGTGGGTTTCGCTGTGTGCATGCGACCTATCGAATACGCCAAGAGCTTCCCCGAACCGCTTAGCCCCAGGTTTCATTTGCTGCCACGTGGAACGCTGGATGACGAGGCAGCAGAGAGAGTAGAGACAACGGAGGCGACAGGCACAGCGGTAACCCCAGAGCCGGCAGAAACGGCAGCTGCAGCAGAGACCACAGCTACCAGGTCACACAAAACCTTCCCGTTAGGGCGCGCGGAAACCCTCGCAGAGGCGAAAACCGGTGAAAACGATATGGTAACAGCCTCCCACGCGTCCGAGTCCCCGTCCGGAAGCCCGGGCACGAGCAGCAGAAGCAGCAGCCAGACCCGTCGGTTTCATGCCAGCGACCCAGACCCAAAGCAGTGCGAGCGGCACTCATGGAGCGACTACCACTTCACGTACGCCGTAGCCCGGGCCTTCCAGGACCTGTACGAGAACCGCTGGGGCTGGAGAGACCGCATGGCGGATTACTGGGCAGAGGTGGCGCGCGCGTTTAAAGACGAGGACGGAGTTCTGGGGTATGATCTCATTAACGAGCCGTGGGTTGGTGACGAGTTTTCAAACCCCATGCTCATGGCGCCGGGCGTTGCTGACAAGCTGAATCTGGCTCCGCTGTACGAGCACCTGCAAGCAGCTATTCGGGCGGAAGACCCGAGTAAACTGATTGCGTTTGAGACTGTCACGTTTGATGATGCGGTGAGCGGGTTGCGGTGGGTCCCGGGCGGGCAGGCTTGGCGGAACATGAGCGTGCTGAGTTACCACCACTACCGGCCGCCCAACGTTGCGGTGCGGGCGACCATGAAGCAACGCATGGCGGAGCGCAAGCGGCTGCAGTGCGGCGCCATGCTCACAGAGTTCAGCCTCCCGAGCATTCCCTTAGGAATCAAGGTGGGGAGCAGCCGCCGGAACGGGCTTTTCGAAATGGCTCGCTATTTCGGCAGAGGCAATGATTCTGGTGGTGAGAGGCTGGCGGAACGAGCTCTTATGCAGAGTAGTTCCTCGGGTTTTCGAGCCTCGGGTTGCACGGTGCACAGAAGATCGTTGCAGCGGACGCTGCATAGGAAAGCGTTGCCTTGGGCGGAACGGAGAGCGCAATCAGCGGCAGGGAAAGCGGTGGTGCGAGGTTTGCTGAGCTGTGGTGAAGCAGAGACAGGGCGTGCTGTGCAGATGCAGGCGGAGAAGGATGAGGAGGGGAATGCCGAGGAAGTGAGCAACACGGGGCAACCAAGCAACGGAACAGTTGATCCGAAACATAAAGAAGACGAGAATCCTGGGCCGGGTGCATGGAAAGAGATGGAGGAGTTGTTGGATGCAGCTGATGAGCACGTGCAATCGTGGATGGCGTGGGAATACAAGGCGTTTCTCCCCATCACGGGCGCCAACCTGGGGCTGTTCCATCGCAACGGCTCGCTGAATATGCGCCTGGCCTTGCTCCTTGCCCGGACGTACCCACAAGCCGTTGCAGGCCGTATCTTGCAGTTCTTCTTTAACTCTTCTGCCGCCTCATTTCATTTGAGTTACCTGGCGAACCACCCTCTGCCACCAGACAGACACGTTCGGCCGACGACCTGGTTGTTTTCATCTAAAGATGCAGATGAGCAGGGAAGGGACGGCCCTCCAGTAGCACCTACTGGAATGGAATTTAGGACGGAGATTTACTGCTTCCGATGTGGGGAGGTGGGGTGGAGCACAAGTGTGCGTGTGGTGCCTGCAACGGTGAAGTGGGCTATGAAAGGGCGTACGGTGGAGGTGGAGCATGAGGCGAAAGATGCAGGGAAGAGGGTGGATGTTTGGATTACGCACGAGCGCACAGATGGACCGCCTGACAAGCCTGGAACAACATACGCATGACTGACCGAGGCCAATATTGGTGAACTAACTAAGTTGTACAACAACATAACTTAGTGACTGATGCTACTAACCCAAATTAGGTGTGGTGGGCAAGTTACCCCTAGTCTCATTATACTAGGACGAATTTTTTAGTTGCTCACCTTTCATACCAAAATGTGACTGATTTAACCTCTAGTGTTTTTTTTTATACTTTCCACTATGCATATTAAATATGAAACAAGGTTCATCTACAATACTGTAAGATGCGAGTGAAGTGTTTTCTATTGTCGAAACCAGTCTACAGTAACCGTCTTCCCTCTCCTCATTTCAGCTCTTTTCTCCTCGCACTGATTCTCTCCCATCCCCCCATCCCGAAGGCAAGGCAGCCATGGCGTGCCCTGTTCCCCTCTCACGCGAGCTCTCCTCTCACGCAGCTCCCCCCACGCTCGTCGCTGATTGGCTGCGCGACGATCAGGAGGCTCCTCCCACTGGTGCTCCTCCCCCTGACTTGCGATTAGGGTTTTGCATTTTCAGCTCAGATCTGGGCCTCGGCCGTTTCCGGCATTGTTTTCATTTTTTGCAATTTTACCAGCTGCTTAGCACTTTCTGGGCTCGCTATTTTTCCAGGCCCCATAAGTGGCGAAATAGTTTTTTTTTTCCGGACCATTCACGTAGCTCGCGTAGACTACCCTTTCTTGACGTCGTGCTTTTTGAGAACCGTCTTTCAGGTAAACTCGGCATCTGTCAGGCGTCTCTTTTATTGCCAGCATATAGCAACAGCACACACGTAGAGGATACTAAGTAGCAATAAGAGGCTCACATCCGATCGGCTGGTCTCTTTACACTCGTCGCAAACGCAAGACTTCCCCGTGTTTTCGACTTTCACGTTGCCGCCCTCGTGACGCTCGCTTCGTTCGTGCCAGTAACAACCACCGCACGCTACCGTCGGCCGCTCGAACTATAGATTCACCCGCCGACGTTTCAGCCTTCGTGCGTGACGCTTAACCGGGTCTGTGCGTAGCTTCAATCACTTTCGGGTGTGCTTCTGGTTTGAGCTTCGTAGATTCACCTTTCGTCCAATCAAGTCCTCGTCTTCCTCTTCCACTGCACGTGGTCCGTCAAGCGGAAAGGAATATAGCAGAACGGATTAGAACTGAATGGAACAGTAGGGCCATTTACGAACAAAAGGGACTGTTATATCCACGGCGGCTCTTCTCGAATTGGCTCTCCGCGAATGCCGGCGTGAATCCTCGCGGCACTCGTCTCTTGGCGCTCAACTAACCAGGTTTCCGTGATTTTCGGTCTACCACCCTTTCACTCGCTCCATCTTCCGGTTTCCGTGATCCGACTCTTCCGTTCCGCACCTGGGGGCTTGCGCGCGCGGACTGCTGCGCGGATCCTCCGCTGACGGCTGTGCGGATCCTCCGCTGACGGCTGTGGGAATCTTCCGCGGACGGCTAAGCGGACAGTTGCGCGGATCTTCCGTGGAGTCCGCGCATCCGCCACCCGTCCGCGCAACTAGTCCCGCACTGGCGCAGCCGTTGCGGGGATGGATGGAATAGGCTGATTCGGAATACTGAGGGGCCTACAGGCGACTACTCTTGGCGATAGGTTTCGCGAGAGGCCAAGAAAGCGATCATTTCGGCGAAAAGTGGTGACATGTGCCGTGTGCGGGTGTGACGTGGGCGTGTACTGTGTGACGTGGCCCTGTTCGTGACGGCTGCTGCAAGCTTCAATAAGCCAGACGGTACGGCGTTGATAGGAAGGCAGACAGGCAGGCAGGTAGCTCGTGTCAATAGCGGCTTCCAGTCTAGCAGTTAATAGGATCACTGGATTGACTTCTGAGAATTTTCAAAAGGTCACAATGGTACCGCGTACTCATTCGCTGTCTAATCGCCGCCCCTCCGCCTTTGCGTTTACCGGTAGCTTTCTGCCTTTTGCCGCGAATTTTCGGGCCTCGCACTTCGCTGCTTGCCTCCCGTTCTTCCTTCACTCCGTCCTACTGCTTTCCTTCCGCGATCTACCTTCCACTTCTTTCAGGCAGTCGTTTTCGGCGGAATTCACATTCCTTTTCCTCCCTCTTCCTGCCCCCTTCCTCCTGTCGAGCCTCCTCCCCTCCCAACACTACCCCGCCCCCTTCCCTCTTCTTCCTCCTCCTCTCTTGCCTCAGTTCCCCTGGCGTCACAACCTTTGTCCGCCCTCTCTGTGTTCGCTCCTTGCTCTGTGCCGTTTGGTGCAGGTAATTTCGGTCATGGATCGGGGATGGCAGAACCAATTTCAGCAGCAGCAGCAGCAGCAACAGCAGCAGCAGTTCCAGTACCAGCAGTACCAGCAGCAGCAGCAGCTTCAGCAGGCACAATACCAACAACCGCTGCCTTTCCAGCAGCAGCAGGCATTGCAGTATCAGCAGCCGCTGCAGTATCAGCATCAGAATCAGCCTCAGCAGCAGCAGCAGCTGCAGCAGTTGCAGGCTCAGGGGATGGGGTACGTCGGGGGAGGCTATGCGTTGAACCAGGCACAGGGGTATAGCAACGCTGGTGACTTGAGTGTGGCGGTGGGGGAAGTTTGGGCAGCGCAAGGGGGGATGGGGGAGGCTGTGGGGCAGAAGTGGGGGACGGACGGTTTGGCAGAGGTAGATGATGGGGGGTATGGTGGGGGAGGGGAGCAGCAGCAGGCAGAGGAGGAAGACGAGGAGGAGGAGGTGGAAGAGGAGCAGGAGGAGGAGGAAGAGCAAGAGGAGGAGCAGGCACAGGGGGGTGAGGGGGAGGGGGAGGGGGAGGAAGAGGAGGAGGAGGATGAGGAGGAAGAGGAGGAGGAGGCGGAAGAGGAAGAAAGAGGGGAGGATGGAGAAGGTGGGGGCGCTGAAGTTGCAGAGGGAGGAGAGGAGGGCGAGGGGGAAGGGGATGCAGAAGAGGAGGAAGATGAAGAAGAGGAGGACGGAAATGAGACGAACGAAGGTGGTAATGGTGCTGGCGAGGAGGAGGAAGAGGAGGAGGAAGAAGAGGAAGAGGAAGAGGAGGCGGAGGGTGAAGGTCAGGAGGTTGGTGGGGGGTCAGGGGAAGGGGAAGGAGGAGGGGGAGGGGGAGGGGAAGGAGAATGGCAAGAAGGGGCGCAGGACGACGAGAGTGAGGGAGAGGAGGAAGAGGAAGGGGATGAACAAGAAGGGCAGCAGGTTGCGCACGAAACACAGACTCAAAATCAAGTAGATGGAGAGGTGCAAGAGGAGGAGGAGGACGAGGAGGAAGAGGAGGATGAAGAGGATGAAGAGGAAGAGGAAGAGGAGGGAGGAGGTGAGGAAGAGGAGGAGGAAGGGGGCCAAGACAGGCCCGAGGTGGGTGGTGATGGTCATAGCGGTCAGGAGCCATGGGTAGGGTACGGTGGAGAGGGAATTCCCGGGGGTTCTGGTGGTACAGATGGCCAGTGGGTGCAAGACGGAGTGGGTGTAACGGAAGGGGTAGTACAGGGTGTGGAGCAGGAGGAGGAGGAGGAGGAGGAGCAGGAGGGGGAGGATGAGGAAGAGGAGGAGGAAGAGGAGGAGGAGGAAGAGGAGGAGGAGGTGGAGGAGGAGGAACACGAGGAAGAGGAGAGGGAGGAGGAGGGAGACGAAGAAGAGGAGGAGCATCCGGTGCAAGAAGGAGAGGAGGAAGAGGAGGATGATGAGGGAGAAGAAGCAGAGGTAGGTGTGGGAGGGGGGGGGGCGGAATGGGAAGGTGCAAGTGGGGAGCAACCGCAGGAAGAAGAGGAAGAGGAGGACGAGGAGGAAAAGGAAGAGGAGGAAGAGGTGGGGGATGCGGACGTGGAGACGGTAGGGGGGGTAGATATGGAAACGAATAGGGGTGAGACAGGAGGGGACGAACAGGAAGAAGAGGAGGAGGAGGAGGAAGAGGAGGAGGAAGAGGAGGAGGAGGTAGAGGAAGAGCAGGAGGAAGAGGAGGATCAGCAGGAGGAAGAGGAGGAGGAAGAGGAAGAGGAAGAAGAAAGCGTGCAGTTAGTAGAAGAGGAGGAAGGGCATGGGGAAGGGGTAGAAGCGGATAAGGATGAGGGAGAGGGAGCAGAGGAGGAGGAAGTGGAAGAGGAGGCGGTAGAGCTGGAGGAAAGCGAGGAAGAAGAGGAGGAGGAGGAGGAGGAAGAGGAGGATGAGGATGAGGAGGAGGAAAATCAGGGAGAAGCAGAAGGGCGCGAGGTGAATCAGATGAATGAGATGAATGGGGAGCAGGGAGAGGGGGCAAGCACGCAGGAGAGCCTGGTTCGGTCCCAGGGTCCTCCGTATCAAGGGCAGATTGCCTCGCAAATTGGCATGCAAGGGGACAAAAGGGCCCCTTTGCATCAGTGGCAGCAGGAGCATCAGCAGCAGCTGATGAGCCCACCAGGAGGATTAGGAGCTCCTGGAGCAGCAGCAGTACCTGCAGTACTCGCAGCAGCAGCCGCCGCCGCTGCAGCTGCAGCAGCAGCAGAAGAAGCAGGTGAAGGAGTAGCAGGGGGCTCTCAAAGGCAGCAGCGACAGCGGCGGCAGCCCAAGTGGCTTGAAGAGGAGGAGGACGTACCATTGTCTCACATGCGGGGAGGACGACCGAGCAAGGCAAACCAGTCAGGTCATACCCCTGCTGCTGCTGCTGCTGCTGCTGCTGCTGCTGCTGCTGCTGCTGCAGGAAAAGCGGCTAGCGCTGTAGACATAGTGGGAGGGAGAGGACGAGGAGGGTCATTGGCAGGCCCAGCAGCAGCAGCAGGAGGAGTGGTTCCAGATTCGTCAGCAGTTGGGAGGGGATCTGTAGCCGCTGGTGTTGGTCGAGGGATGGTGAAGCAGGAAGCAGGGGACGTGAATGGATTTCCAGGGATGAGCCACCAGCGGCACCACCTTGCTTCTCCTGCTTCTCGTGCTGCGGCTGATGCGGCCAGCATCAGCGCCGGGGCTGGTGCTGATGCAGGGAAGAGAGGGGAAAGAGCAGCGTTAGGCGGGCAAGGATCCTCTGCCAAGGCTGAAGTAGTAGATGGTCCGTCTAGTCCGTCTAGACCCTCCGTGCCCGTTTTCACCCCCGCTGGCGGAGATACAAGTCAGTCTAAAGAAAGTGCTTTCCATGCTGCTGCGGCTGCGGCTGCGGCTGCGGCTAGCGGTGCCACCGGAGGAAGGAATGAGCTGGTGGTGTCGAGGGATCGTGCGAGGTTGGATGCAGCGGTTGCAGCAGCAGGCGTGCTGGAGCTCTGTCCTGGCGTGCAGCTGCGTATGCTGCCTGATTATGATGATATAGCCCCAAGCTTGGGGCTTCCAGGCTATGCGGACGTTTATCTGGATGAAAGGGCGTTGAATCCTAGTTTGGGACCCGGGGAACTTGCTTCTGTGGTCCTGGCGGGGGTTATTCAGAAGGAGAAGGAACGGCGGGAGTGGGAGGTGAAGCAGAGAGTGGGGAAGGAGCTGGAGAGATTAGAGGGAGAGAGGATGGAAAGGGAGAGGTTAGAGAGGGAGAGGTTGGAGCGGTTGGAACAGGAAAGGAAGGTAAGGGAGAGGAGGGAGAGGGAGAGGAGGGAGAGGTTGAGGAGGGAGCAGGAGAGGAAGGAGAGGGAGAGGAAGGAGAGGGAGAGGAAGGAAAGGGAGAGGAAAGAGAGGGAGAGGATAGAAAGGGAGAGGAAGGAGGCTGAGAGGAGGGAGAGGGAGAGGAAGGAACGGGAGAGGAAAGAGAGGGAGAGGAAGGAAAGGGAGAGAAAGGAGAAGGAGAGGAAGGAGAGGGAAGAGAGGGAGCGTCAGAGGTTGTTGGAGTTGGAGAGGAAAAGAGAGGAGGAAAGGAGAAGGGAGGAGGAGAGGAAAAAGGAGGAGGAGCGGCAGAGGCAGTTGGAATTGGAAAGGCAGAGGGAGGAAGAGAGGAAGCGACAGTTAGAGCTCGAACGGGAGCGAGAGAGGGAGAGAGAGAGGGAGAGGCAGCGGGAATTAGAGCGAGAACGAGAGAGGGAGAGGCAGAGGCAGTTAGAGATACAGAGGGAAAGGGAGAGGGAGCAAGAGAGGGAGAGAGAGAGGGAGCGGCAGCGAATAGCAGAGGAAGCAGCGGCTGCTGCGGCAGCGGCGGCGGCGGCGGCAGCAGCAGCAACGGCTGCAGCAGCGGCAGAAGAGAGTGGTGGGGCAGATCAAATGAAGTTCTGGGGAGCTTCCAGAACGAGGGGGTCTAGAACTGGTGTGGGTGAAGGGGAAGAAGCAGGTTTTCCCAAAAGCTTTCCGGAGAGGGGGAGAGGCGAGTGGAATGCAGATATGGCCGCTCAGTACGGCAGCTTGCAGCAGCATGAACAGCAACAGCAGCAGATGCAACAACATCAACAGCACCAGATGGCTGCAGGTATGTCAGCCCATTCAGGTGTATCAATTGGCAAACCATGCAGGGATGCCAGTTGTCAACTCATGCTGGTATGCTTGGATGAATCATGAAATCTCACATTGCACTTCTGGAGTGAGGTGTCACATCACATCAAGATACGGTCGGTAGGCACTTCAGCAGTAGCAGGGGAAAAGGCATGCTCTTTCGTGCACCCATTTTGGTTACCTCCCATTTTCACCCATTCCTTAAGAAATGTCTCAGGCGCTTGGAATGTCCCCAAAGATTCTCATGGAGAGATCTGTCCCCTCTCATGCGGATGCGACTGACTGCTCCGTTCTTTTCCTTCGACCAGAAAACAGCAAACATACCATTCTCCGGTTTCCCGTCTTCTCGTCTCCCGTCGCTCGTCCTGTTGTGAAACTTGTGGCAGGGTTGGCGCTGGGTTTGCCGGTGCAGGGAAGTCATGGTGATACGCAAGGGCGTGCCTCTGCTGCGCTGGGGGGAGCTGGGTTTGCAGCAGGCATGCAGCAGCAGCAGCAGCAGCAGCAGCAAGCGGGGATGCTTGTGCAAAAGCAGGGTAGGCCGTCTCTAGACGCTGTTCTGGCAGCAGCAGTGGCAGCAGGGAGTAGCACTGGTGGCACAGCAGGTGCAGGAGCAGCAGACGCAGCAGAAGCAGCAGGTGGGGCAGCAATGCAGCAGTTTTCCCTGGGCGCGCCAGGCTCTGCCACCCCCTTCCCGCAACAACCCACACCACCATCCGCCCTCACCCCACCTCCGCTCTCCGCCCTCTCCGCCCCACCGCCTTCCAAACCTGGCGAAGCCGGTGGCCCTGTGACAGGGATAGTGCAGGGAAAGCGTGGGGTGGTGGGCGGGGGGAGGAAGGTTCTGTCTAAGATGGAACAGGAGGCAGCGCTGCTGAAAGAGATGGAGAAAACGGCCAAGGCATGGAGCTCCATGGTGCGAAAGGACCTGCTGAAGCACCACCGGCTGTTTGTGATGACGCACAAGAAGCAGTCGCTGGACTGCAAACGCACCGCTGAGCTGTGCCAACGGGAGGTCCGTGCACGCGTGACACGGTCAGTCAAGGCGGCTAAAGGCGCGCCACTGCGTATGAAGCGGCTGGCCCGGGATATGGTGCTGTTCTGGCGGCGGTACGACCGTGAGCAGACTGAGCTAAGGAAGAGGGAGGAGAAGGAGGCGCTAGAGGCGAGGCGGAGGGAGGAGGAGCTCAGAGAAGCGCGGCGGCAGCAGCAGCGGCTGAATTTCTTGCTCACACAGACGGAGCTGTACTCGCATTTCATGCACTCCAAGGTTGCGCCGGGGGGCGGGGCGGCCGGTGGTGCTGGGGCGAAAGCACGTGCAGCGGCGACTGCTGCTGGTGGTGGTGCTGCTGCTGGTGCAGCCGCTGGTGCTGGTGGTTCCGGTGCTGGTGGGGGAGGAGAGGGTTTAAGTGCGGAGGAGGTGGAGGAGAACGAGAGAATGGCGGAGGAAGCAAGGTTGGCTGCGGTGCAAGCGGCGAGTGAGCAGCAGAGCCGCACGAACCTGTTTGACTCGGAATCGAGACGGCTGCGAGGGGAAGGGGGAGAGGGGGAGGGGGAGGGGGAGGGGGAAGAGGAGGATTTGGGGGCGGGCAGGGAGGGGGAGGAGGGCATGGCTGCGGATATGGATCTGCTGAACCCGTATGTATCTAATTTGAATTATTACAATTGCTTTTCCTAAACCCTCTCCTCTCCGCATACCAGCTTCCTCTCCCACACACCCTCCCCCCTCAAAGTCCTCCTCACCCCCCTCCCCCCTCTCCCTTCCTCCCCTGTTGTCTCTAGCTAATTTTCTCCCCTGCTGCCCTCTCATCCCTGGTTGTTCTGCTTCACATGGCAGGTCCACAATGCCGGAAGCATCAACAGTGGCGCAGCCAAGCATCTTCCGAGGGCGGCTGAAGGAGTACCAGTTAAAGGGGCTGCAGTGGCTTGTCAATCTCTACGAGCAGGTGCGCTGGTGCTGTGCTGTGTGTGTGTGTGTGTGCGTCTGTATGCGTGCGTGCGTGCGGTTGCTGGCACCAAAATTGGCTGGCTGAAGGAGTACCAGTTAAAGGGGCTGCAGTGGCTTGTCAACTTCTACGAGCAGGTGCGTGCGTGCGCTGGTGCTGTGTGCGTGCGCGAGCACTCTCTTTGAGGTTCACTAGCCACTGGTAGACGTTTCCTTGCATGCTTTTTCTGGAGGAGTATCAGCTGACGGGGCTGCAGTGGCTTGTCAATCTCTACGAGCAGGTGCGTTGGCCTGGCACTGCCTTTTTGCTGGTCTTTTCGTTTGTTGGTCTTTCTTTCGTATGTCCTGTGCTCCCAATACGCTCGATCCTCTTTCTCACTCACTCTGTCCCTTTTGTCCCAACCTCGCCTTTTACCCTCACGCACTTCCTTAACGGGTCACCTTTTGCTGGTGGGGACCCCTATTCCCCACCCCCCCCTCCTTACCCCAACCCCCATCAGGGCCTGAACGGGATTCTGGCGGATGAGATGGGACTTGGCAAGACCATTCAAGCCATGACCTTCCTTGCTCATCTAGCTGAGGTGCGTGCCGTGCTGCTCAGCTCAGCTGTGTAGTAAAGTAGTAATGACTGTGTGTTTTAAGACGTCTTTCAGAACAAACTTGTTATCTCAGCTGTCTCTCATGCCTTTCGTCCGGTACTCTGCTTCCCTCCGTGGCCCGTTTGACCTGTGCACATACTCAGCCTCACCTGCTCTGCTCTACCTCTGCCCGCTCTGCACCCGCTTTTCTCCGTTTCCCCTCCATCTGCATTCCCCAATTTCCCGTCCGCGCTTGGCGGCCATCCTGTATTATGCATGTAATGCATGTAATGCATGTAATGCATATAATGCATGTAATGCATGTAATGCATATTATGCATCATGCGTGCAGGAGAAGGGCATCTGGGGACCCTTCCTCGTGGTGGCGCCAGCGTCGGTGCTCAGCAACTGGGCGGACGAGCTTGCACGGTACGGTGTAGTCTACTACCTGGCTGCTCTGGTATGCAATATGCCATGCCATGCCATACCATACCATGCCATGCCATATCATGCCATGCCATACCATGCCATGCCATGCCATGCCATGCCATGCCATGCCATGCCATGCCGTGCCGTGCCTGACAAGTTGGCTTCATCGCTGAGCTTGAGTCTTCCTGTCGAATCTTGTCGTGCAAGGATTTTCACGACGAGCGGCACAACATCCATACTGACCACCCTACTAAACCTTCCCATTCCTCCTTCTCGCCCGTCTGCCCATCGGGTCAGGTTCCTGCCGCAGTTCAAGGTGCTGCTGTACTGGGGTGGGCTGCTAGAGTGCAGAAACATCCGCCTTTTGAGAGACTGCCTCTCTCCCTCCCTCCCTCCCTCCTACCCACCTGTCGGTCAGGTTCCTGCCGGAGTTCAAGGTGCTGCCGTACTGGGGTGGGCTGCCAGAGCGCACAGTGCTGCTGCACAATGTCATCCATGCTAAGAAGCTCCTCCCCCTCCTCTCCCACCCTCCCACCCTCCCACCAACACGTCCATCCGCCCTGTCAGTTTCCTGCCGGAGTTCAAGGTGTTGCTGTACTGGGGAGGGCTGCCAGAGCGCACGGTGCTGCGCAAGATTTTCCACCCTAAGAAGCTCCGTCCCACTCCCTTCCCACCCTCCCACCCACACGTCCATCCGCCCATCGGGTCAGGTTCCTGCCGGAGTTCAAGGTGCTGCCGTACTGGGGCGGGCTGCCAGAGCGCACAGTGCTGCTGCGCAATAATTTCCACCCTAAGAAACTCCTCCCCTTTCCTCTCCCACCCTCCCACCCACACGTCCATCCGCCCATCGGGTCAGGTTCCTGCCGGAGTTCAAGGTGCTGCCGTACTGGGGAGGGCTGCCAGAGCGCACAGTGCTGCGCAAGAACATCCACCCGAAGAAGCTCTACCGCAAGGACGCGGCGTTCCATGTGATGGTGACGTCGTACCAGCTGCTGGTAGCAGACGACAAGTACCTGCGGCGGGTCAAGTGGCAGTACCTCGTGCTGGACGAGGCCCAGGCTATCAAGAGCGCTGGCAGGTGGGTGGGTGCTGAGGCTCAGGCAATCAACTCGTTGATGGTGAGTGAGTGAGGTGTGCAAGAGAGGTAGCTGGTACACTCTGTGTCAAGTGGCTGGCAGTACATGCGGCAGTACCCCGCTCACCGCAGCAAGGACGCGGCGTTCCATGTGATGGTGACGTCGTACCAGCTGCTGGTAGCAGACGACAAGTACCTGCGGCGCGTCAAGTGGCAGTACCTCGTGCTGGACGAGGCCCAGGCTATCAAGAGCGCTGGCAGGTGCGTGGGTGCTGCATTGCTCGTTGATGAGTGAGTGAGTGAGTGAGTGCGTGAGTGAGTGCGTGAGTGAGTAAGGTGCCAGTGCACTGTGTGTCAAGTGGCAGTACCTGGTTCTGGACGAGGCCCAGGCCATCAAGAGCGCTGGCAGGTGCGTTCTCATCTGCTCGTTGATGAGTGAGTGAGTGAGGTGCCAGTACAGTGTGTGTGAAGTGGCAGTACCTGCGGTGTGGCAGTACCCCCCCCCTCCCCTCTCAACCACCCGTCCTCCACGTCCAGCACTCAGTGACACACGCACACTGCTGCCGTTCTTGTGACGAAGCTTTGTCTTCTTCCGCACTGTGTCATCTATTCGCGCCACTTACTCCCCAAACCCAACACCCCCTGCCTCTCCTCCCCAGACCGCCCCTCGGCCCCTCCACGAGCAGCATCCAGTGGCGTGCGCACGCTGCTGCCGTTCTCGTGCTATTGAAACATCATTTTTTGCCTTCCCCAACCCCCCCCCACCCACTCCTCCACCGTTCAGCATCCGGTGGCACACGCAGCTGTCGTTCTCGTGCCGCAACCGGCTGTTGCTGACGGGCACGCCCATCCAGAACTCCATGGCGGAGCTGTGGGCGCTGCTGCTTGTGATAAGACAAGTCTTGAGCTGACTCAATAACTGCCACCTCAAGCAAACTGGGTGGGCATATTTGTCGTCTTACCCACCCCGCCGTTCTCTGCGCCCTGCCTCCCACTCCCCGTTCCCCCCTCCCGAAACTCGAACAAACAGCATCCGGTGGCGCACGCTGCTGTCGTTCTCGTGTCGCAACCGGCTGCTGCTGACGGGCACGCCCATCCAGAACTCCATGGCGGAGCTGTGGGCGCTGCTGCACTTCATCATGCCCACGCTCTTCGACAGCCACGAGCAGTTCAGCGAATGGTTCTCCAAGGGGTGCGTGCGTCTGTGTGTTTGGGAGGGGGGTCGGAGGGGGGCAAATGGGGAGGGGGGAGCAGTGAGGACGGGGGAGGGGGCAGGAGAGGGGTCGGAGAAGAGCGGGCAGGGAAACGGGAGCAGACCTGGTTTGTGAAAGGATTGGTATTTGTGTTACATCTCTTGCCCATCCAACAGCCATGCCCACCTCTGTCCCCCCCTCCTTCCTCTCCGATTTTCTCCTCACTCTCCACCATCCTTGTCGTAACCCAACACCCATCCTCTCCCTTTTCCCCCTCGCTTTCTTTGTCTTGCCCTCTCCCTCTTCCCGTGTTGCTTTCTCCCCGTGGAGCAGCATTGAGGGCCATGCGGAGCATGGAGGGCTGCTCAATGAGCATCAGCTCAGCCGTTTGGTAAGCATCCCGCCTGCCTGCCTCGCACACACTCTGCATTGCTCGGCCTGTGATTTCCTTCCCATTCCCACTTCTGCTTACCGGTTCTGGTTCCTGCTTCCTGCTTCTGACGACAAGATATGCGTGTGTGTGGTTTCACCCGTTATTCCCTGTTCCCAGCACACCATTCTGAAACCATTCATGCTTCGGCCATTGTGTTCCCGATCCCCCGCCCTATTCTCCCGCTTTCCCAAACCCCTCTGTCCCAAATCTCCCTCCCATGTGCCCCTCACCCCACCTACAGCACGCCATCTTGAAACTGTTCATGCTGCGGCGCGTGAGGAAGGACGTGGAGACGGAGATGAGCGGCAAGAAGGAGCTCGTGGTGCCGCTTGAGTTGACCCACTAACCTAGTTCATTCCCATTAACCTGATTTTCTTCCCTCCAATGCGCCCCTCACCCCACCTACAGCACGCCATCTTGAAGCCATTCATGCTGCGGCGCGTGAAGAAGGACGTGGAGACGGAGATGAGCGGCAAGAAGGAGCTCGTGGTGCCATGCGAGCTGCGGGCGCGGCAGCAGGCGCTGTACCGCGCAGTGAAGAACAAGATCTCCATCGCGGACCTGTTTGACAGCGTGGGCGGGCAGATCAACGAGAAGAAGGTTCTGCACCTCATGAACCTCGTCATCCAGCTCCGGAAGGTGCGTGACTGAGGTGGGCACAGGAAGGCGATTTGTGGTGTGATGGTGTGGGAGGAGGGCGTTTGGGGCGACTCAAAGATCAACAGGAAGAAGGTTCTGCACCTCATGAACCTCGTCATCCAACTCCGGAAGGTGAGTGACTGAGGTTTGATGTCCCTTTCTAGGCGTTGGTGTGGGTAGTGGAACTTGTGAGGGTCCGAGTGGTACAGACGCAGTCACCCATCTCAGGAAGGTGAGCGGTTGGGGCTCTGTTCCTGAAGGACTCGTCCGAAAGGAGGGGAAGGCAGCACGCACTGTACCGCGCGGTGAAGAACAACATCTCCATTGAATGGAAGGGGCCTCGTATCATGTGCTTCCAAAATCGTATCTCTTCTCATTTATCCTGTTGCTGGCAGGAGAAGAAATGAAAGTTTGACATTCGATTTTCTTACTTTGAGATTTACGACAACCAGTTCACAGACCTGCTGGCTACTCCTGACATCTTGCTCTAGCCAGCAGGTCTGTGATCCGGTTGTTGTAAATCTCAAAGTACCTAACTCGAACGTCAATCTTTCGTTCTTCTCCTGCCAGCAACAGGAGAAATGGTCGTGAGAAGGGATACATTTTTGGAAGTACATAAATGAGGAACTAAGATACGATTTTGCTTAGGAAGGTGTACAATTGGGTTCTCAATTGTAAGAGCTAAGCACCAGTTCACTTCCATTTTGTACCATCTCCCATTCTTCCCCCCCGCTTTTCTTGCCTACCTCCCCATCGCGACCCCACTCCTCGTGCCCACCCCCCTCTTCCAGGTGTGCAACCATCCAGAGTTGTTTGAGCGCAACGAGGCAGCGGCGTATTCTTACTTTGCCACCATCTCCTGTACTTGCCCCATCCCCTTTCCTCTCATCCCTCTCTTTCTCTCATCCTTCCCCCCCCCTCTCCGCCTTCCCTCCTCCCCTCTTCCAGGTGTGCAACCATCCAGAGTTGTTTGAGCGCAACGAGGCAGCGGCGTATTTCTACTTTGCCACCATCTCCCCGCCGCTGCAGCCCCCGCCGTTCGGGGAGCTCGACTGGGTGCCGTACAGCGGGCGCCACAACCCCATCACATACACGGTATGCATGTATGCATGCTCGGTGCTTTAGTTGATGCCACAGCACAGGTTCTCTTTTTGAGGCGCCTCAAAAGCCCCCGCCGTTCGGGGAGCTTGACTGGGTGCCGTACAGCGGCCGCCACAACCCCATCTCGTACACGGTATGCACAGGATGCTTTTTTCGTTTTGGCCGACATTGCAAACCACTGCAGCAGTCCCGTCACTTTCACCGGTAGGTATGCAGGGTCCTTTTGAGGCGAGGCGTCAAAAGGTTGCTGTACTGCAACGCCATCGCGCACAGCACAGTATGCTTAGCACACCTTTCTTCAAGGTTTATGACTGAAAATGCGCACCTGCCCACCCCGTCACCCCATGCTTGTACCTTGTTGTACCCCGTGGCACAGACAGACAGACATACTCCCCTAAAGGCACAAGGCCGATCATCCACATGCTTCAGAAAGAAGCAGACGCAAGGCCGATGAAAGAAGCAGAATTAGACTCTCATTCTTTCATCTCTTCGTCTCCCCTTGTTCCTGTGTTCCATCGCTTCAGGTCCCCAAGCTTCTCTACCGTGAGTGCACGCCAGCACTCCCTCCCACCTCCTCCGGTGTTTTCCAGGGCTTCGCAAACAAGTGGCTGTACCACCAACTATCCATCTTCTCCCCCATCCACATCCACCACTCCCTCTTCCCCCGCTCTCCCCCCTCCTCCTCCTCACCATCCTCCTCCTCCTCTCCTTCCTCCCCCTCTTCCCCCTCTGCTTCTTCAGCCACTCACCAGTCCCTTACAGTGCTGCGCCTCCCCTCTCCCTCCTCTCCATCCGCCTCTTCTTACTCTTCCACCCCCTCTGCTATCTCCCCATTTGGGTTTCTCCGCTTGTTGGATCTAGCGCCTTCTGATGTCTCCTTTCTAGCTCGTGCCACGGCCTTTGAGAGGGCTGTTGCGGGGGAGTTAATGAGGCAAGCGGGGTGTGCGCAGGTGTTTATGGGGGAGGGTTCAACTGACTGGCTGGATGATTGGGAGGAGGATTGGGCGGTTGGGAAGCGGAGGGATGGTGAGGAGGAGAAAGAGGAAGCGGTGGAGGAGGAGGAGGAGGCAGAGAGGGGAAGAGAGGAGGAGGGGATGGAGGAGAGGTTATTGGCTGTACATAGACTGTTGTGTGTGAAGCCGAGAGGGCAAGGAGCTGTGTTGAGGAGACGAGAGCACTGGTTAAAGAAGGTAGAGGAGAGACGATTCAGTGACAAAGAGGAGAGAGGTGTGAGGAAGGAGAAGCAGGAAGGGGAGAGAGTCCCGAGAGAAGTGGTAACGCAGGTGGGAGAGGAAGGGGTGGGCGGGAGGGTAGGGGAACGAGGTGAGGGGGGAGAGCGGGTGGAAGGGAGGAGTGGGGAAGATGTGGAGCGGAGTAACGAAGGGCGGCAGGAAGGAGTAGATGTTAAGAAAGAGGAGGAGGATGTGCTTATGGAGGAGATGAGAGGAGGAGAGGGGAAGGAGAGCGATAAGGAAAGAGATAGGGAAAGGGATAAGGACAAAGGGGGAGGTGAAGTGAAGGAGAAGGAGGTGGATGGAGAGAAAGACGGTGGAGAGGAGGCTATGGAGGTGGATGGGGAGAAGGAGAGTGGCGACAAGAATGGGGAGGTGAAAGAAGAGAAAGTGGAAGAGAAAGAGGGGGATAGGGAGGACGCGAAAGCTGGGGAGAGGGAGAAGGACGCGGGAAAGATGACGAGTGGGGGTACTGAGGATGATGTTAGAAGACGAGAGGTGGAAGAGGATGTGGAGACAGCAGAGGTGAAAGAGGAGGCAGAGGGAAGAGAAGGGGAGGAGGAGAGAAGAGGGGGGGTAAAGGAGGGTGGAGTGAAGGAGGAAGAGGATGAGGGGAGGCATTCTGGTGATCGCCCTGAATGTGTTGAGAGTAAGAAAGATGTGAGCCTTGATAGGAGGAATAAGGAGCACAGCAGCAAGAGCAGCAGCAGGCAGAGCAATCCGGAGCGGACTAACAACGACAGAGAGCAGACTAACAACTTGAAAAGCGCCGACTCTCACCAGAACAACACTGCTGACAACAACGGCAAGAGCAGCAGCGGCAGCGGCGGCGGCGGCTGCGGCAGCGACGGCAGCAGCGACAACCAAGTGCCGCTGCTAACCGGCTGGCCAAAGGACCCGCCATTCCTCCTCCCATCCCCCCTCATCTCCTCCTTCCCAGACCGTCTCTACAATGCCACGTCGCTCATCCATGCCACCCACACCTTCATGCCTGCCGTGCGCGCTCCCCCCATCGACTTCCTCTGCCATGACCGCTCGTTTGCGTACCAGCAGCAGCAGCAGCTCTACCCGCCGTGGGCGCTCCGCCTCCTGCTGGGTTTCACGCGTGTGAATGAGTACTCTGGGCCGTTTCTACCTGCGGATCCGGCTGCGAGGTTGTCTGTCCGCCCGCCGGCATCGTCGCCGGTGCTGGGAGTGATGGGGGAGGAGCAGGGGGGATTGGAGGTGGTGGGGGGCGGTACAGGGGAGGCGGATGCGAGTGCTGGTGGTGATGGTGGTGGTGGTTTGAGGGGTGGGATGGAGTTGCAGCTGCCGCGGCCGCTGCTGGGTGCGCAGTTTGATGTGGAGGGTTCATCTCCGCCTATCCAGATATTCGACTTCTCGAAGATGCTCACGGTGAGAGGGAGGAGGGAGGGAGAGGGCGAAGGAGGGAGGTAGGGAGGGAGGAAGGGAGGGAGGAAGGGAGGGAGGAAGGGAGGGAGGAAGGGAGGGAGGAAGGGAGGGAGGTAGGGAGGGAGGAAGGGAGGGAGGTAGGGAGGGAGGAAGGGAGGGAGGTAGGGAGGGAGGAAGGGAGGGAGGAAGGGAGGGAGGTAGGGAGGGAGGTAGGGAGGGAGGTAGGGAGGGAGGTAGGGAGGGAGGGAGGGAGGGAGGTAGGGAGGGAGGTAGGGAGGGAGGTAGGGAGGGAGGAAGGGAGGGAGGTAGGGAGGGAGGTAGGGAGGGAGGAAGGGAGGGAGGTAGGGAGGGAGGTAGGGAGGGAGGAAGGGAGGGAGGTAGGGAGGGAGGGAGGGAGGGAGGGAGGGAGGGAGGTAGGGAGGGAGGTAGGGAGGGAGGTAGGGAGGGAGGTAGGGAGGGAGGTAGGGAGGGAGGTAGGGAGGGAGGTAGGGAGGGAGGAAGGGAGGGAGGAAGGGAGGGAGGGAGGGAGGGAGGGAGGGAGGGAGGGAGGGAGGGAGGGAGGGAGGGAGGGAGGGAGGGAGGGAGGGAGGGAGGGAGGGGGGATATTCAAACATATTTTATTTCCAAAAGCATCAGCCACACGTGCTGCTGCGTGCTGTCTTTTGTCTTCGTTCCCCACAACCCCAACCCCATCCTCCTTAACTCTCCCCCCTCCAGGACTCGGGCAAGCTGCATCAGCTGGACGTGCTGTTGCGGCGGTTGAGAGCGGAAGGGCACCGAGTGCTGCTGTTCGCGCAGATGACCAAGATGCTCAACATCCTCGAGGTGAGTGCAAGAAACAGGCTGTTCTCATAGATGACTAAGATGCTTAATATCCTCAAGGTGAGCAGGGGGCGAGGTGAAAACAGGAGGTGGTGAGAGCAAGGGGACGTGAAGCGAGGTTGTTTTTGAGACGTCTCAAAACCAACCTCGCTTCACGTGGTGAAAACAGGAGGTGGTGAGAGCAAGGGGAAAGGCACACAAGTACCTGTGTTGATAAATTGAATTCACACCGTTTTCTTTCTACCCTGCTCGTTCTGCCCTTATTCCATCCCCTCCCCCGCCCTTGCCAGGACTACATGAACTATCGCAAGTACAAGTACCTGCGCCTCAATCAACTGTTGAGGCGCCTCAAAATCCGTCCTCTCGCCCTTACCCCCCTCTGCCCCTGTTCTCTTCCCCCTCGATCTCCCCTCTCCCCCCCCAGGACTACATGAACTATCGCAAGTACAAGTACCTGCGACTGGATGGTTCGTCCACGATTGTAGACCGCAGGGAGATGGTCAAAGACTTTCAGCACAAGTGAGTGGGGTGGGTGGGGGGCTCTTAGAGAAATTTTCAAGTTGGAGCGAGAATAGCCTTAGACTGAGCAAAAAAGGATGGTGAAAAGAAGTACTGGCTTTTTTGGTAATTCGAGCACAGGTGGCGAGTATTTGATTCTGGCCGACTTCGCTCACTTCCCTGTGCTATCGGGCCTCTCTTCGCTCCCTTTCCGCCCTCCTCCCCGTCCCAACCCATCCCACCCCATCCCACCCCTCCCTCCCTGCCACCGCCGTGCAGGTCGGAGATCTTTGTGTTTCTGCTGAGCACGCGGGCGGGCGGGCTGGGCATCAACCTGACGGCGGCAGACACGGTGATCTTCTACGAGAGCGACTGGAACCCCACCATGGACCTGCAGGCCATGGACCGCGCGCACCGCCTGGGGCAGACACGCGAGGTGAGAGAGGGGGGGGTGGGCCGGGAAGCGGGGAAAGGGAGTAGGAGAAGAGGTGGGAGGTGAGAGGGGAAGGGAGAAGGCAGAAGGGAGAAGGGAGAAGGGAGAAGGGAGAAGGGAGAAGGGAGAAGGGAGAAGGGAGAAGGGAGAAGGGAGAAGGGAGAAGGGAGAAGGGAGAAGGAGAGGGGGGGCTGGGCATGAACCTGATGGCGTCGTTCCTTTCCACTCCCCCCCCTGTCTCCCCCTCCCACCTAATCTTCCCCCATCAGGTGACGGTGTACCGAATGATCTGTGGGGGAACGGTGGAGGAGAAGATAGTGAAGCGCGCCAACCAGAAGCCTTTAGAGTCGACTCTAAGCACCTTCCACTCTCCTTCTCCCCATTCCCTATCTCTTCTCCTCCCCCTCCCTCCCCCCTCCCCTCTTCCCCCATCAGGTGACGGTGTACCGAATGATCTGCGGGGGAACGGTGGAGGAGAAGATAGTGAAGCGCGCCAACCAGAAGAACACCGTGCAGCAGCTCGTCATGACCGGCCAGGGCGGCGCTGCGGGCGGCGGGCTGGTGGCGGGCGGCGGCGGCGCGGGCGGCGGCGACGTGTTTGAGGCGGAGGAGGTGGTGTCGCTGCTGCTGGACGATGCTGAGCTGGAGGCGCAGCTTAAAGCCCAGCAGGAGCAGGCTGCTGCCAAACAGCACTCGGTAGGTGGAAAGAGGGGGTGGGTGGGGCTGGGGGGAAAGAGGTTTTGGAAGGAAAGGGGGTTGGTTGGAGGGAGGGAGTCAATGGGGGGAGGAGGGGGGGAGTTAGGGGCGAGGAGGGGTTGCAGCCAAACAGCACTCGGTAAGTTCATGCAGAGGAACGGGATTGGGGTGTCTGGGGTGGGGGGAACGGGATGGATCATGCAGAGGAGGTGGTGTCGCTGCTGCTGGACGATGCTGAGCTGGAGGCGCAGCTTAAAGCCCAGCAGGAGCAGGCTGCTGCGAAGCAGCACTCGGTAGGTGGAGGGTTGGGGAAGGGGGAAGGGTGAGGTGCTGACGGGGTGGAGGGAGGATGGGGAAGGGTTGGGGTTGAGAGGCTCAGCTGAAGGCACAGCAGGAGGAGCAGGCTGTCGCTGCCAAACAGCACTCGGTAGGTGTAAAAAAGGGGGTGGGAGGGAAGTAGGTATTCGATGGAGGAACTTGGAGGGGGGGTAGGGAGAAGGGTTGGGGTAGCACCCCGCTGAGCAATCATCCGTTGACTTCTTTCCTTTCTTTCCCAACCCGTGCCTCCTACCAGGATCGGCGGCGGAGGCGTGGGTCGAAGAAGATCCGGCTGGATGCAGAGGGAGGGGAGAGTCGCCACAACCGGTGATGAAAGGAAAGCTGAGTGGTAGCACCCACTGGAACAATCATCCCGTAAACTCTTCTCTGTTCTCCCCTCCTCCTTACTTGCCGCCTCCTTCCAGGATCGGCGGCGGAGGCGTGGGTCGAAGAAGATCCGGCTGGATGCAGAGGGAGGGGAGGCGGTGGAGGAGGAGGAGGGCGCGAGGGGCGGCGAGGAGTCCGGAGGAGCGGGGAGGAGAGATGGCGGTGCGGGGGCATCAGAGAATGTGTCAGGGGGAGATGTCGTGGGAGGGGGTGAGGGGGCAGGCGCAGGCTCGCATAAGGTGAGGGTTTGAGGGAGTTCAGTGCAGGGAGTTCAGTGCACGCTACCTCCATTACTTCCCTCCTTTTGCGTTCCCCGCCGTTTCCCGGATTTCAGTCTCGTGCATTCCTATCTTGCTCTTTATTCCCTCGCTTGACACACAACCTTCCCGTCCCCCTTTCTCTGCTGCTCCCCCTTCTCTCACTGTTCCCATCTCTGCCCCCGTTCCCTCTTCCCCCTGTGCTCCCATCCGGCCCATACCACCATGCCACAATGCTCCCTTGCCTCCTTATCCCAGCGCAAGAGACAGTCGGATCGTCCTCCCAGACCCGGAGGCAGAAGCAAAGGGAAAGCAGCCGCAGCCGCAGCTGCTGCTGCTGCTGCTGCTGCTGCTGCTGCTGCTGCAGCTGCTGGTGGGGGTGCTGCTGGGGTGGTGGCTGTTGCTGATGCTGGCGTAGCAGTGGGCGGACGTAAGAGAGGTAGAGCTGCAGGGGCTGCAGCTGCAGCTGCTGCAGCGGCGGCGGCAGCGGCTGCAGCAGAGGCAGCTGCTGCTGCTGCTGCAGTGGCAACACCAGTAACAGTGGAAGAAGACGAGGACGACGAGGAGGAAGGAGCAGGAGAAGGGAATGGGTTAAGTGTGGTGAGACGAGCAGGGGGGGGAGGAGGAGGGGAGGGGTCTGATATGCTAGCAGGTGCGGAGGGTGGTTTGTCAGAAGCAGAGGAGAGGAACGGGTGGGGGGCGAGAGAGGCAGTTTTCCTGGAGGGAACAGCAGCCAAGAGACGAAGAGGACCCACTCCTCAAAGAAGGCGATTGAGCGCCATGGGATGGGTGAATGATGGGCGAGGGGGAGAGGATGGAGGTGGGGGTGGGGGAGGAGGGGGAGGGGAGGGTGGGAGAAGTAGAGGGAGTGGAGTGGGGGAGGATGAGAGAAGTGGTGGAGGGGAGGTACAGTGGGGAGATGGGGGTGGGAGCGTGCAGGAGGGAGGGGAGGAGAGAAGTCAGGTTCGACCTAAGGCGCTGCGTGTGAGGTTGAATATGAGGCGAGGGAGAGGGGAGGTGAGTGGTGGAGGGGGGGGAGGAGGGGCGGAGGGAGATGGAGCAGGTGACTGAACTGAAGCACACATGCACAGGAGGAGTTTTGAGATGTCTCAAAACTGGTGGAGGGGGAGGAGGAGGGGCAGAAGGAGATGGAGCAGGTGACTGAACCGAAGCACACATGCACAGGAGGAGGAGGGCTATGTGATGGCATAGCATGCATGGTTTACGTTAGGTGGATTAGCAAGGTTTTTTTTTTCTAATGGCGGCAGCCTCGGAAATAAGCAAGTGGGGCAGCAGCAGCAGCAGCAGCAGCATCATACCGGTAACTGTGGGTCCGTTTTATGCTGTTAGCGCCCCACCGTACGCCCATCCGACCATCTTTCAGACTTCCAGTCTCAAGAAAGCTACGGGGGATGGAGCATGTTTTGTGTACCGTACCTTACACACAAGGTTACCCAGTACTTGTGTGATACAGTAGTGAAGGCGTTTGTTCATTCAGGAATTATAGAGTGTATTGCATGGTGGTGTTGCCTCCTCTCCCTTGCAGGGTGGATGAGTTGAGGTAACCGAGCAACAGTGGAATTACAGAGACAATAATCTTTTAGGCCAGCCTTAGATGAAGTGCTTTAGCTTGAAAATGGAGAGAATATTCACTGTGTGTTGTAGGTCCATAATTCTTTTTTGTCTTCTATGTATTCTGAAGCTATTCAATGTGTTGAAATGCTTTGTATCCCTTTTAAAAACGCTAGAATTCTTGGGGCCACTGTCAGAGCTACTGTACCCTCATTAATCATCCTGCAGTGTTTTTTCAGTCAAAACCTAATCAGCCATGTACTGTGGTGTGTAGCTGCTAAGGTGAGTTGGGATTGAAACTGGTGCATCAGAAATCACGTGTTTGCATGGACAGCCCAACCACACCACATCCCACATGCAACTCATATACAAATACCGTAAAAGTTAAAGCTCTTGCGAGTCGCTGAGAGACACAATCCGTGGTCCTGGGACTCCAGTGAGAGAGTCGCTACAAGGAAGAAAAGAACACACCATGGGTTAGATCAATGCCTCTACACCGCAGCAACCAGCTTCATATACCGGTACTACGCGGTTGCTGCACGACTCAAGTCACAGCACCACACTATACCACACCACACTACACAACACCAGCAGCAGGGCAATGGAATGGCGATGCAGAACACTCGTTCCGTCAGCCGATTAGCGACTTCATTTCTCTGCCGAGCTGCGGTAGAGTGTTGGTGGCTGTGGCTGCTGCTGCTGCTTGAACCACCTCTGCTGCTCCCATCTCCACTGCTGTCTCCCTCACCACGCCGCTGTGCATCTGAAAGAGAGCAGCGGGTGAGAGGAATGAGAGACTCGGGATAGGCATGAAAGATTTTTTGAGTCTGCTAGAAAATTGCTGCTACTGCCTGAATGCCCTCTGCTCTGCTGCCCCCATCTCCACCCTCCCTCACCACCCCACAGTGCATCCGAGAGCGGGCAAGGGGTGAGGGAGTGTCAAGAAGGCTGGGAAAGGAGAAGGGATCAGGAAGAGGGGGGATCGCAGAGGAATGTTATACCTTCTCCTATACCATGATAGCAACTGGGCAAGAGTGCGCTGAGGGAATAGGAAGATTCAAAGCGACAGAGAGCCTTGGTACGTAAATGCTGGTAGTGGAGTGGAGTGGAGGTGGTATGCATTGAGACGCTTTTTGAGGCGCCTCTAACATTCGTTTCAATGCATATGGTGGAGGTGGTATTTGAGGCGCTTTCAGAAAGGAGGCTAAGTAGTGATGCTAGTGGTGGGGATGATAACCTGACCAGGGGACAGCTGTGCCAGTGGTGGTGGGCTGGTGATTACTATCCAAAAGTGCGTGTGAGAGTGAGAAGGCGAGGGTCAGAAGTGTTCTGAAGTCAGTTGCGAGGGGTTGAGGGAGCTTAGAGAGAGCTCTTAGACAAGACAGGAGTGTGTGAGAGGCTGTGAAGTGGAGCACTCACAAGAGTGGCAATGGCAAGCAGTGCCCGGTAGCGGACCTCCGGATCGGCCTCCGATGCTGCTGCCAGCTGTACGGAGATGTGTGGATAGTATGGGGGAGAGTGTGAGAAAAGGTCGAGTGGGAGGTATGGGAGGGGCGAGAGATGGGGGAAGGGCGGGCATACTGCTGTGTGATCAAATGCTGCTCAAGTTGCAGAAGTAGGGATGCACAGACAGCGACAATGTTGGGTTTCGAGTTGAACCAAAGTCATTTTGAGTCAACTCAACAAGTCAGCTAGTTGCAAGACAGGGATGCGCAGACAGCGACGATGTTAGGGGGTGTGTGGATTTGAGAGGCATGCAAGGGATGGGAGACGATCAGAAAGGGATGGCAGTGATAACTGGAAAGCGTGTATGACAAACGGGCGACGCAAGGATCCACGTGCATGGGTGTGTGTGCATGGACAAACAAAGAGCCTTGCATAAGGAAAAGGAATCAGAGGATCTTGTGCAAAGCGGGGAGCACAGACAGGCTCACCTCAAAGGCAGCAGAGAGGGTCTGCACTTGGCCCTCCTCCTGGTCCTCTCCCTTTGCTGCTGCGCCATCCACCAGCAGCACTGCGTAGCTGGAGGTGACATGGTGGGCGGACAACACAGCACAGCCGGTGATGCATGGCAGTACGAAGGTCAGCGCCTCGAGTGACATATGAGACAGATAGTGATGCGAATGATGGGAGTGGCAAATGGACTGGCACAAGGACGAGGTTGGTTGAATGGAGTGGCAAAAACGGATAATTGGACGGTAAATATTGAATGAAGTGTTCAACAGCAGCGGGGAGATCGGACTGACTTGAGCAGGAGAGTGGCGAGAGCGAGTCGGACGTTCTTATTGGAGGAAGAGACACAGGGGGCGAAGAGGTCGAGAACCTGAGACGGACAGAGGGAATCGGGAGCAGAAAGAGGGAGTGAGTGATGGATTGAGGGATGGAGTGAGGGAGAAGCGAGAGGAGAAGTGAGGGGCGCAGTGAGGGGCGCAGTGAGGGGCGCAGTGAGGGGCGCAGTGAGGGGCGCAGTGAGGGGCGCAGTGAGGGGCGCAGAGAGGGGCGCAGTGAGGGGCGAAGTGAGGGGTGCTAATGGTGAGGCTAGAGAGCGAGCTTATGAGTGTCTTGGCAGGTACAACACACAGGGCATGGCATGGCAAGAGGAAGGCGACCAGAACAGGGAAATGGGGAAGATGGTGGACAGGGTGGTCAGGGAGAGCGGTGAGTACGACAATCAAGATGACTCTCAGACCAAGTCTCGACTTTTGAGCCAAATAAAAAAAATCACTTGCAAAAACAAAAGGGGGGGGGGGGGGGGGGGGGGGAGAGAAAAAAACAAAAAGAGGAAAGGCAAGCGCGGGACCTCTGCGCGGTGTTGGCGAGGCCAGTGGTGCATGGAAGGAAGGCCAAACGCATTGACTGCCACGCGCACGCCCGTGAGGTGGTTGGCGGGTGTGGGTGGGTCCGCTGCTGCCCTGCGCATACATGCCATGAGCATGCCGTCTGTGAGGAGAGGGGGAGGGGGGAAGAAGATGGAATGCGGAAGGTAAAGAGTTTGACTTTTGGGTCGACTCAAGATTCAGAGTGTGGGTGGGTCCGCTGCTGCTCTGCGCATACATGCCATGAGCATGCCGTCTGGGAGGAGAGGGGGAGGGGAGCAGAAGATGGAATGCGGAAGGTGGGTACTGAGACGCCTCAAACATTTGCTGCCCTGCGCACACATGCCATAAGCATGCCCTCTGAGGGGAGGGGTGCAGAAGGGATGCGGCGGCAGGTGGGTTGAATTTGACAAGGATTCTTTTTTTTTTTTGAGAGATAGAGAGAGAGAGAAAAAAAAAAAAAACAAACAAACAAAACCTCTTAAAAGGGTGGGAAAGCAATGGCGAATGGAGAGTGCAATGGAGAAGAGTGCATGAGTTGGTGAGTGCTCGAGCGAGTGAGTGCATGAGTGAGTGCATGAGTGAGTGCATGAGTGAGTGCATGAGTGAGTGCACACGCACCTGGCCCAGAGGCATTGGCAGCAAACCAGGCAGCGCCTGAAGGATGCAACAGCATCATCCGCAGCAGGTCCAACACTGGGGGCAGAGGAAAGGAGCGGAGAGGAGAGGAGAGGCGCGGAGAGGAGAGGAGAGGAGAGGCGAGGAGAGGAGAGGAAAGGAAAAGGAGAGGAAAAGGAGAGGATTCAAAAAGCGTGGAGAGGAGTGGAGTGGTGGGAGCTGGGAAATGAGGCGATGTAGGGAGGACACGTGGAGCAATGCCTTTCGTGGTAAAAACAGCAATACAAACAAGTAGCATGAACTGCACCCACACGACAATGAGAGCAGAGCAGGAGGAGACTGGCAATGCAGCACAGCACGGCACAGCACAGCACAGCACAGCACAGCACAGCACAGCGCAGACCTGGGAAGAGGTTGGCAGCAGGCCAGGTTGAGAGCAGGGAAGAGAGCAGCGCGTAGTGATTCGGGGCAAAGGAGGAGGAGTGGTAGTGCGAGGTGTCCTTGAGAACAGAAACCAATCCGTTTAGCTGCTCCAGCTGCTCTTCTGATAGCACCACAGGCGATGGCAATGACGACGGTGGTGGTTGTGATGCAAGAGCAGTGTTGAACTCGTTGAGCTTCTTCATGATGCCGTCGTATTGCGCTGAGTCAAACACCAGGTAGCCCCTCTGGGTGTATAAGTGGGGGAGGGGAAGGGGGGGGAAGAAAGTTGACTTCTGAATTGACTTGTGCTGGTGGTTGTGATGCAAGGGCAGTGTTGACTTCCTTGAGCTTCTTCATGATGCCGTCATATTGCGCCGAGTCAAACACCAGGTAGCCCCTCTGGGTGTTTGGAGAGGAGAGAGGGGGGGGGGGAGTGGTAGAAGAGAGAGCGGATGGAGAAGGGCAGGTGGGAGGGGGAAGTTGGAGGATGGCAGGACAAGTAAAGACACATTAGAAGATGACATGACATGACATGACATGGACAAGACAAGACATGACATGACAAGACAAGACATGACATCCTTCAACCTGATATCGCAACACACAGACTGCATGCCCCCATTCACAGACACCTGTGGTGCC